ATGACCCCCGGGTTAAGGGCGGGGCCAAAATGGCCGGTCAAAGTTTTACATAGGAATATATAGGAAAAATCTTTAAAAATCTTCTTCTCAGGAACCACTGGGCAAGGAAAGATGAAACTCATGTGGAATCATCCTCAGGTAATGTAGATTCAAGTTTGTTTAAGTCATGAACCCGTGTGGTAGGGCGGGGCCAAAATGGCCGATCAAAGTTTTACATAGGAATATATAGGAAAAATCTTTAAAAATCTTCTTCTCAAGAACCACTGGGCCAGGAAAGATGAAACTCATGTGGAATCATCCTCAGGTAGTATAGATTCAAATTAGTTCAAGTCATGACCCCCGGGGGTAGGGCGGGGCCAAAATGGCCGATCAAAGTTTTAAATAGGAATATATAGGAAAAATCTTTAAAAATCTTCTTCTTAAGAACCATTGGGCCAGGAAAGATGAAACTCATGTGGAATCATCCTCAGGTAGTGTAGATTCAAGTTTGTTCAAGTCATGACCCCCGGGGGTAGGGTGGGGCCAAAATGGCGGATCAAAATTTTACATAGGAATATATAGGAAAAATCTTTAAAAATCTTCTTCTCAAGAACCACTGAGCCAGGAAAGATGAAACTCATGTGGAATCATCCTCAGGTAGTGTAGATTTAAGTTTGTTCAAGTCATGACCCCCCGGGGTAGGGCGGGGCCAAAATGGCGGATCAAAATTTTACATAGGAATATATAGGAAAAATCTTTAAAAATCTTCTTCTCAAGAACCACTGGGCCAGGAAAGATGAAACTCATGTGGAATCATCCTCAGGTAGTATAGATTCAGATTTGTTCAAGTCATGACCCCCGAGGGTAGGGCGGGGCCAAAATGGCCGACCAAAGTTTTACATGGAAATATATAGGGAAACTTTTTTAAATCTTCTTTTCAAGCACTTCAAAGCCATGATTAGTAATATTTATATGGAATCATCCTCAGGTAATGTAGATTCTAGTTCGTTCAAATTATGATCCCCTTCGGGGTTAAAATTCAAGCCCCCCCCCCCACTTAAGTTAACTTACAGTTCTGATCTGATATGTGTTTTTTTTCCTAGCTGATGTGCTCAGGTGAGCGCTGTGGCCCCTGGGCCTCTTGTTATAATAAATATGAAAATTTCACCACTTTTAGGAAGGTGTACAAAACAGAGGGATGGAAGGCCTTCTTCAAAGGGGGGTTCTGCAGGATTCTGGTCATCGCGCCACTGTTTGGAATCGCTCAGGGTGTATATTTCCTCGGCATCGGGGAGCATATAGTGGGATTCTTCTCCAAGTCAAAGTGACATGTTAGTCATGTTTAGCTAAGAAGGTTGCAAAATAATTTACATAATTTTTTTCTTTAAAATAATTGTTATATTGTCTGTGATAGTTTAAATTTTTATGATCTTAAAGGGCAAAAAAAAAGTATATAGTAAAACTCTACTGAAGAGAACTAAGGATAATGTATATAACAGAAAAAATAGGATTTAAGCAGCCACCAAAAAATACTCACATAATTAGCATTGAGGATGATTGTATTTAAATAACTAAAGTTTATCTTTAGACTTTGTTTTAAGAAGTAGAGGAGATACTTAAGTGTCTACATGTAATATTGTATGCAGTGTCAATAATTTTCTTTATTTACTGAATGAAAACAAAATATGTATGTATGTTATATGAGTCAAAGAGATTGAATAATTTCTTTGTTTCTACAATGATTTGTATGCTGTTGATTACGTCATAAAATGACAACTAAAACAGCATTTATTACAACATTATTTTGTTTTGAAAAAGTAAATTGATAGTCTTATTTGTTTTCTTGTCATGGCCAGGAATTTCCTTGTATTGACATCAGTAACGATGGTAACACACTAGTCAGAATTCTCTATTTTCATCTCATATTAATTAAGTGTTTCCAAAATATGTAGATACAAACCTTTACTTTTTTCACTCATACACCACTAAGTTGTCTCGTGTTTTAGTTTGTGCCAGTTTTTTTCTCCTTATTCTAATCAATTCACTTATATTTTATTAAACAATGTTTAATATTTGATTGTATTATGAATTTTGTTGCTTTTCAGTAAATTTTGCAATATTTATTATGTATAGCTTTTGTAAGAGAGTGAATTATTATGAAATAAAATGTATAGTTCTGCTTTTTAAAAAAGGTTCTCATTAAAAGAGGCCAGTATTTCAGATTTTTTTTTTTTTTGATGTTCACAGTAAAATATGCATTATTCAGCACACAGAATATTTATCAATAATTCTCTAAAATTAAGTACTATTTTGTATTAGCAAACAATACATGACCTTGAATTATTTACTTTGCTTCATTAAAAGAGTTTATAACAAAGATGTAGCAAAGAGCTTCCTGTCAAATGCAACTTCTGAATTTTGTTTTAATTACATTATGCAAACACATCATGCATGCTCGTCTGTTAATCTTGATTTTTTTTCTAATCTTCCATATCCATTATGAAGAGAATTAAATATTTAAATTTACTTGGAAAAAGTTTAAAAGATACTTGTACATCAGTATTTCATGTGTCTTGTAATGTGACAGTGCTGCTTACAAATCTGTCATTGTTGGACATTTTGTACAAAGAAGATGGGCGCATTTGGCGGGTGATCTGCAGGAATCATTTGTACGAAACATTTATGGTTTAAATGTCAATGATTTGGTTGGCTGAACATACCTGGTCAGATTTTACAAACACATCCATGGGTTATTTTTTTCATTTAGTTTGAAAGACATTGTAAAATTGTAACATTTATGTGCATTTTTTTCTAGGGGGTACTATAACATAGTAATGTTTCACAAAAAATTAAACCTAAAATATTTAATGCATGGATGCATGATACGTGTACATGTACTTTATTAAAATAGAAGATTAGAATTGCATGATTTCGCTTGAGAACCAAACTGAACCAAAATTTATCTAATTCAAAATTTTAATACATCAGTACATAAAACGAAACTGACAAAATAAATGGTTGTTTGCCTGAATAAAAAAAAAATAACGCCCCATGCCAGGCTCCAACCAAAAAGCTTTTCGCTTGGAGTGCACTGAACAGGTATCCTAACTAACTGAGCTATCACCGCTACACATGTAAAGATGTTTTTAAAAGGACAAAGACGCACCACATTGACATATTTGGATTTTTTGGGGAAAAGTTCGTTTTTCGTGGTCTCTGGGTCTTCTCTCCATTTTTTAAAAAAGTGTATTCATTTCTTTGAATTAAAATACACACAAATAACGTTTCAAAATCATGGAGAGAAGACCCAGACATAGAAAATTTTTAGAAAAACGTGTTTAAAAAAGTACCAAATGTCTGATATGGCCAATTTTCAAGTTATTTTTTAGCAAATCAAAGCTCAATTTCGGAAAGTATTTTCCGTTCCTGTTGCACAGGAACCCGATAAATTAAAAAAATGTTAAAATTTCATGTGACATGTCAATAAATTTTTCACTTTTCAAGTACGCCCAGGTTCCTGCCGAATGCCAATCAAAAGCGCCCTCGTTCTTTAGGAATGAGAAAGATAATCAGAAATTAAGTCATACATCCACCTACTGATTCAGTGATTGTTTGTTATTATACGAGAATTTTTCACCCATGAAGAGAAATCACCATATACTGGTGAATGGCTTCAAATTTTGACCTTTACTTGGCACTCATGGCCATTGAGCTGTGAGAGACCTTTATCATTATTATGTCAATGCCTGCTGAGACATGGGGCCTAAGTTTTTAAGGTCTCATCTGAGGACCCCCAACTTTCACTTCAAGGTGCCAAGCACTGGCAAAGGAACAGTTGCTACCCATTTTTTTTAATTAGGTCAGTCGCAGGCGAGATTTGAACTCACGACCTTCCGATCACAGAGCGAGTCTTCCTTCTTGATTATTTAAAAAATATTAAAATGATCCATTCATATGTTTTATTGTGTTCTCTACAAATTATAGTGAATCCCAGTTATCTCAATCTCAATGGAAACTTTGAGGTATCTTGGGTAAATAAATAAAGAATAAGTGGTTGGGATGTCGAACTCACATTAACGTACATCAATGTTTGAGATATGGAATCCAAGTTACACTGTATCTCAATCTCTGTTTTAAATATTACGGTACCTGCTTTACGCCTAAGTCATTTTATGCATTTACCAGTCATGTGTTTGTACTTTGTATCTTTTATATAGTAGATCGAGTCATTAATATGTCAGGATATTTTCCCATTAAATTCTTGTCAGTCAAGTATTTACAGAATTATTAAATCATGATTGTAATACCTGGTATTACTTTTAATGGAAAAGCCAAAGCTATCATTTTGGGAATACATGTATTAAGTTTTATTTTTTCCCCATGCAAACTTTTCATGTTTTTTTCATGTCAATTTTCATATTGTTGCTGGTTTATATCATTGAGCTGTTACTTGTTTGCTTAAGATTAAAGAGGGTGTTGCAGAAACTCGTGATTATTCCCTATATATCGAGAAGGACATTTAAATACCTCGTTATATCTAAATATAGATACAGCTACGTAGAGGACTATGTTCACGGTGGGTATTTCCTGCTTGATACAGCAAAACACTTTCGTCATTTTGCACGAAAGAGGTTGGAACAACAAAAAGCACAATGGCTAAACTTAAGCAGCATTTTGAAAGAAATACTGTAAACATTGTTGGAAAATATTTTTCATGAAATAAAACTGCATCCCATAATCACACTGTTGGTGCTATATCCAAGACATTTTATTTGTTTCAAATCAAATCTTGGCTTCTAACTAAGAGACCAAAATTGCAATAACTACAGTATGTAAAAAAATAAATTATTTAAACAATACAGTAACTTTATTTTCCAAGACAAAACTAAATAAAGCATTAGTTTTAAGTCACAGCTAGCATATCAAAGAAAACAATTCAATCCTGCATTTCTAAAATATAGATTAGTTATTAATTAACTCCTTGACACCCCCCTCTCTCGCTTTCAAAATATATAATTTCATTGCACTACCATTACATATGGGAAAAAAAATGCAAAAATGATCCATACCAGGATTCGAACGCATTCGCTGGTAAAAATACTAGTTGGAAGCCCAACAGCATATCCACTAGACCATTTCGGGCTCGGTGGATTTGCAGCGTTATTTAAAGTACACATTTTGCATTTCATTTCAAGAAAAATTTTTATTCAATTTTTGCGTTTTTCAGAAATGTGCCTCTTTGAAACAAAAATCGGAAATGGCAGTTTTGAAGAAAATTCCTGCATCTTTGTGTATATATCAAAATTATTTTGTTTCAAGGAGGCACTTTTTCAGAACAATGGGGATTCCCTATTTAAAAAAAGGGAAAATCTTATATATTTTTCCATAAGACTAATTTTCACATCATCTAATGGCAAATTGAAAGTCAATACACACCTTCCAAATATTGTTTCTCGTTGTGCTTTATATATTGTTGCATTTGAAAAAAAATAATATCATGGGTTTCTGCAGCATAAAAATTCTTGTTTTAATCTGCTACACATTTAGGGAAAATAACAAAAGAACTGCAACACCTTCTTTCTTTTTTTTTTTTGAACCATTTTCATATTTTTGTTTTTAAAAATAGGAATTTTTTGATCTGCAGTTTTCTTGGTTTGATCTGTAGGGGTTTATTCAGAATAATTCTCCATTGTTGTATTGTTATATTGATACATTCCTGTGAATCTTTAGTATGAGGGTCTACTGTAAACCAACAGTATTAGCGCATAAGAAATATCTGCAAGTTTGGTGACCTACTTTAACTCACAAACATTAAGGATAAATAACACAATTTTTTTCAGAAATCAGCAATATATCTCATAGATTTACATTTAAATTGGTAACCTTAATGTTTACCAAGTATGGTGGGAGAATTTTATAAGATTTTGTCATAAGGTTAAAAATTCGTGCAAAATTTTGTATGGAATTATATAGAAAGCAAAACAAAGTCTCATTTCTTTGTATTTCAGAGATTTATTATTTATTATAAATTATGTCATTTCATATCAAAATCAGTCAAAAAATGTATATCAATTGATGCATCAAATTTTTGTTAGTGTTAAGAACCCTTAATGTGAACCATTCATTTTCCTTTATATTTATAGAGAATATTTTCTCTATTATGGAAATTAATGACCATGGATTAATTTCAAAACGATGAATTGCAAATAAAAATTTGTGCAAATAATATTTGGTTTATTGTATACTGTGAGTTAGAATACCTGCAGATCTTACTCACACACTGTGTATCAATAAGGTTAAATATTTCTGTTGTAATATTCCAACATATTACAGGTTTATGTATTTGTAAGCTTTCCCTTAAGTGTGTTCATTTAATAGATGCATTAAGTATATTTTTGGATAGATCTAATTATGGATTTTTTTAAAACATGAATATAGTGATTGGTAAATAAATGATTTATGAGTTAATTTCTTGTGTCCTATTTGTTTGATGATATTTTGTCAAATTCCAACTAGGTCAATACTGTAATGATTTACAGTGATTACCCAGATTAAGGGCTCTAATGGAATAACCTGTCCTTTCTTGAAGTGGACTACTCTGAAGGGTATAAAATAGACCGCTCTCAGAGTGCAGGTTAGTTCTGATGCTGAAGACTTGTTGGTAAGCTGAGGAAAGAATAGAAGAAAGGGTTGCACCAGTGTCAAGAATCCTTGGGAATTGAAGCGAGATACTTGGGGGCTGTTGATCTGAATAAGAACGAAACTCCTAGTATCCGCTATCAATTACATGTATTGGACTCAGGGGAGAGGTTCACAGTGCTAGGCCCAAGATTTACCCAGACATCAGAATTCAGCCAACCTTGTATATTGTTTGATTCAAGTTAATAGAGAAACCCAGAAAGATTTAAGAAAAATTATTATGCATTGTATTATACTGTAAATAGTCAAAATATAAGATCAGAACACTCAGGTATAGTAAGAGAAAAATGATCATCCCATAAGAACCCTACCTATGGGATGTTACAATACAACAAAGCTTGTTTGCAAATGCAGTGCTGTCATAAGGTCAAATTTTGAACAACATCTTTAGGTCATCCGAGTTAACAAGGTGACCTATTGTTATCTGTTTTCATCTGTCGTCATCCCTAACCAAGTACAAGGTTATAAGGAGCAAGAATGCCTCTTCCAGAATTTTGAATTATTTTTTTTAAATGTCTGTTCCATTGTTAGGAAGGGGATCTATTGTAATCAGCATTGAGTCCTCTACCAAAATTGTGAATTTCCTGGCCCCAGGGTCAGGGGCTCTAGAGTTAGGACAGGGCTCTCTTGATTGTATAGTGAAAATGCATTAATTCTTTGAAAATCTTTTCCTCTGCTCCTGAGCATTAAACCAATAAAGTTTGTACATAATTATGATGTGGAAGGGTGCCTCTTCCAAAATTGTGCAATTCTTGGCCCCTTGGTCAGGGGTTCTGGTGCTAGGGTTGGGCTAAGCCTGATGATTATATGTACATTTAAAATATGTACATATTGCATGAAAAATTGTGATATGCTTCTTCAGCAGGGAATGTGTGTTATTGTTACCTTTACATTAATTGAAACAAATGAGACATGATCTCGACAAAGACTGCTTGTTCGAGGTTTTTACAGTGTCAGTGAATAAGAGGAGTCAAAACGTGATTCCATAAGAATGAAACATTTGGTAAGTTTTGCCTGTGTGTAAATTCCACTCAGCTATCCAATGAAGCGATGAAAAATGCACCCATGTTATTTCACATATTGAGTTGTCTTAGGATTCATTCTGCCAGACCAGAAAAAGGCTTATAAGGGCTCCTGACAGTTAGGACTGTCGACAGGGGATGTTTACTACCCCATGACACCTGATCCCACCGCTGATGATGTCAGGGTCCATGCATGATGCCTTTTCTCTACATTTAGAGAGTTTATTTGGACTAGTGAAAATATTTACTGTTCATAAATCTCCATAGTTTGTCACCCTTGATGGTCTCAAGATGCATTAACTAACAAAGTTTGACTTTCCTAGTCCCGATACCATAATCAAGAAATGTATCCATTTGAGTCGTTCCACCATGATACCCAAAAATATGAAATTTAATAATTCTGGGCCTCACAGTCTGCAGGATAATGAATCAAACCAACACAAGAGATTGCTATTAAATTAATCAAAGTTATAAAATAAATGTACACCTAAGGCCAAAATAAATTAATCAATTGTTTCTCAGGCAAAAAAAATCAAAATTTAATGCGGCAGGCAGGCTTTTTTTTTTTTTTTTTGAAGCAGGATTTAGTCTACACCTTTTTTTTTTTAAAGTCATTTGTTCAATAAAATGATAATATCTACTAATTCTTAAGTTTTGTTCTCTGAAATTAATTATAATATGTATTCAACTTTAAATAATGTTATTCCAAACATTTATTTAAAAGTTAACTTATAAAATACTGTAGATTTAGAAGAAAGATATTGTTTTTCTAATAAAAACGTCTATCTTAGCATTTATGAAAAGGGCAATAACTCGGTTTTCTTTTTCAATTTGGAAAAATAGAAAATTGGGTTATTTCCCTTTTCAATATGTCAATAAAATTGATCAATGCGGCCGTTTTTTAACTGATGCGGCAGTGCCTGAGAAACTATTGATTAATTTTTTTGGGCCTAAGGACACTTCTTGAATGTAATTTAAATCTTCATTCAGTAAAAATGATTTATGATTAGGAATGATCCCTCCTGCTAGTACAAGTGAAGTGAACATAAAAAGAAAATGTTATATTTTACAAAAAATACATTTAATATTGCACTTGACAAAGAGATATACATATTTGGTCAGTATCAGTCTATATGTGATGTTTTGAAGAATCTTTTTCTTTCCATAGTTGGAGTTATGTGCCCCTGAAACAGAGAAATGAGAGGAATACAACGTCAGTTTGAATAAAAAGATTTAAAAAAACAACAACAGTAATATAAGGAATATTACGAAGTTGATGAGACTAAATTTTTTTAAGGAATAATGGATCTTAAAATTATAATATATATGATAAATAGGTCCACGTTATCTGATGGTACAATTGACAATGTATGTATATTAAACAGCATTATTATTTTTTTTAAAATAAAATATTATAGATCTAACTGCACCGTGTTCAACATATGATTTTTTTTTTGACATGCAGACCTAGTCAGCTGAGAATTTCAGTAGGTTTTAAGAGAAAGCTGAGAGAGAAGAAAGATTCAGAATAGCCTTAATTTTGTTACTGAACAGGTTTTCTCATTTCACCATCATGCTTAGTCAAACTTTCTCATAAACATACAGTGTACCATGTACATGTATATATAGTATTAGTAAGCACAAATGAGTAAAGATAAACAATTTTTACTTCAACATGTCATGATTATATGTTTTTACCACAAGCTGTCATGTTTATCAGGTGGGAATTTTAAATTCTCTTGGCAACACAAATCAAGTACTCATTTCTACCCTTTACCCACTAAGATGCCGTGCTTATCTAATTCCCCCAGAATATATTTTAGGAAAAAGGTAACCCCTCCACCAAAATATAATCTGTAGTGATGCTACCAAACATCTAAACATGTGAGTAGATTTTAACTTTTGCTGCTGTAACCACCACCTGACCTAATTCAGGGAGGCTATATACCAAACCTCTAAACATGTGAGTAGATTTTAATTTTTGCCTGACCACCTGACCGTATACCAGGACATCTTCCACCTTGGAAGCATAGATAAATAACTTTAATCTTACATCTCTGTGAACTTTGACCTTAGTGTTAGTCGACGTAAGTATAACCGAGCCTACTTCCTGTTGTATTTACCTGGTTACCGCCCTCCCTACTGTGGTACCGCCGCTCTATCACCTGGAAACAGATGTGTATGATATGGTAGCAAATTACAACTATAGTTACAATGTTTCCCAGTTCATTACAGTCCAAAGTTTAAGATCAAAAAGGATTCTGTTTGCATCTTGTATTGGATATTGGTCTTCTTGTATGACCTTGGTTGATCTATGTTTATGACCTTGGTTGATCTTCATATATGACCTTGGTTGATCTTCATAAATGACCTTGGTTGATCTTTGTATATGACCTTGGTTGATCTTGGTTGATCTTGTGAAATCATAAATTCAAATTCATTTCAGACAAGGGATTCAGTCAAAAGTAAGAGTCTCTACATAATTTTGAGACAAACTGACAGACGGGTAAGAAAGATAGCAAATACAGTATTAACATCACCGATTCAGCATTAAGTCATTTAAAATAAATTGTAGTAAATGTTGAGTGTTTTAGACTCTGCTGTCATTACACCTGTGCATGTTTTCTTACCTTATCAAAAAATTTGGTCAGTTTGACAGCATTAGTGGACCCTGGAGATATATGTTTGACTTGGTGACAATCCTGGAATAAAAATGTGATGAAATGATGTAGTCCTTGTAGTCAACTTCCCAGTGCTGCTTAATTTTCAAAATTTGTCAATGATCTAGGAATTCTTCTCATTATTATTTCTTTAATACTGTGAAATCACTAATCATCGTGGGGAATTTATTTTTGTGGTTTTTGAGGTATGAAGATCGAGACCCATGAATTTATGTCCACCATAAAAATGTATTTTTTCACATATATTACTATTCAACAATTCTTCACCCAAGAAATTAAATCCCCAAGAACACATATTTTTCCTTCAAAGAATAAAAATTTGACCCCTCAAAAATATGTGATTTTATAGTATCTTCAGAATACTCTTAGTGGAAAGAGCTGTGATTAAATTTCAATTCTTGATATATTCGTACCTTTTAGACAAACACAAGGGAGGACAATCACTTATTACGTTCAGGCATTTTTTTATGAACCATTATAATTTTTAAAAATGCAAGAAATTGCTAAAAATTTGGTTGGGGATTGCAAGAAACTTTGTTATATCTGTAAATTCATTATAACTGTGTCCACACTACATAAGTTTTTAATAACAGTACTGTATTCCTATTGTAGAACAACTTTAAATCTATCATTTCTTTGTATTCTGAACTGTACCAAATTAATGTCGTTCATGACAAAAGAAATTTGGTTGAATGTTTATATAAAAGTATAGAAGATGATAAAACAACTATTTACGAGATTGAATTCGTCTGCCCCGCACTCCTCTGCCACAGATGAGCGAGCCGAGGGCGATTTATCTCGGAGATTTTGAGCCTGGTCAGCCTTACATCCTACAACCATTATAGGGATCTGAATCCCGGCAAACAGTTCGGGATCATAGTCCCCTCTGTAAATAAAAAAATCAACCATTATAGGGATCTGAATCCCGGCAAACAGTTCAGGATCATAGTCCCCTCTGTAAATAAAAAAAAATATTATCTAGTCTAAGGGATCTGAAGGCACAAACAGCTTGGGATTGCAATCCCCTCTGTAAATAAATTAATCCACCATTGTAGGGATCTGATTCCCGGCAAACAGCTTGGGATCATAATCTTCTCTATAAATAAAAAAAAATCTTATGTTTGTAACAGTAAGTACAAAACCATTTCACATTAAATTGATACCATTTCAACATACAAAGTATAAAACACTAACATTACACTCAATATACACACTTAACAATCACACCCATTACAAAGTTTAATTACTGACTATGATCATATTGCATAATACACGCCCCTTACAAAAGTAAATTAAGCTTTCATTACACATAGTACTCACCCATTGAAGTCTTTTGTGTGACCTTTGTTGATGACCTCTGCCAGCCATTTCCTCAGATTCTGGTGAGATTTTCTGTTGGACAAGTCATGAACGAGCAGTATACCTAGCAACAGAACAAGCAGTATACCTAGCAACAGAACAAGAGTATACCTAGCAACAGAACAAGCAGTATAACCTAGCAACAGAATACAGGTTTTACCTCAGACTGATAAATATTAGAAGTGAGGATTTTTCAGGATGAAATGCCTCTCTGTTTAAAAAGCCTAATCACAAAATGGAATCGTTGGCTTCAGGAAAGCAGTAGACAGTCAGACATCAGGAATAAGAGAATATGTGATATTTTTATGGAGCATACAAATACTGACCAGCAGTTTATTTTTAATACTCATGTAGACTTTTAAAAATATGTTTCTCAATTGAAAATTTTCAGATTTACTGCTACCTACCATGAACAGAATGATAGAATATGGAGCGGCTGTTCCGGTGACTACCATGGACAGAATGATAGAATATGGAGCGGCTGTTCTGGTGACTTGTTGACACAGTTTATACCTACCATGGACAGAATGATAGAATATGGAGCGGCTGTTCTGGTGACTTGTTGACACAGTTTATACCTACCATGGACAGAATGGTAGAATATGGAGTGGCTGTTCCGGTGACTTGTTGACACAGTTTATACCTACCATGGACAGAATGATAGAATATGGAGCAGCTATTCCGGTGACTTGTTGACACAATTTATACGTACCATGAACAGAATGATAGAATATGGAGAGGCTGTTCCGGTGACTTGTTGACACAGTTTATACCTACCATGAACAGAATGATAGAATATGGAGCGGCTGTTCCGGTGACTTGTTGATCCTCCCACGTCCCACATTTCTATAAAAAATGTCTTCTCCCCAGGAGTCCCTGCCTTGTAATCATGTAACTGAAAACAGATTTTGACAAAAGATAATGTATGATATTTATTTTAGTGAATAAATTTTGATGTGGATCAATTGAATTGCAGGTTAATTTAGGTGATTAGCACACAAACTCAAAGATCTCAGAGTTAAAAAAAAAATAAAGTTCTTGAATTAACTTTACCTTCACCTCCACCGAGCACCCTATCGTGTACGGAGGGTTGTTTGTGGGTTGTTGGTGACTTATTAAATGCACTAATGATGTTTTTCCGACTCCTGTGAAAAGACAAATACAGTATTTACCGTTCGAATTTTCTCTTATATTGATATATTTAAAGCTTGTCAGCGCGTGGTAATGTGACCAAAATTTGTTCCAGGACACCAAATTTTTGAATAAAGCTTTAAAAACAGTGTATAAATCTACTGATACCTGAATCACCAACAACTACGATCTTAACTTTGTCGATGTTTGCTGCCATCTCATTTTTCTGTCGGCCCTGCCACGACCATGTCACGAAATTTCTATTTTCACTTTTACTTTCATTTTCAATTTTTTTTAGCGGGGGCTCACCCACGTAAATACATATCAAGTAAGATGAAATTGGTTAAAACTTATATCAATATATTTTGATTTTCAGATTTTTCTTCAATCGTAAAGTAGATTATTTGAAGTGGCTGTTCCGGTGACTTGTTGACACAGTTTATAACCATGGACAGAATTAAAATTATGGAGCAACACAAAATTGTGACTTGATGACACATTTTACAGCAAAAATGACATTTCAAACGGCTGTTATTCTGGATTTTATACATACAACAGAGGTTTGAAGTTTTGTCTATTCCTGACTTTTTACACAGTACTTATACTTAAATGGACAGAATGATAAAATTTGTGCCACAGTCATAAAATGGTCGTGATAGCTGTTCCGGTGATTGCACAGTTTATACCTACCGGTAATTCAGAATGATAATGAGAGCTGTGGTGACTTGTTGACACAATTTATACGTACCATGTCATGTATGTATTTCATTGGTCTCCCATTCATATTGCACAAATTTTATTGGCAGTGTAATTTTAATTGCAACGTACATTTCTATAAAAAATGTCTTCTCCCCAGGAGTCCCTGCCTTGTAATCATGTAGCTGAAATCAAGTTTTGACAAAAGATAATGTATGAAATTTTTATTAAATAAATTTTGATGTGGATCAATTGAATTACAGGTTAATCAGGTGATTAGTCCACAAATCAAAGATCTCAAGTTAAAAAAAAATTAAGTTCTTGAATTAACATTACCTTCACCTCTACCGAGCATCCTATCGTGTACGGTGGGTTGTTTGTAGGTTGTTGGTGACATATTAAATGGACTAATGATGTTTTCCCGACTCCTGTGAAAAGACAAACACTCAGTATTTACCGTTCGAATTTTCTCTGATATATTTAAAGCTTGTCAGCGCGTGGTAATGTGAAAAATATATTAAAAAATAATAAATAAAGCTTAACAAACAGTGTATAAATCTACTGATACCTGAATCACCAACAACCACGATCTTAACTTTGTCGATGTTTGCTGCCATCTCATTTTTCTGTCAGCTTGCCTGCCATGTCACGAAATTTCTATTTTCACTTTTACTTTCATTTTCAACTTTTCCTTTCGCATTTTATTCAAAATACATATGAAATTAATTTGGTTAAAAATTATATCAATATATTTTGATTTTCAGATTTTTCTTCAATCGTTAAGTAGATTATTTGAACATGTTGAAGTGGATGAATATTGTTCGATTCCTTTACGAATCGGAGTTGGTGTAAGCGGCCTTAAAATTATCGACTGCAACACAAAATTGTCAGATGCTGCATTTTTCAGCAAAAGTGACATTTCAAACTCGCCCGATTTCTGGATTTCCTGACAAGAAGGTTTGAAGTTTTGTCTACCTATCTTTTTAAATTCTTATGCTTAAATCAGGAGATGAAATTTATGCCACATCATAAATTTCTCTTAGTTCAATTGTCATAATTTCACTGATAATGAGATGTGGAACATATGTTGACGTATGTCATGTATTGTATTTCAGTGGTCTTCCATTCAAATTGCACAAATTTTATTGGCAATATAAATTTCTTTTCAATAATTAATCTTGCTTTGATATCCATTTTTACTGAACGCTTCTAAGAACATATATACTAATTTTAATGGTGTTTGCCAAAAATTGTGATATTTCAAATTGCTTTGAAAATAAAAATTTTGTGGCTGAAGTAATCAAACCCTTGACCCCTTCATATGTTTTGTTAATTGTTTAAACTCTCCACTTGATAAATTGATAATATAAAATGTATATAGTCTTTCTATAAATCAAAGGAGAAAATGTATGGCTGGACTGTGAATCATACCCAGGACCCCTGTATCACAAGCCAGCTGCTCTACCATGAGGCCAATATTCACGCTTTAAGCAAATTACTAATTTCAATGTACAATAAACTATTTATTTTATTAAAATCATTTTTTTTCAGGGTAATATACCTGTTGCAGCTCTTTAGGTGTTTTACTCAAAAAGCTTGCTTGATACATATATACATGTATTTTAGCCGATTTGTGTATATGGATTGTACAAGTTCATTGGAAAAGGCTTATAAATCATCTTAATGCATAATTTTCATAACAAATATGTTTTATTACCCATTTCAAAGTTCTTGTCCGTCAAACAAATAAATTCGAAAACTTTTTATGATTAAAAAATGTTCAAAAACCTCATTTTGTGACAGTTATAAAAACTGTGTTATTTCCTTACATATTATATAATTTAACAGTTTATTTGGATTTTAAAATAATCGTTTTGATTGCTATTCGCCATGTGTTTAACAGAATTGGAAGAAAAGCCTCGAGGTATAAAATTTACCCTAACCGCTATCATCCCTTACCCTGTGCTCAAAAATATAGGGATACAATTGTAGATCGCAATGCATTTATAACAATATTTTTTATGCACATGTATTTTCTGCTACGTGCTTCAAAATTTAAATAATTTTGTGCATTATGTACAGTATATTATTTAATTTTATTTGAAAGATCTTAATCAGCATTGAATAACAGCTGTTACACATAACCCACACATATTTCCCCTTATATAAGCTTATTAAATACAACCGACTTATAGGCGGACTGACTTATAGGCGTATATATGGTAATTTATAAATTATGAATTTGGCCCTTAAAGTAATACTGTTTTTTTTTATTCTTCTGTTTTTTGACCCCCCGAAAAATCCAAGATAAAAATGTGAAATTCAGCTACTTATTACATTCCAACAAAATAATCAAATAATTTTAATTTAATTCGAACTGTTACAAGAGACATTAGAACATTGTCTACACTTAGATTGCAAAAAGAGGTGTGTACGACCTTATCTCTCTTGGTTTTTCGGGATCACATCAAGCGCACTGAAGAAAAATTTCGGACTTCCGAGTGGATAAACTTGGAGAGATTTCACACAAAGATTGTGAAACATGTAGTGTATACCTCTGATCAAATCATTTTTGCGATGAAAAATTTCAAAATTTGTTTGAAATAATTTTAGAAAACTTAGTTTGCTTTACACAACCGAATTAAAGAACTGTGTCATGACCTTGCAATGCATGTAAATCATGATGGAGAAAAATTGTGTTTGTGTGGTCGAATCTTTCTTAAGGATAAACTTGGTAGGTTTTTATTTCACACAAAGATTGCCCAGATAATTGTGTTGCATGACCTTGACCCAAGGTCATTTGGGGAAGTTCATTAGGTGTCTTAGAAAAATTTCAAAATTCATGTTTGACACATAATCACTCTATATATATCCAGGTGATATTCATGATCTATACAATATATCACATAGTCTTTCATATGTATGACAGGAAAGGAGAAAATGTATAGCTGGACTGGGAATCAAACCCAGGACCCCTGTATTACTAGCCAGGTGCTCTGCCGACTGAGCTAGCCTGAGGCCAATATTACACTTACTTTAATTAAACATATTACTTTCCATAGATGTACAATTTAGCACCATTGATAAATTTGTCTACACAGTATTAGAGTAGAATAATAGGGGAAAGTGCTTATAATTCTTGTAATATAATAACTTTTAATTAAAAGTTCGTATAAAATAAATCTCCCCCAGATTGTCACTAATGTTTTTTAAATTGTCAACATATATCATCACTGATCATTCCAAGATTTTATAATATGTATTTCATATCTACAAATAACTTCTTTGAAAGTCAACCAGAAAGTTAGTTGAAGGAGAAAAAAAAGAAACACATACCTGTAGATATTTCTGAAGCATTATTTACAATGTTTGTATAATTATAGTGTTTGCAATCTATGCATTTGAAGGATTTATTTAACATGTAGATACATGTACATGTACCTGCATGTATACTTTAAATTATAATTCATAAATGTGGCTCTTAAAGTAATACTGTTTTTTTTTCTCTTTTTCTTTCAGAAATAGTATATATAAAAGTTTCCAATATGTGATCATTACATTGAGAAATCAGTACAATGGAGGACATCCTTTCCCAGCTCATCAGGGATTCATCTTCTGCAAAATACACCAACATAAAGAACAGAGCCGTGGACGCGCGGGAACTGCTACAAAACAAAGGCCTGTTAGAGGTGACCCCAGCCCACGTCTTACGGGAGAAATGTCTGGAACCCCTACAGTTAGCATTGGAATCCAAAAATAGAAAACTCGCAACAGACGCTGTAAATGGAATACAGGTATACACAACATATCGTTATCAGTACAAAAAAAAATCTCCTTAAATTACAAGTATACACAACACATCTGTACAAAAAATCTTAAAATACAAGTAAACATGATAGGTCTACATCAGTACAAAAAACCCCCTTAAATACAGAAAAAATAACTACGTAATGTATCAATAAACATGATACAGATAACACTCCATAATGTTTAATGTCATTATGTAGCCCATGATACTTAACCATACTACATAATACAGACTGATAGATACACCACAGAAAACACATATACATTGTAACAGGAAAGATCAAATGTATGGCTTTAACGCTTGTATCTCTAGTCAGGTGCTCTACCAACTGGCTATCCAGGCCGATATCCACGGGCCAAACTATATATTCCTCATGATTAATTGGTCTTCGCCCTTAATACACAACCCAAGTTCTTATTGCCCCTGCCAGGACTTTCACCTGCAATTCCAGGGGTGGTCAACGGCACCAAATCTGTAACAGGAAAGGAGAAAATGCATGGCTGGACCTCCCAATCGAGATTGTATCTCTAGTCAGGTGCTCTACCTACTGAGCTATCCAGGCCGATATCCACGGCCCAAACCATTACAACATAAACATTTCCACCATCATCGGGAACGAGTGATCTTGTCTTTACTTATCACTTGAAATTTACATTTACATTTCAACTTGAAATTTACATTTACATTTCCACTGGAAATAAATCATGAAATTACAAAAAAAAAAATTTTTCTTTAAACTTAGTCTACTGAGTAGTCTCTAAAAATGTTAGAATTTAAAAAAATTTGACAGAATGATTTCAAAATGTCTCTAAGACATAAATTTAATGTTTACGATTAAATATTTGAGATCTGGGTGATACCTCTGCTTATAGGTGATATTTGATACATCGGTTTCAGTCCAGTAATATTTGATACATGATCAGAGATGGATGCCGATACAGATCCTCAACACTGTGTTGTGTACCCCATCTTTACCCGAGGACACGCAAATGGATATCATGAAGGTATATACTGGGTATAAGGCCTAGCGAAGAAATTGATACTGTATACAGAGAAATTTTTGCCCCCATTTTACCTTTGCCCCTTTTCTCCCTATCCTCATTTTGGCAAATTTTAATTGGGCATTTTCAAAGAATACAGTATAATTTTTTTTATATAAAACTATGACAGGGCGAATGTAAAACGGGGCAAAATTGTTTGAAGTGTGAAATATGGCGAAAATGACACAGGGTTGAAAGTAACCCTGTATACAGTAATTAAGATCAATTTGACATAATAAATGTATATCATGCATATACTGGATAAAGGGACAAAAATTAATAATTTTTAAAATTTTATTTTAGAATGTGTTTACTTAAAAGTAATATAGATACTTATTTTTAACAATGAGTAATATACAATATTATACACTTTATTACATTTTTAACAGTGAAATACTGTAATTTATTCATTGAATACAAGTGATATCCTGTCACGGTGTGAAAGGATATCAAAATGATATCCTGTCACAGTGTGAAAGAGAAATTTTCAGAAGTGATTTTCACCCTTTTCCTTCCCTTCACCAAGAATGTTGTAAAAAATACTCCTTAACCTGTTATAAGATAGAAAACGAGTTCATAAACTATTCTGTCATAAAATAAAACTGCGCAAGTTCCCCAAATAATGTTGCTGAAATTCATGTTTACAATGTTTATCACTTAGCTATGACGTCTCAGCCGCTCAACTATGACGTCATGTAGCCTAAACCTGCATTTACAAGAAAGACGTAGGCAAAGGGAAAATCAAAGAAAATGTAATAAATAGAAAATTCAATGTTTTGTAGTTGAAGGGATGGAATTTATTTCACTCGTTAATAATTTTTAAAATTTTTTGATTTTAGAATGTGTTTCGCACTCGTGAAAATATAAAAAAATCCTGTCCCACTCGTGAAATTTAACAATATTCAACAACAAAACATTGAATATCCTCTATGTATGTAATTTTTGTCTTTGTAGCTTCTGTTGAATATGACATTTTCTACGTCTTGGTGCATGAATGCAAAAGTCATCACAAAAATAACACAGGTAGGGGTTGGCAATATCTGCATGCTGGGAAAGTGGTAGGGCTAGATAAATACCCAGGTATGGGGTAGTCAGCCTGAAAATGCTTGACCTCTGTGGGGCTCTAAGTTCATCTACCTGGTTTACAATTTATATTTATTTTAATCTTCCTTGAAAATTAGATAGTTTTACTCAAGGGATTAATTATTATTTCCATAAAGTTGCTATTAAAACTAATTTAAATAAGTTTGAAATTTAGGTTGATATCTATGCATTGTCTTTTTAGTATTGTTGAAAGATAAGATCGTTATTGCACCATCCCCTTATGTTTAGGTGATGGTTTGTTTAGCAGTAGTTATGTTAGGGAGCCTCTTGTTGTAGGTGTATATAGATACCTACATGACAAGCACCCATAATGTTAGGGGTACAGTGAAGGCAGCCCTCACCCAGCTTCTCACCAGCTTCACAGACAAACTGCAATCTGCTGACAGCAGAGGGGTAAGACAAGGAAACCTACTGTAGCCTATGCTTTCTATGTTGATTTGTGTTAAAAAGTCTTTAGTATTTGTGTTTCACTGTTTATGCATTATGTTGTTTATAAGTGCCTAAAAGCTTTTTTGATGATACATGTTTTTAAGCATACAATTCTCTGAGTCATACAAAGATTTATTGTTTAGATACATATACATATAAACAAATAATTTTGAAAAGACTGTTTGAATACATATAATGTACTTATAATGAATATGCATGAAAATAATGCTTATGTTACTCGATTTATTTTTAAATACCTAAGCTAGAGGGAGTTTCTATATCATAAAAATGTTAACATGTATTGATAAATGAATATATTTTTTGTTATCAGCAGATTGTTTTATTATTTTTTTTATATTACAAGATCTGACTATTTCTTATTGCTGCTTTGCTTTAGCAAGGAGATGATGGGGATGTTCTAGCTGACTTCAACCCTAAAGGTGAGTTTACTGTCCTTAAAGTCAAACTAATAAAGGAAAATAGAATAGCTGATTGGTAAAAAATATGTGCACAACTCAATATGTATATAAATTATTATAAAACCAAGTCTTTAGAAACAAAAAGTTATAATGTTTGTGTGTGTGTTAAGGGAACTCAGACAAGGATGGCCTGACTACAGACACTATCAGGATTCTACAGTTCTTCACCAATAAACTAGATGAGGCCTTAGGGTAAGTCTGTCTGATTAGCTTTTACTTACAGAGGCACTCCTTGTTTGAGATGGAGTCTATACACTAAGTATGTGATCATTTGATTGCAGCAGTCAGACCAGAGTATCAGTACCCTTGTTGTTAGAGGGAGTACTAACAATCATTACGAACTGTCCCAGAGGAATCAACTCCAGTGAGCTCTTTCAGGAAATCATATGGTGAGATGTTAAACATACCAGTATACTCTGAATTTTTCTGATTCTTGTTTTTATTATGTACAAATTTCAAACAATTGAGTGAAACTGGTAAAATAAAGATGGACAATAGAGATGATTGTACATTTCTTTTCTAGGAAGAGTCTCTGTCCCTGTTTGATCTCTTTGTTGGGATCTCCAAAGTCTGAGAAGACAGTATGTAGTCAGAAGACGCCACACAAAGAGGATATAGGACGAGGATCAGGTTGTTCTATGTCAGCTCCGAATCTACAGGCAACCACAGCTAAAACTATCTATAGGTAAACTATCTACAGGCAACCACAGGTAAAACTGTCTATAGGTAAACTATCTACAGGCAACCACAGGTAAAACTGTCTATAGGTAAACTATCTACAGGCAACCACAGGTAAAACTGTCTATAGGTAAACTATCTACAGACAACCACAGCTAAAACTGTCTATAGGTAAACTATCTACAGACAACCACAGCTAAAACTGTCTATAGGTAAACTATCTACAGGCAACCACAGCTAAAAGTGTCTATAGGTAAACTATCTACAGGCAACCACAGCTAAAACTGTCTATAGGTAAACTATCTACAGGCAACCACAGGTAAAACTGTCTATATGTAAACTATCTACAGGCAACCACAGCTAAAAGTGTCTATAGGTAAACTATCTACAGGCAACCACAGCTAAAACTATCTATAGGTAAACTATCTACAGGCAACCACAGCTAAAACTGTCTATAGGTAAACTATCCACAGACAACCACAGCTAAAACTGTCTATAGGTAAACTATCCACAGACAACCACAGCTAAAACTGTCTATAGGTAAACTATCTACAGACAACCACAGCTAAAACTGTCTATAGGTAAACTAGCTACAGGCAACCACAGCTAAAAGTGTCTATAGGTAAACTATCTACAGGCAACCACAGCTAAAACTGTCTATAGGTAAACTATCTACAGACAACCACAGCTAAAACTGTCTATAGGTAAACTATCTACAGACAACCACAGCTAAACTGTCTATAGGTAAACTAACAACAGACAACCACAGCTAAAACTGTCTATAGGTAAACTATCTACAGACAACCACAGCTAAAACTGTCTATAGGTAAACTATCCACAGACAACCACAGCTAAAACTGTCTATAGGTAAACTATCCACAGACAACCACAGCTAAAACTGTCTATAGGTAAACTATCCACAGGCAACCACAGCTAAAACTGTCTATAGGTAAACTATCCACAGACAACCACAGCTAAAACTGTCTATAGGTAAACTATCCACAGACAACCACAGCTAAAACTGATTATAGGTAAACTATCTACAGGCAACCACAGCTAAAACTGTCTATATGTAAACTATCTACAGGCAACCACAGCTAATAGCGAGTGCAGCGAGGCGGCGCAAAGCACCACTTGCGTAGCGAGCTCAATAGACTAACGTGTACGGACGGAGGAAATTCGGGTTGAAATCTGCACATTGTTCCAAGAAAATTTATCTCACTGCGTGAAAAAATTCCAAACTCCCAATAATCCTTTGCGGTGCATAGCAACATGGTGGCTAAAACATAGCAACAATTAACTTACCATATTTGGCCGGGTATGATACGCATTGATGTAAAATACGCACCCCCTTTTTGAGTCTGAAACTGGGGAAAAAAAAACGCAGTTCGGATGTACTATACGCAACAGAAAAAATTACCAAGCGATGTTCTGAACTTTGAAAATCGCGGTAATTTGTTACGAAAATCGGCGCGAGGATTACGTGTCAAAAATTTACTGAACACACTTTTTTTTTAAAATACACACTTTATAACTTTCTCTTAATCTTGACATTCCATATCGCGGCAATCTGGAGAAAATTATTTATTCATTTATTTCAACAAAGCACAAGATAATGTTGCGTAAAAGTATTAACAGATTTTTTTAAAGAATAGTTACGGTGATTTTGAAATTATGCGTCGCCATATTCTTAGATGAAATAATTCTATTTCAACAAAGCAAGATTAATTGTCGAAAGTTTTATCAGTTGTCATATTTAATTTTGGTTCTAGATAATCATGCTGAAAATTATCTTACAATATTTTAACAGGAAACGAAATTGAAACATCCAAGTATTTATTTCTTTAAGAAGACTACGATTTTCCTTCTGAATCTTCGCGGATATCTTATTTTCTAAATGATACCACTTTTATTAAAAGTTTTAGCATGATTTATATTTCATTTGTCAAGTCTCAATTATTTAAACAAGAGGCCAATAAGTATAAGATAAGGTTAATTACATTTAACAAGTGTTTAATTGTTTAAAGTGCCGTAATCAACACATGCTCACACACACGAAAGGTCATAAACTGACCCCAATTTTTAACAAAAAAAATAATCAAAGCAATTAATATGGCAGTAAATAATCAGTGCTCTAACTGTAAAAACATTGCTTTGGAGTCGGTAGACAATTAATTGCCCCGAGGGGTGTTGATAGGTAATTATCATTTGACCAGCGCACGTGTGTCACAACATTGGCTTCCTTTCATTGGGACGTATGGAGGGGTGTTCATATTGTTACAGATTATCATTGAGTTATTTTAAACCTAAAATTAATATTTATTTTATTGTATTTCATTAAAAAATGATTTATTACTTTGTCTGGCAGATAAGGTGCATGTGCACTATCATTACGGAAGCACGTGATATAGGCATGAGTGAACGTCTAAAAATAACATCGGTAATGGCGGCCTCCTCGGAGACAATCAACATGCAGCTCAAATTACTTTTAACTTACTTTTTCATGTTATTTTGGTATCAAAAGATTATGAAAGTGACATTTTTAAGAAGCATACCTTCCAACAATAACTTTCCGAAGTTTAAAATATGGCAATAAACAAAAGAAATTGCATTGCCTATGTCTCTAGGTAATACTACGGTATGTACATATGATAGCCGTGTATCACCTGAAAGAAAAACTTGTCAAAATCCCATTGTGATGTAAAATACGCATCCCTTTCTCACAGTAATTTATTTTAGGAAAAAAGTGCGTATTGTATTCCCCCAAATACAGTATTTGAAAAAAATACAAACAACGATTTAATGCAATCTCCTTACCACAAACTCTCGTTTGCGGTCTAAGTCAACAGGACTTCTTAATTAACGTCATACTTCTGTCACTTAAACGGCTCGGGTATATCCGATTTTGTCGGAAACTTCCGAAAATTTTCGGAATCTCAATCCCGATGCCTGGGAAGTGATATCTTTTTATATTTTCTTCTTTGTTTTAATGAACTGAGAATAGGCAGTGCAAGTATAAAAGCTATGTAAAGGTTTTTGAAAGTAAGTAACTGCGCTCGCCCCAACGGTCGCACCGTAGAACATATTACTGTCTACTAGCAACCACAGCTAAAACTGTCTACAGGTAAAATATCTACAGGCAACCACAGCTAAAACTGTCTATGGGTAAAATATCTACAGGCAACCACAGCTAAAACTGTCTATGGGTAAACTATCTACAGGCAACTACAGCTAAAACTGTCTTTATGTAAACTATCTACAGGCAACCACAGCTAAAACTGTCTATAGGTAAACTATCCACAGGCAACCACAGCTAAATCTGTCCACATGTAAACTATCTACAGAAAACCACAGCTAAAGCTGTCTATAGGTAAACTATCTACAGGCAACCACAGCTAAAACTGTCTATAGGTAAACTATCTACAGTCAACCACAGCTAAAACTGATTATAGGTAAACTATCAACAGACAACCACAGCTATAACTGTCTTTATGTAAACTATCTACAGGCAACCACAGCTAAAACTGTCTATAGGTAAACTATCCACAGACAACCACAGCTAAAACTGTCTATAGGTAAACTATCCACAGACAACCACAGCTAAAACTGTCTATAGGTAAACTATCTACAGGTAACCACAGCTAAAACTGTCTATAGGTAAACTATCTACAGACAACCACAGCTAAAACTGTCTATAGGTAAACTATCCACAGGCAACCACAGCTAAAACTGTCTTTATGTAAACTATCTACAGGCAACCACAGCTAAATCTGTCTATATGTAAACTATCTACAGGCAACCACAGGTAAAACTATCTATATGTAAACTATCTACAGGCAACCACAGCTAAAACTGTCTATAGGTAAACTATCTACAGGCAACTACAGCTAAAACTGTCTTTATGTAAACTATCTACAGGCAACCACAGCTAAATCTGTCTATATGTAAACTATCTACAGGCAACCACAGGTAAAACTGTCTATAGGTAAACTATCTACAGGCAACCACAGGTAAAACTATCTATAGGTAAACTATCTACAGGCAACCACAGCTAAATCTGTCTATATGTAAACTATCTACAGGCAACCACAGGTAAAACTGTCTATAGGTAAACTATCCACAGGCAACCATAGCTAAACTGTCTATTGGTAAACTATCCACAGGCAACCACAGGTAAAACTATCTATAGGTAAACTATCCACAGGCAACCACAGCTAAAACTGTCTTTATGTAAACTATCTACAGGCAACCACAGCTAAATCTGTCTATATGTAAACTATCTACAGGCAACCACAGGTAAAACTGTCTATAGGTAAACTATCTACAGGCAACCACAGGTAAAACTATCTATAGGTAAACTATCTACAGGCAACCACAGCTGTCTATAGGTAAACTATCTACACAGCTTTAGGTAAAATATCTACTGGTAGGAGCAGCAAAAATGAAAGCTCTATGTTTAGTAGATTTTTCTTCTTTTTTATGTCAGTGTTGTTTCCAAAGCAGTTTTGCAATGATCAGTTCTGTGATTTATCTGCAAGCTTGCTTGAGATATATACACAAATATACTTTTTCTAAGCTTACTTTGTAAGGATGAAGCGGTTGTTTGTATTGTATTCCAGTATTGCGGATTCCTTTGTTAATTACATGAGATTGGAGCGGTTGTTTGTATTCCAGTATTGTGGTTTCCTTTGTTAGTTACATGAGATTGGAGCGGTTGTTAGTATTCCAGTATTGCGGTTTCCTTTGTTAATTACATGAGATTGGAGCGGTTGTTTGTATTCCAGTATTGGGGTTTCCTTTGTTAGTTACATGAGATTGGAGCGGTTGTTAGTATTCCAGTATTGCGGTTTCCTTTGTTAATTACATGAGATTGGAGCGGTTGTTTGTATTCCAGTATTGGGGTTTCCTTTGTTAATTACATGAGATTGGAGCAGTTGTTTGTATTCCAGTATTGCGGTTTCCTTTGTTAATTACATGAGATTGGAGCGGTTGTTTGTATTCCAGTATTGGGGTTTCCTTTGTTAATTACATGAGATTGGAGCGGTTGTTTGTATTCCAGTATTGCGGTTTCCTTTGTTAATTACATGAGATTGGAGCGGTTGTTTGTATTCCAGTATTGCGGTTTCCTTTGTTAATTACGTGAGGTGAAGCGGTTGTTTATATTCCAGTATTGCGGTTTCCTTTGTTATTTATGTGAGGTTGAAGCGATTGTTTGTATTCCAGTATTGCGGTTTCCTTTGTTAATTACGTAAGGTGAAGCGGTTGTTTATATTCCAGTATTGCGGTTTCCTTTGTTATTTATGTGAGGTTGAAGCGGTTGTTTGTTTTGTTTTCCAGTATTGCGGTTTCCTTTGTTATTTATGTGAGGTTGAAGCGATTGTTTGTATTCCAGTATTGCGGTTTCCTTTGTTAATTACGTAAGGTGAAGCGGTTGTTTATATTCCAGTATTGCGGGTTCCTTTGTTATTTATGTGGGGTTGAAGCGGTTGTTTGTTTTGTTTTCCAGTATTGCAGTTTCCTTTGTTAATTATGAGAGGTTGAAGCTGGTGTTTTTATTCCACAATTGCTGTTTCCTTTGTTAATTTTGTGAGGTTGAAGTGGTTGTTTATATTCCAGTATTGTGGTTTCCTTTGCTAATTACGTGAGGTTGAAGTGGTTGTTTGTATTCCAGTATTGTGGTTTCCTTTGCTAATTATGTGAGGTTGAAGTGGTTGTTTGTATTCCAGTATTGTGGTTTCCTTTGCTAATTATGTGAGGTGAAGCGGTTGTTTATATTCCAGTATTGCGGTTTCCCTGGTGGAGTTGATGGGGACTGTTGGTACCATGAGACCGGTTCTGGAGTCGCTATTCCATAGAATGCTGTTGTATTCACCTCCCCAACATAGACTGGATGCCCTGAAAGCTGTCAGAGAGGTAAATCCTTGTGTATTTGTCATGTTTAAGAGATGTCATTGTATTACACCTGGGAAACAATGTTAATCATACTCCAAGTTATAAGTATGAGAAAGACTGTGTATAACACCTGTTCTACTTTTTTGATAATAAGAATGGTAGATTTGGTTTTGATATTTGTTGAGAATGGACAATATTATCTGATTTCAGCTGCTGAGAACTCCAGAGAACCTGTATAACCTAGCAGCCCCAGCCATAGAACCTGTACAGAGGGAGAAGGCAGCGAAAAATCCCAACGCAGACATTTCTCTTCTCAAACTGTGAGTATTTATCCTTAGTTAAGTTTTACTGGTAGTGAATTAAAGGACATCATTTATCTTTTGAGGCATTAATGTCGCTCCCCTCCCATAAAACTCTTTTCTTTTAGCTGAAACAAAGTACTCACAACATCCTTATTAAAACCATAGTTTCTCTGTAGCTGTAATTGTTAGAACATACAGACTTGCAAAATAGTCTTACACAGGGAGATATAACTTGTATTTTGTGTAGAATTGTGGACTCACCATAATGACTTGTATTTCTGTGTAGGATTGTGGATAATGACTTGTATTTCTGTGTAGGATTGTGGATAATGACTTGTATTTCTGTGTAGGATTGTGGATAATGACTTGTATTTCTGTGTAGGATTGTGGATAATGACTTGTATTTCTGTGTAGGATTGTGGACTCTCTAGAGGAGTGCTGTCACTGTAATGACCTGGCTGTCTGTGTTACCAGTGTTAGCTGTGTGGAGGAGATGCTGGGAGCCCTAGAACTGACCTGTAAGGGGGAGGCAATCACCCCCAACCTCCAGAGGAGCATGAACAAGTTCTACAGGACCCTCTCAGAAACAAGTAAGATAAGTAAGATAAAGAGAGTATCACTTCTACTCTACAAAGAAACAGAATGAAGGGGGAGGGTGACATCTCTACTCTACAAGGAAACAAGATAAAGGAAAGGGTATCACCTCTACTACACAAAGAAACAAGATAAAGGGGGTGAGGTGGGGGTATCACGTCTTAACTTGAATTATCTCCACAGAAACAAGGAAGATAAAGGGGAATTGTAGGACCTGTTATCTTCACAGACCAAGATTTACCTGATTCTCTAAGTGATGGATATGAACTATGTCCCCTGTGTATATTTTTCTACCCTAGGTGTGTCCCGTCACAGTAGTGTTTCCTCCTGCTGCCAGGAAGCTGACGGAGAAACAGACACCCAGGATAACGACGTATTCCAACAGAACAAAACGGAGAATAAAGGAGGTCAGGGGGTCGTCAAGGGAGATCACTCTAACACAGAATACAGAATCCGGGAGGAAATCAAGAAACAGTACAACAGGTTAGGGAGGAACATGGAAGAGCTGGAGAAACAGAATGCCGAGGAGTTTGTACGGAAACTGGAGCTGTTTGTACCAAGGCTGGGACAGATGTTAGACGTGACAGACGTGGATGAAGCCCTGCAGCAGTTTGCTGCTGAGTTCTGTACAGGTGAGAGTTCTGTACAGGTGGGAGTTCTGTACAGGTGAATGTTCTGTACAGGTGGGAGTTCTGTACAGGTGAGTGTTCTGTACAGGTGAGAGTTCTGTACAGGTGTGAGTTCTGTACAGGTGAGATTTCTGTACAGGTTTGAGTTCTGTACAGGCAAGAGTTCTGTACAGGTGTGAGTTCTGTACAGGTGTGAGTTCTGTACAGGTGAGGGTTCTGTACATGTGTGAGTTCTGTACAGGTGAGAGTTCTGTACAGGTGTGAGTTCTGTACAGGTGTGAGGTCTGTACAGGTGAGTGTTCTGTACAGGTGAGAGTTCTGTACAGGCGAGAGTTCTGTACAGGTGAGTGTTCTGTACAGGTGAGAGTTCTGTACAGGTGTGAGTTCTGTACAGGTGAGAGTTCTGTACAGGTGAGAATCTATACAGGTGAGAGTTCTGTACAGGTGAGAGTTCTATACAGTAGAATGGCTTTGTGTATTTTCCTTTATAATTGTATATGTGACAATGGTTATAGGTCTTGGCTGAAATTTCATTGATCAATTTCCAAGAAGTTAGGAGAAAAATTACTATTAATAATACAAGACTAAAATGTAGAGCAAGATTGTTATTATATTCCATAGTAACTCAATGCTGATACTGAAGTGGTTGTTTTCCAGCATTATATGATACTCAATCACAAAGTGAAAGTGAAAGTCATATGGCCATCCTGAATGCTGATGGAGTGTATGTAGCCAGTATTAGTTCATTACATTTATGTTTACAACTGTCCACATCAGGATACTACCACAGGAGAGGCTATCCAAGTATTACAGAGGTAAATATAACATCAGGATACTACCACAGGGGAGGCTATCCACGTATTACAGAGGTAAATATATCTATAAAACCAGCCGTTTTTGAGAAATCACTTTCACAAAATCGGTAAGAAAAAAACAAAAATAAAAGTGGAAAAGAAACCTAAGAATAACAGAAAGGTCTTCCGCTAAAGAGAAGAAAATGGAGCGGACTTATTTATTTTAATTTTTCAACTGTGAAATAATGTTTATTTAGCCCTTGAATAAAATTATTTCATTGTGAAAGTACAAAAAAACTGTGGCAGAATTCAAGATTTTCCTGCTCTTTATGAATAATGCTGCAAAGAAGTGCAGATAGTGAGCTAAGTACATAAATCATCCTGGCACAGACAAGAACTGCCAAAGATTCTCCAAATTGTTGTTAAAATGCATGTTTACAATTTTTTAATCTCACAACCTCTTTGTTAAAATGTCTGACAACTGCTCAGCTGTGACATCACAGCCTATGACACTACATTACAAAACAACAGCAAAAGAAAAATCAAAGAAAAATTTAACAAACAGAAAATTCAATGTTTTTTAGTGGGATATGGAATTCATTTCATTTTTGGGACAGAATTTTTGCATCACAATTCTGAAAATTGATTAAAAACAAAATATCCTGTCCAACTTGTGCAATAAATTGTACATTCAAAACATTTACTACCATCTATGAATTTTGTAGAAGGACTTTGTAGACTCTGTGCTGGGCTGTGGACTGTTGCTTTTCCTCTCTCCGGCCTGGCTGAGAGAAGTCTACCATCAGCTGACTAGGAGAAACCTTTTACAGAGTGTATCAACGACTTCAACATCACCCCTCATCAACTTCCTCAAAGTTAAGTATCCTAAATAGACATTCAGTAAATCACCCTTTATCAACTCAGTCAAATATTGGTGTCCTAAATCAGTGTAGAATAAGTCTCCCCTGATCAACTCAATCAAGGATTGGTGTCCTAAATAATGTAGAATAAGTCAGCCCTCATCAACTCAATCAAGGGTTGGTGTCCTAAATCAGTGTAGAATGAGACACCCTTGATCAATTCAATCAAGGGTTGGTGTCCTAAATCAGTGTAGAATAAGTCACCCCTTATCAACTCAGTCAAAGATTGGTGTCCTAACTCAGTGTAGAATAAGTCACCCCTACTCAAATCAATCAAGGATTGGTGTCTTAAAGCAGACATTTAGAATAAGTCACCCTGATCAAAACAATCAATGATTGGTGTCCTAAATCAGTGTAGAATAAGTCACCCTGATCTACTCAGTCAAGGATTGGTGTCCTAAATCAGTCTAGAATAAGTCATCCTGATCAACTCAATCAAGGGTTGGTGTCCTAAAACATGTAAAATAAGTCACCCCTGATTAACTCAATCAAGGGTGGGTGTCCTAAACTCATCTGTCATTAAATCAATCAAGGGTTGGTGTCCTAAATCAGTGTAGAATAAGTCACCCTGATCAACTCAATCAAGGGTTGGTGTCTTAAATCAGTGTAGAATAAGTCACCCCTGATCAACTCAATCAAGGATTGGTTGTCCTAAATCAGTGTAGAATGAGTCACCGCTGATTAACTCAATCAAGGATTGGTGTCTTAAATCAGTGTAGAATATGTCACCCCTGAACAACTCAATCAAGGGTTGGTGTCCTAAATCAGTGTAGAATGAGTCTTCGCTGATCAACTCAATCAAGGATTGGTGTCTTCACTCAGTTTAAATAAGTCACCCCTGATCAACTCAATCAAGAATTGGTGTCCTAAATCAGTGTAAAATGAGTCATTCCTGATCAACTCAATCAAGGGTTGGAGTTCTAAATCAGTGTAAATAATTCACTCCTGATCAACTCAATCAAGGATTTGTGTCTTAAATCAGTGTAGAATAAGTCACCCCTGATAAACTCAATCAAGGATTGGTGTCCTAACTCAGTGTAAATAAGTCACCCTGATCAACTCAATCAAAGATTGGTGTACGAAATCAGTGTAGAATAAGTCACCCCTGATCAACTCAATCAAGGATTGGTTGTCCTAACTCAGTTTAGAATAAATTGCCCCTGATCAACTCTATCAAGGATTGGTGTCCTAAATCAGTGTAGAAAAAGTCAGCTTTAATCAACTTAATCAAGGGTTGGTGTCCAAAATCAACACACTAATGCACCCCTCCTCAACTCAATCTAGGGTTGTTGTTCAAAATTACTTAATCATTTATAAACCATTATCCTTTAGTTATTTACAATTTAGATTACTTTCACAGTATATGAATTTTGTATGAATATATGTAGACAAGCATTGCAATGAACTTTGCAAGCATGCATGATGTATTAAAAGTTGTTCCATTTATATGACAGTACTGTTGAACTGTTTAAAAATATTTCCGACTTCTCTCTGATACAAGTACATCTGTTTATGTATTTGTTTGTCTGATACAAGTACATCTGTTTATGTATTTGTTTGTCTGATACAAGTACATCTGTTTATGTACTGGAGATTGGCAAATAATTGCGATGGTTTTAATTTCGCTATGTTCGCAATTCATCATTTTTCTGCGAAAATAAACCCATTGTGAATGCTATCATTAGCTATTAAAAACGTTTAAATGATTGTAAGAAATTTTCATACAGCGTGAAATTAAAACCATCGCGATTGGAACTTTTTGAGAAATCGTGAAATTTTAACACCGTGGAATTAAAACGACTTACAGTATTTGTTTGTCTGATACAAGTACATCTGTTTACGTATTTGTGTTTTAGATATAGACGGCCTTGGTAATCACGAGAAGGGAGGCCAGTTTCTCTGCAGCTTCTCGTTTGTACAGACAGAAGAGGAGGTAGATAACAAAGACAGCCTCGTCAAATCAGGTCAGTACAGTATGTACACCAAATATTCAACGATCTTCAAGATATTCAGTAAGCAGTTTTGTTTGTTAAGACTCTTTTATATTTTGGCCAGACTGTTTCACAAAGATGTTGACACTGATTTTCTTTTTCAATGTGAAATTATTAAATAGATCAATCATTGCTATATTATTCTCAAGGAATATGCACAGGTACAGGCTAATCAGAAATGTATATTTTGAAAACCACATGATATGCAACTTATTTCATGAACTCCATCTTAATATAAGGTAGTTGATTTGCACATACTTTTACCTCTCCTTTCTCTTTTAGCTATTAAAAACTTTTAACATTTTGTCCGTCGTCCGTAAGCTGTCCGTCTGTAAATTTTCACATTTTCAACTTCTTCTCAAGAAATTAATTTTAACCAAACTTAGTACAAAGCATCCTTGGGTGAAGGGGAATTTAAATTGTTAAAATGAACTTTTTCAAGAGAGAAAAATAGGGTTGGGTCATTAAAAAATCTTCTTCTCAACCACTGGGCCAGTAAAGCTGAAACTTATGTGGAACGAGTGTAGATTGTTTGTTTGTCTGAAGGGCGGGGCCACAATGGGGAATCCAAGTTTTATGTAGAAATATATAGGAAAAATCTTTGAAAATCTTCTTCTCAAGAACCACTGCAAAAAGCTGAAACTTATGTGGAAGCATCCTTGTGTTAGATTCTAAATTGTTCATATGACCCCCGGCCCACAATTCCAAGTTTTACATAGAAATATATAGGAAAAATCTTTGAAAATCTTCTTCTCAAGAACCACTGGGCCAGAAAAGCTGAAACTTATGTGGAAGCATCCTGGTATAATGTAGATTCTAAATTGTTCAAATCATGACCCCCGGGAAGGGTGGGGCCACAATGGGGAATCCAAGTTTTATATAGAAATATATAGGAAAAATCTTTGAAAATCTTCTTCTCAAGAACCACTGGGCCAGAAAAGCTGAAACTTATGTGGAAGCATCCTGGTGTAGTGTAGATTCTACATTGTTCAAATCATGACCCCCGGGGGAAGGGCGGGGCCACAATGGGGTATCAAAGTTTTACATAGAAATATATAGGAAAAATCTTTGAAAATCTTTTTCTCAAGAACCACTGGGCCAGAAAAGCTGAAACTTATGTGGAAGCATCCTGGTATAATGTAGATTCTAAGTTGTTCAAATAATGACCCCCGGGGGAAGGGCGGGGTCACAATGGGGAATCCAAGTTTTATATAGAAATATATAGGAAAAATCTTTGAAAATCTTCTTCTCAAGAACCACTGGGCCAGAAAAAGTGAAGCTTATGTGGAAGCATTCTGGGGTAGTGTAAATTCTAAATTGTTTCCCCCGGGAGAAGGGCAGGGCCACAATGGGGTATCAAAGTTTTATATAGAAATATATAGGAAAAATCTTTGAAAATCTTTCTACTGGGCCAGAAAAAGTGAAGCTTATGTGGAAGCATTCTGGGGTAGTGTAAATTCTAAATTGTAGGAATCATGACCCCCGGGGGAATCATTGCTAATCAAAGTTTTACATAGAAATATATAGGAAAAATCTTTGAAAATCTTCTCACACTGGGCCAAAAAGGCTGAAACATATGTGCCCATGGAAGGATCATGTATATTTTGAAAATGTCTAAATTATGATCAGTGGGGTAGGGTGGGGATGCATTATGTATAACAAGGGGGAAATCTGGTAAAGAACAGAATGGTATTCTCAGGTGAGCGATGTGGCCCATGGGCCTCTTGTTTATGTTACTGTATACAGTTTTCGATTTGCACATCATATGGGCGAATTTAAAACGGGGCGAATTCAAAGAATACAGTATAATTTCTTTAAAAAAAAACTGTGACTGGGCGAATTTAAAACGGAGTAAAATTGTTTGCAAGTGTGAAAGGGCGAAAATAAGACGGGGCAAAAATAACCCTGTATACAGTATTAATTGAAGACAGATAAGCACAATAATGATTTCTTCTTATCAGATTTTGATAGTTATACTGATTTACTGTTGCCAGGGAGAATGTTTGCCCGTCGAGTCTTGTCTAAGTGCTGGGACAGTATCCTTGATGTTTTGTCCGTACTACTTAACGGGAACTCATCTTGTGGGATCTCCAGCAGCCTTGGGCTCCTCTTAGGGACAGAGGGGGCCAAGGAAGAGAGCCTGAGGGCAAGAGAGGCCATCTGTACCAGTCTGAATGGTCTACAGAGGGCTGCCAAGCTCTGCTGTGCACTGGGTAAGGGCTAGTATTGTATATACAGAGGACAACAAAGCTCTGCCGTGCTCTGGGTAAGGGCTAGTATAGTATATACAGAGGGCTGCCAAGCTCTGCTGTGCACTGGGTAAGAGCTAGTATTGTATCTGACTTCTCAGTTACACCAGATGTGGACTAGTGTAGATATATAGAGGATATCTATATTGTGTGATTTGATATTGGCTTTATCCAACGAGGTGAAATGGAGTATATATTCGCAAGGCTTGCCGAGCAAATATACTCCATTTCAGCGACTTGGATAAAGGTAATATCAAATCACACAATTATAGATGTTCTATTTATTTCATACAACTTTCCTTTTCACAAACCTTTGAGACTTCCCCTGTGAAACTACATGAATGACTGCCAAATTAAAATTGATGATGTATAACTTGATGACGTAGCACCGTTGATATTCACATGCCTCAAAAGAAAGTAGATCTTGTTCAAAATTTAGAATTTTTGCTATCTGTATCTTTGTAAACATTATGTGACAAGTGCTGGAGCTTTACATCAAACGAACATCTGACTGAAAGTTGTAAGGACCATGGGATCATGAAAATGAACTCTGGGCGATGGCAGTACAAAACGCATAAACGCGTTAGGCAAGGCTAAGGGCCTACTTATAGATTCATTGTTGATCCATGGTAAGTTACACCCATATTACTAGGTAGGCATACGTAATATAATATAAGAAGGTATTATTGAAGATGTTAAAGGAATTTTATAATAACAACTTAACTGCTAGGCTTTACTTTCTCCGAAAACGATTTAAAGGAGGGGGGGGGGGGGGTTAACCTTCAAGTAGCAAGGATAGGTTCCTTGATAGAATAAGACCCTTTTTTTAACATGTACAAGTCTTTTTCTTGCTTTTAATATTATCGCTCTTTATCATTCATTTTATTAGGGCAATATTTTTTACAAATAATAGTTTCAATAAGATAAAATCTTGAAGTGAGGGATCGTGTCAAAACCAGAAGTGCTATTGATAAAGCATCTACCCGTGGATAAAGCAAAAGTTTATCCAATGGCCTGTATCACCAACACGTATGAGATAAATGACATTATTTACACTGGGTAAGGGCAAGTATAGTATATACAGAGGGCTGCCAAGCTCTGCTGTGCACTGGGTAAGGGCTAGTATTGTATCTGACTTCTCAGTTACACTAGATGTGGATTAGTGTAGATATATGACATTATTTACACTGGGTAAGGGCTAGTACAGATCTGACATCTTACTCCAGTTATTTCCATATTCAAGACATCCTGTTTGTGGTAGTGTAGGGACACAGACATGGGTTATCAGTAACAGAACTTGCTGTGTTCAGAACAAAGACATCCTGTGTCACGTAGATTGATTTCTGTTTACAGGTTTACAGGAGTACTGTGGGGCTGTGTTCTGTCAGCTGGCCAGTACCTCCTGTGTTACGCTGGACACACAGAGAAGTCCCATCCTTGAGCGGAAGTCTCTCAACAAACCCGCCTCACATAAACCAAAACTGGTCAAGCTTCATGCATCTCACGTCCTCAGCATGGATGTTGTCATGACGACGGGGCTAGAGATGGGAAGCCACTCCGCGGACTGCTGGAAACATTTGTTCAGGTACAGTGTAAAGTATAACATGTTACCATGGTCACTGTAAAAAATGCACTGTGACAAAGAAAACTTATTTGGAAGATAAAATTTACTTTATTAAATGTAAATAAGGCATACATGGTTGCACAAATATGTTTTGCAGATTTTCTCGAAACACAAGTGATTTTCTGTTATTTCACAGTTGACTGTGTGTTGTAGGTGTTGTGCCTTTATCTCTGAGTTGGAGCACACTTACTTCTGTATGGGTAACAACCATTCCAACCTCCCCAAACTACAGCAGGAGGCGGCCGTAGACTCCGAGAATCAGGAGAACAGGTAAGAACCATTCCAACCTCCCCAAACTACAGCAGGAGGCGGCGGTAGATTCCGAGAACCAGGAGAGCAGGTGAGACTGTGTACAGCTGAGAATATTGACAGTAATTATGTACATGCCTTGTGATTGAGAAATACAGTATTTATCTATGGTTTTATAAACCTGTATTTTTGCAGTACCGTAATTTTCGGGTTATAGGTCGATACTTTTTTTCTCAGAACCGCTGGGGTCGCCCAATATACGAATTCGACCTTTCTTAGGCTCAAGTTTATGAAAAATGCCCCCAAATCAATAAAATTTACGTAAATTTCAGAGCAAATCTGTGCCACTTTTATAACTTTTTTCATTATTTTACGCAGAAAAATTAATGCCTAGGTAAACAATAAAATATTTATTCTATAGCTTTCTTACAAAATAAATTCCATTAAATATCCGTTGATGACAAAGGAAAAAACTGTGCTTCATCAAGTTAATAATTCCTCAACGTGTTATCCATTGCCATCATGCGGTAGCCATCTTGTGAAGTTAGGAAGTCGCTATCGTTTACTAAAAGTACAACCGCAACCGTATCAAAATTTAAAATACGAAAAAATTTTCAAGATCACAAGTGTAGTGTTTTACCATTAATTAGTAGATTGATAAATTGAAATAGTATTAATTTTTTTTATTGTAAAAGTCTTATATTTATTTTAATGTAAAATGAGTGAAATAAATTGTTGCCAGTCAATTCCTAAAAATCGTTTTGAAAGATAGTTTGAAGTTTTACAAGCAATTATGGAAATATACATGCGGATGATAAAAAATTAATTTTATTGATATGGAGTTTTACAAGCAAAGAATTAGTAATAAATGCAGGTTACAGAAATATGATTTAAGACAGAAATATAATTTTAACTGATATAATAAGGTTTATCAAAAGCTTCTTCGTACACAAGAAGTACACTGAATTACCGCTATACAAAGATTGGCTTCTAACGAATTTTAATTGTCTGACAGATAAAAGGATTTACACTGTGTGTACACGCAAAGGTTTCAACACCTGTGTTGGTTTAATACCCGCAGGGCATAATTAGCAAATCCACGTGCCGTTATAGGGTATTAGTGTTACACATCATTGAACAAACAAAGCCATGAAATTCATAATGACTGTCAAATTGTGGATGTACCGGTACTCTCAATTAAATCTATAAATTAAACTTTCAGCGTGGTAATATTATTTCAATTCTTTACTGTTGCTTTATATATACATTCAATGGTCGTTTGCGGGTTTTAGCAAATCCCTGAAGAAGAAAAATGAAAATGGCGGACATCGAAGCAATTGTCGTCCACCGGTAAATAACTAACTGAATAAACTATATTAGGAATGTGTCCAAGTTGTTCTGAAATCAGAATTATTATTCTTTGATCTCGGGTATTTCCCGAATTATAGCTTAAAATAAGAAACGTATTTACGTGTTATTTTTGCCTCTGGTTTAACAACAGTATGAAACTACGGAGGCATTGAACAGGCAAGTTGGAGAAAAAAAAAGTAACACAATTCAAAGAAGTTTTAACTAATTTTTTTAAAAACTTTATTTAAATGCTGTACTCATTAAAATACATGTTTGTTTTCTTGATACGTTCATGTTACGGAATTGCCCCGGTAATTTTAGAGGTTTACCTGTTCTGATACGTTGTATCTGCGTGAGAATCTTTAGAAAACGGGAAACAAAGCCTCGTCCTATATAGTAAGTTCGTCCTATCTTAGGATTTTTCAAAAATTAAGGCTGAAAATGAGCCTTTCGACCTATATACCCCATCGACCTATAACCCGAAAATTACGGTAATTATGTAGATGTATTTTGCTTGAGAAATCTATGATTTTATAAACCTTTATTTTTGCAGTAATTATGTAGACGAACCAGAGTTGTACAGTGTTTCCACCACTGCGGCTGTGCCAGTAGCACCGAGGATTAACATCACAGAGCTGATCAGACAGAGTGGGATTGAGTCTGGGTGGGAGAGGTCCATTACAGGGGGAGGTGTACTGAATGCCGCCCAGTCCTCAAAGGCACTGTGTGGGCTCTCTCAGGAAGTGGACAGGTAATAACAATGCCCAGTCCTCAAAGACACTGTGTTTGCTCTCTCAGGAAGTGGACAGGTAATAAAGCTGCCCAGTCCTGAAAGGCACTGTGTGGGCTCTCTCAAGAAGTGGACAGGTAATAAAACTGCCCTGTTCTAGAATTATGAGGTGTGTGTTTGTTTTCTCAGGAAGGAACATTATTTTCTGCCCTGTCCTAAAAATCTATGTCTGTTCTCTTCAAGGAAGTGGATATTTTAAAAGTAATGAAACAGACAAGTCCTAAAAGGTCTTGTGTACTGACTCAGAAAGTGAGTAGGTAATAAATCTTGTCTCTCCTTTGAAACTCTTTGTGGTCTCTCTAGGAAATGGGTAAGGAAATTATATATACTGCCATGTCTTTTTACTGTGTGCTATCCTGAGAACTTTAAATTATGAATAGCTCTTATTTTTACTTTGTATATATTGAAAAGTACTCATACACTGTAGAAATGTTCTACCATATTAATGTTTTAATGAGATTTTACATTATAATTGTCAGGCTGTTTGAGGAGGCAGCTAGTCAGCTGAATCTGCAGGCTCTGTTGGACTTCCTGTCGGAGCTCTGTGATTCCAGTCAGCACCAGTTGTTCAGTGTGACCCAGCAGGTGCCCCGGGAGGGAGGGGCCAGGGACTCTCAGCTACCCCCCAACTCCCTCCACCTGTACCGGCTCCAGGAGGTGCTGATGAAGGTGGTCCACAGTGACCGCCCGCTGCTTCACCTTATGAGGACCTGGAGTGTGGTGTCTCCTCATCTGGTCGAGGTTTGGAAGATATTTTCACATTCCTCCACTTTCTTATATGAATCGTTTTGTTAAAGTACAATTAGTAAGTGTTCAGTATTCTGGAGTATTTTAAAGAAATTGTTATGTAATTATTTCTTGACATTAAAGTTTACCCCAAAGATTACAGCTAGAATTACATCCTACTGCACATTGAAGTTACATGTACAGTAGTACCATTTTTTCTGTAGTCGGCTGGTCACAGGGACAGGAGTGTGTCTAAGATGGCCGTGACCTGCGTCCATGACTTTATTCTGGCCATGCTGAGTGACCGCCTGGAGTTGGCCTACTTCCACGTCAATGAGCTGCTGTGTAAGCCGTTTGAGAACATGTTATGTCTAGAAGTCTGTGATGGGGATGTACAGGACCAGGTATGACTTATTTTGATTTAGCATCTTTGTTAAGGAAAGAGTTTGAATAGATAATACATGTACAGTAAAACACGGTTATAGCGAAGTCCTGTGGACCTGTGAATTTAATTCACTATATCCGTAATTCGTTATATCCGTATAACGAATTCGTATAACCATATATAGCGAATTCGCAATATGAATGTTTTTCTTCAAGTGTTACTATCAAATATGTTAGGGAAGCAAATATTACAAAACATACCTTCGATAACTAAGGTTTTATTATGAATTGAATTTTATATACAAATGCTGAGAGAAAATAAAGTCAGTTCCATTATTCAAATTTTGAAATCTTTGAAAGTTTGTTATAAAAGATGTAAAATTCATTATATTTAACCTTAACGGGACTCAAAATCAGTTCGCTATATCCGTAAATTCGTTATATCAGAGTTCGTTATAATCGTAAAATTTTACAAAGATTTGTTAAGAATTTTGCCGGGGACCCAGAAAAACTTCGTTATATTCGTGAATTCGCTATATCCGTGTTCGTACTAAACGTGTTTTACTGTATATCCAATAGTATATGTACAGGAAGTCCCTGAGAGAGGTGTCATTTTTTTAATACATATATTTGCCACTCGACAGTTGAAACACTTTAAACAGCAAAAGATCAGATAATTTAAATTATGACAAGAAACATCTGTAATCTATATCTGCCTTTGATTTTATGCTATAATATCTTTGTAGATCGTTTGCTCTATCTGTGAGTTGGTGGAGGCCTGTACTGCTGACATTAAGTCAGGTTGGCGACCACTGTTTGGAGCTTTACGCGCTGTGAAGATTGAGTACACCACTAATGAGGAAGTTAACGATGCGCGACAGAGACACGTGGCGGCCGTGCTGGACGTGTTTGAGGTCTACCTCAGTACAGATAACGTCCTGGTGTTTGCTAATGCCACAGTCGATTGTATTCTGTGTCTTCTCAAGTACATCAGGGGACCAGGTCTGTGATAATTAGTGTAAACCAATCTTTATTCGCGTGCGAGGAATATTCACGAGTTTGACGACCTATTTTATCTCGTGAATATTAATCGCTGCGAACCAATGACTTCGCTTTGTATTTGAATACAATGTTCATCTGTCGCAATAATAATTGTCAAAGATTGATTTTAAACTGAAGATTCGTGAATAAAAGATGACATGAATAATAGTTGGTTTACAGTTATGTTTTCTCTTGAAAACAGTGGAATACATTTATTACAAACTAATTGTGAATTTAAGAATTGAATTTGATATTCACCAAGAACTAGAAAATAGTGAATGAAAATTTTTTTTCTAATAGTGGTCAAATGATTAAGTAATTTCAGACATTCCTAGCAATTCACCATGTCTGTTTTCTGCTATATAATCATGAATTAGAGGGGAGAAAATCAAACTGCAGATTTCACTGAGAATAACGATGTCGTTTTTTTATTTTTCCTGACAGGTGAGTTTGACAACTCGAGTGGGGAGGACTCGGACTCAGGAAGTGATTTTGTGATGGGGGAATCAGGGGGAGAGAATCTGTGTATTCCTGCCCTGGGATATCTAAAGAGGTGCTCCCAGATCTTACAAACAATGTGGAAGATGCCAGCATGTCCTGTGTTCAACTGTGCAAAAAGGTCAGAAAGAGTAGTTATTGGGGAGATAATTTTTGTCAATTTTTACGTCCCTTATCAATCTGTTTCATCTGTCATTGTAAGGAGTCAACTTTTGAACAGTTTTAATTTCTTCTCTGAAGTGACGGAGACAGAGTTAATTAAAAACATTGAATTTTTTGGTCTCAGACAGTAAAAATCTTGTTTATGTGTTATATTTGTGTTTCAATGGTGCAATGTCATGACTGTATATAAAATGCATTCGACATTTTACAAATGACTGATTGAAATTGGTATATGAATCATAAATGTAATTGGAAAATTCAGATATGTTCATGTATAAACTGCACAGACTTTTTTCTTTGATGGTTCAGCCCTTTTAAGTTAAGTTTTTTAATGTTTTCAAATGTTTACAGAATACAGACCACTCCTACCCATGTGTTTGTGGACTCAAGTCTGCCTCATATGAACATGGGAGATTTCATCCGTCACTACGACGAAGTCAGTCAGCAGCGCTGTCATAGCTGTGTCGCTGAATCGTCACAATCAACAGGCGGTCACAGAGATGAACCAGCCCTAAAACCCGACCCCTCGGACAATGGCCCCGAGCCTCCTGACAATCTCCCTCACCTAGATGAGGGCGGAACAGACAGTCTGAACTCTGTAGATTCAGGTGTGATAACCATGCAGAGTGACATCAAGTCTAATATCAAAACAGACAATGAGGAGGAGGACACACAGCAGTGTACCTCCAACCCAGGGGGTCAGCCTGATGACTCTACCGGTCACTGTGAGCGGTGTGCCGCTCTGAGGCTCCTACAGAGACAGCCAGGGGGTGCCTCAGAAAGTCCCCCCAGGTCTTTTGATTCACTGGATGCTATAGACAATAGTACGGGGATCCTACACGTCTTGTTCCTGTTGTTGGAGGGACTGGCCAGTGCCGTCTCATCGTGTCCTAAATCGTATCAACCCGAGACGCTGGAGATGTTGTTTGATCTGCTCAAGGCCACAGCTGATGTTCCTGGTGAGGCTTCTCCTCAGTCTACATTGTCTCTGCTTATAGTTCAACAAAAGCTATGGCTACATTAAATAACTAATATTGAGTCTTTTATCGTACAGATTGAAGTAAAAACAAAATTATTTCAATATAATTCTATATTTCCCAAACTTTATCATATTTAAATTGGTAGTCCAGTTTTATTTCTATGTTGTAGGTGCTGAGTTTGCCCTGTTTTGTGTAAACAGTCTCCTCCTGCCAATGATTCAGTCGTGGTTACGGGAGGGAAGCCGTAAGCCTGGGTACTGGGACTGGGGGGCTAACAACTTTAAGCAGTGCTGTGGTCTGTGTACAGACTTGGTAGTGGATCTGGTACACAAGTTCTCAGGTATCTATCTAGAACCAGGCTCCTGGGCCATGCCATAAAACAAACGAGCTCACTTGGGATCTCAGTCTCAATTCTCCACTAAATATTCCTTTTGTGAAAGTGAGACTTATATAAAAATGAGTTCAACTAAGTTTTATGGCCCCTGAGCCAGGAATAAATTGTGGCAGGATAGAATGTACATCTAGATTTATTTTGAGAAGAAAATCCCTAATTAAGGAATCGTTATTTATTATTTTTTTACTAGAGTGTTGACAGATTCAATATGGATATATACTGGTGTTTATGATCAAACACATGTTTTCTGTCACCTTCAAAGTTAGGACCTAGATATTATCTATTTAAGTTCAAAGTCAAGTTTCTATAATAATTTAAGACACAATCAAACCTTGACACAGGTACATCGACAAAGGTGTCCCAGTCTGTGGAGCTGATGCTGAAGCAACTGTACAACATTCTGGTGGAGTGTATCTCCAAGCCTGCAGAGGTGATCTCAAGGCTAGGCTGCTCCTGTATCAGGTAATTACAGCCTGCCGAGGTGATCTCAAGGCTAGGCTGCTCCTGTATTAGGTAATTACTCTCCCAGCCTGCCGAGGTGATCTCAAGGCTGGGCTGCTCCTGTATCAGGTAATTACTCTCCCAGCCTGCCGAGGTGATCTCAAGGCTAGGCTGCTCCTGTATTAGGTAATTACTCTCCCAGCCTGCTGAGGTGATCTCAAGGCTAGGCTGCTCCTGTATCAGGTAATTACAGCCTGCTGAGGTGATCTCAAGACTAGGCTGCTCCTGTATTAGGTAATTACTCTCCCAGCCTGCCCAGGTGATCTCAAGGCTAGGCTGCTCCTGTATTAGGTAATTACAGCCTGCCGAGGTGATCTCAAGGCTAGGCTGCTCCTGTATTAGGTAATTACAGCCTGTCGAGGTGATCTCAAGGCTAGGCTGCTCCTATATTAGGTAATTACAGCCTGCCGAGGTGATCTCAAGGCTAGGCTGCTCCTGTATTAGGTAATTACTCTCCCAGCCTGCCGAGGTGATCTCAAGGCTAGGCTGCTCCTGTATTAGGTAATTACAGCCTGCCGAGGTGATCTCAAGGCTAGGCTGCTCCTGTATTAGGTAATTACTTTACCTGTCCTGGCTAGGCTGCTCCTGTATTAGAATTACAGCCTGCCAAGGTGATCTAGGCTGCTGCTCCTGTATTAGGTAATTACTCTCCCAGCCTGCCGAGGTGATCTCAAGGCTAGGCTGCTCCTGTATTTGGTAATTATTCCCCCAGCCTGCCGAGGTGATCTCAAGGCTAGGCTGCTCCTGTATTAGGTAATTACTCTCCCAGCCTGTCAAGCAGCAGAGGAAGGGGGATTACTTATCAATAACAATGTGCCTTAAGGTCAGTTTTCTTATCAATAATCACTGTGCCATTCTCCCTATGTGATCTTCTCTGCCTCAGTGACTGGTTATTACAGAAAGCTTTTCTTCTGACAGTCCTACCTGCTGAGAATATGTTTGTATATTTTTCTGTCAAAATTTCCATATTGTCTTGCTTTTAGACATGTAATGCTCAGTGCAGGAAGGTCATTCAATGAAGAAATGTGGCAGATCAGTGGAGTTGCCATGGAGACAGCATTAGACGTATCAACCTTCCATCTGAGACAGCTGATGTTACTAGGTGATCATAGCACAGGTCAAGGCTGCTTCACCACAGGAGTGTTATAGACTGAGACACCTGGCTCATCAGGTGAGTTTGTCTTGTTATAGACTGAGACACCTGGCTCATCAGGTGAGTTTGTCTTGTTATAGACTGAGACACCTAGCTCATCAGCTTGTTATAGACTCACCTAGTCATCAGGTGAGTTTGTTTGTTATAGACTGAGACACCTAGCTCATCAGGTGAGTTTGTCTTGTTATAGTCTGAGACACCTAGCTCATCAGGTGAGTTTGTCTTGTTATAGACTGAGACACCTAGCTATCAGGTAGTCTTTTTGTGAGACACCTAGCTCATCAGGTGAGTTTGTCTTGTTATAGACTGAGACACCTAGCTCATCAGGTGAGACTAAGACACCTGGCTCACTAGGTGAGTTTTTGTCTTGTTATAGACCGAGACACCTAGCTCATCAGGTGAGTTTGTCTTGTTATAGACTGAGACACCTAGCTCATCAGGTGAGTTTGTCCTGTTATAGACTGAGACACCTAGCTCATCAGGTGAGTTTGTCTTATTATAGTCTGAGACACCTGATAAAACACCTGGCTCATCGGTGAGTTTGTCTTGTTATAGACTTGGCTCATCAATTTGTTGTTTCTGAGACACCTAGCTCATCAGGTGAGTTTGTCTGTTATCAGACACCTGGCTCATCAGGTGAGTTTGTCTGTTATAGGCCTATCATCAGGTGAGTTTCCTGTTATGTGTTTCAGCGAGTTTGTCTTGTTATAGTCTGAGACACCTGGCTCATCAGGTGAGTTTTTCTGTTATAGACTGAGACACCTGGCTCATCAGGTGAGTTTGTCTTGTTATAGACTGAGACACCTAGCTCATCAGGTGAGTTTGTCTTGTTATAGACTGAGACACCTAGCTCATCAGGTGAGTTTGTCTTGTTATAGACTTCACCTAGCTCATCATGAGTAAGCTCAGGATTTTTGTCTTGTTATAGACGGAAAATCAGGTGAGTTTGTCTTGTTATAGACTGAGACACCTAGCTCATCAGGTGAGTTTGTCTTGTTATAGACTGAGACACCTTCATCAGGTGAGTTTGTCCTGTTATAGACTGAGACACTGTCATCAGGTGAGTTTGTCATAGCTGGACACCTGGCTCATCAGGGGTTATAGACTGAGACACCTGGCTCATCAGGTGAGTTTGTCTTGTTATAAGACACCTGGCTCATCAGGTGAGTTTGTCCTGTTATAGACTAATCACTGCTCATCAGGTTTTCCTGTTATAGACTGAGACACCTTCTGAGTTTGCCTCAGTAGACTGTCATCATCAGTGAGTTTGTCACACCTGCTGAGAACACTGGCTCATCAGGTGAGTTTGTCCTGTTATAGACTGAGACACCTAGCTCATCAGGTACATGTATTTTTTGTCTTGTTATAAATTTCCCATCAGGTGAGTTTGTCCTGTTATAGACTGAGACACCTGGTGAGTTTGCTTTTATAGACTGAGACACCTGGCTCATCAGGTGAGTTTGTCTTGTTATAGACTGAGACACCTGGCTCATCAGGTGAGTTTGTCTTGTTATAGACTGAGACACCTGGCTCATCAGGTGAGTTTGTCCTGTTATAGACTGAGACACCTAGCTCATCAGGTGAGTTTGTCTTGTTATAGACTGAGACACCTAGCTCATCAGGTGAGTTTGACATAGTCTGAGACACCTGGCTCATCAGGTGAGTTTGTCCTGTTATAGACTGAGACACCTAGCTCATCAGGTGAGTTTGTCTTGTTATAGACTGAGACACCTAGCTCATCAGGTGAGTTTGTCTTGTTATAGACTGAGACACCTAGCTCATCAGGTGAGTTTGTCCTGTTATAGACTGAGACACCTAGCTCATCAGGTGAGTTTGTCTTGTTATAGACTGAGACACCTGGCTCATCAGGTGAGTTTGTCCTGTTATAGACTGAGACACCTAGCTCATCAGGTGAGTTTGTATATGACATAGGTCACATTCCTGATAGAAATTTTTTACATACGCTGCATTTTTTTTTTAAGGTTGTATTTAGCTCTGTTTTCACTAGTGGTGTTCTCATAGAAAGTGATAATTTCTACACATCTACTTTGTATATGTATTGACATTGACAAAATATTCCTTACAGTACTTTCATTTTATAAGTATTTTTAATCATGATTATTGTCTACATTATTCATATCTTCATTGTGTACAGGTATTCCTGTTAGACAGTCAGATGGCCGCCCATCAGTTAACAGTTGATGTGGAGGAAGATAAGTCTTTTGTTTTTCTGTTGTACAAATCGGGGGAAGAGAACTGTTTGAATCCAGATGATATCCTTCTCAGGTAATCAGAATTAAGTGTATTTCCTACTCAGGTAATCAATATCAGATCAATCTTATCAAGGTTATATTCTTTTTAGGCTTAATCTTTTTTCCAGCCAAATTCCCAACTTCACCGTTTTCATGCCTTAAAATTACATGAATGTATTATTATGTGAAATTAAAAAGAGGGTCAAATGTCTCAATCTTTTTTCATACCTTGATTTTTATATCCTTATGATACTCCAAGTTTATGTTAGTGTACATAAAAAGATGAAAATGTTAAGTGTAATATCATGTTTTAATGTGGCGAACATTTTCAGATTGCCCTTTAGAAATGTGGTGGTTGGATTATTAGCCAATCAGCTGTTACTACAAACCATTGGTAGTGTTCTTCTTAGTGCTGACTCAGCAAAGTCAAACACAGAAAATGGGCAACATACAAGAATGTCAGGTAATTTTTTTTAGAATTTTTTTTAATCATGTGATTCTTGCCTAATATGATAGTAACTTTTAGTCCCTTTCACTTTCTGTAAATTCAATTGTTTAAAATGTTGTTTTAAATCAGGATTGATGTCTTATCTGGCCAATTTCTATGAAACCAGTCAGATTAAACAAGTTTTACTGTAGAAGTAGTTCTTTATATTGGATTGGTTATTTTGTAGGAATGATTCCACTGTTATCTGTCAGAAACATTGTTAAGATGTTGGAGTGTCTGAGGAACTCCTATAAGCTGGCTATGGAGTTTGACTCCAGACCTGGACTGAAGTTCCTGATCCAGAAGGTGGCGCGGACTGAGGTGGCTGTTAACCTGTATAAACAGGCCGGGGCCGCCACGGTCTTCTTCATCCACACGCTGCTACAGATCGGGGCTAACCTTCCCAACCTCACCAAGGTCAAGGTTAAACATTTGTCCTACTCAGTTCAACAGAGTCTTCTAGATGTTTGTTACCGAGATACAAGACACTGTTTAAGTACTGTAGATGTGTTTTCTAGTCCGGAGTTATTTATTCAGCTTTTGAAGGCTATCTGTGACGAGTTGTGTCAGATGTATGTAGACATTTTGTCGGATGAGACCTCCAGTCGAGTGGATACGATGGCAGAACAGCAGGTCTTTTTCCTGATCGCGCAGCCTGACGATATTTCTGATATTGTGAGCAAAAGAAAGAAAGGTCAAACGGATGTCTTAAAATCAAAACAGTCAGCACAAGATCTGATGTCCTCAGCTGTCCCTCTACAGGGTAAGGGTGAAAATTCACTTTAATTGCTTTTTATTTATTTTAATTGATATCTTTTCTTATAATTCCATATAAGATTATAATTATTTAAATGTATATGTTAAAATTAAACCCAATTTTCGTGTGAAAATCAGTATTTCAAGATTGTTTTAGTCGGAATTAATAGAAAAAGAAAAGAAACGGAAAACCTATCTGAGTTAAAATTCAGATGTATATTTACTGTTCTGACATACAGTCATGTATATGACTTTTGATATCTACCCTCTCAGAGCAAGCCTGTGTAAGTTCTGGAGGAAGTTCGGAAGATGAACAGGAAGTAGAGAGTTCTGATTCTGACCATCCAACCAAGAGTAAGCGAGAGCTACGGGAGGAACAGGACAGCAAAGTGTATACGATCGCCACGGATACACTCATCAAGTCCTTAATGACCGAGTACAAGAGACGTAAACAAGCTAACGCCATGCCAAAGTTTGTCAAAATCTCCAAAACAAAGAAACAGCCCAAAGAAAGGAAATCTAAAGACCCTGTAGATAAGGTGGACAAACAGATAGAGGCCCAGAGAAAGACATCGTACATGAAGGTGTGTAGAATTCCTTTGTACAGAAGTAGGTCTTACAGTGTTTGTTGTATGTTTACAGTAACACAGTGTGTGTTGTATGTTTACAGTAACACAGTGTGTGTTGTATGTTTACAGTAACACAGTGTGTGTTGTATGTTTACAGTAACACATTGTGTGTTGTATGTTTACTGTAACACATTGTGTGTTGTATGTTTACAGTAACACATTGTGTGTTGTATGTTTACAGTAACACATCGTGTGTTGTGTGTTTACTGTAACACAGTGTGGGTTGTATGTTTACAGTAACACAGTGTGTGTTGTATGTTTACAGTAACACAGTGTGTGTTGTATGTTTACAGTAACACAGTGTGTGTTGTATGTTTACAGTAACACAGTGTGTGTTGTATGTTTACAGTAACACAGTGTTTGTTGTATGTTTACTGTAACACAGTGTTTGTTGTATGTTTACTGTAACACAGTGTGTGTTGTATGTTTACAGTAACACAGTGTGTGTTGTATGTTTACAGTAACACAGTGTGTGTTGTATGTTTACAGTAACACATTGTGTGTTGTATGTTTACTGTAACACATTGTGTGTTGTATGTTTACTGTAACACAGTGTGTGTTGTATGTTTACAGTAACACATTGTGTGTTGTATGTTTACAGTAACACAGTGTGTGTTGTATGTTTACAGTAACACATTGTGTGTTGTTTGTTTACAGTAACACATTGTGTGTTGTATGTTTACTGTAACACATTGTGTGTTGTATGTTTACTGTAACACAGTGTGTGTTGTATGTTTATAGTAACACATTGTGTGTTGTATGTTTACAGTAACACAGTGTGTGTTGTATGTTTACAGTAACACATTGTGTGTTGTTTGTTTACAGTAACACATTGTGTGTTGTATGTTTACTGTAACACAGTGTGTGTTGTATGTTTACAGTAACACAGTGTTAGATCTATGTTTACAGTAATACAGTGTTTGATCTATGTTTACAGGACAGTGAAGCCCGGGTGCAGTCCTGGACAGAACTCCTGTGTACAGTACTCGGTCTGTTCCATCAACTCCCAGACTCCGAGTTCCAGGTTCTTCTTCCCACGGTGTTCAGCTGTGTCAATCAGCTGGTGTGTCATGCCACAGAACAGAGACTGAGAGACTCAGTAGGGCAGATTGTCTACAGACTAGGGGACATACTAGACTTAACCAATGACAGCCAAGGTTACAGCAGTGTTAAATCAGCCAATCAGGATGAAGATAACATTGATGTCAATATAACCAATGATAGCCAAAATCACAAATAACCAATACAGATCTTACTTTCTTCAGAATTTCTATAGGAACTACTGACATGTGCATCTGATAAACTGTGGGATAAAGATCACATTGGGATATAAAGTAGTATTGCAGCATCAGTATAAATCAATTGTATTGCAAATATTAAATGTGCAGTTGTCAAAACATTTTATATTAAATGCAGGGTATTGGAGTCACCAGTCATGATAATGATATGTATTGTTGTGAGGTTACAATTAAGTGATTTTAAGTACAAACTTCAGAAACACTTGTACTTTATAACAGTTTGTTTATGGAACTTGGGAACTAAATTGTTGTACTTTTGTATTTTAAAAAGGACCATTATACTGTACATCAACTCTGTGACTGTGAAATACATATTTTAGACAATGTGCAATATTTTTCAAGATAAAAAGTCCCTTTACTTACGCATAAATATACCTCATTTCTTATTCTTTGAAAAGCCATATATATATTAGTTTACTTTCTTTGGTGCTTTGTGTTATCTAATAAGAGTACATATAATCAACATTAGTATCTTATTTGATTTTGTGTATGTACCTGTCAAGTCTCATTTGTCAGCATTCCATAAACAGGTTTTCAAATTTTCACCCTTTCCCAAAATGATTAAGAGCCACTTAATATTTTTTTTTAAAATTGGATCAGGTAGAAACTTTTACACTGTAGGTCAGTTTGATTTCCAAGGTCATTTGAGCCATGGTAAGATACGTCAAGTGAGCATTGTAGCCTGTAGGCATCCAACTCATATTCTTATTCCACAACTGAAGACCTTATCGAAAACATTCCATTCCATATACGTTTATCTGAGGTAGTCTGTCGTCTAGCGACTGTGTGTCATGCCATTGGGAGACATGCATTTAAACTTTTCAAACTTGCAACTTTTTCAAATATTTTCCTACAGAACTTTTATTTTAGAGCAGATTTATCTACATTTAACATTAAAAATTTTGTTTAAAATGGGACTGCTTTATAACTTTAATTTTTTTTTCCTGATGTAACTGCAGGCCCTACTTGTTTTTTTTTTTAATCTTGCCCATTAAAGCCAAAATAAATGTCTCTTTCAGGTACTTTGAGTTAATATCATCAAGATAAACACATGCAAGTAAAATCATTTGTTCAATGGATTTGATTGATATTACTGTATTTTCACAAGAGTAAATTGGAACTACTTTAAAATTAAGTGTCAACATAAACATATAATTTTTTCATGTGAATATGGTTGTAATTTATATTAAGTCTGTGAAATATTTATTGTTTTTATTGATATGTTGTAACTACATCTATTTTTCATGTCTTTCTATTCTCTATATTCCAAAGTATTATATTTGTTATTTGAAATTGAATGTTATTTATTTAAAAAATACAAGAGTTATTTGTTTATTATCTAATTAACAGTCAAGCTTACTCTTCCAGTTAATTTTCAGTGACTCAATAAATCATGCTTATAACGAGGTGCCAGGAACCAGGAATTTTGCTTCATTATAAACATACTTTGTTATTCGGTGACGTCTCCATATCAGTGAAATATTCTGGAGAGGGACGTTAAACAGTATACAATCAATCAATTATTCCCTTAAATTCAAACATAAGCGCTTGACGTTTTTCACCTTTCTCTTTATGAATAAAAAATTCCTTATACTATGATAATAAAAGTATAAGGAATTTTTTTATTTATAAAGAGAAAGGTGAAAAACGTCAAGCGCCTGTGAGTTCACAGTATGTTTTTAAAGACACGGGGAATAAAAATCACTCCAGTATAAGCAGGAATTCATTATAAGCATGATCGTTATAAGCATATTTTTCTGTATAATGTATTTTAGTACATATAGTAAATTATAATTTAGTCTATATATCCTTGTAAAAAATAAATAGTTTTATTTGTTACCAAATTACCAAACAAGCATTACAGTTCTCATTCTCAGTGAAAACATGATATAGTAAATGTACATAAATTATGATGAATTCAGTCAAGAAATTATCATGCATTATGATAGCTGCAGATCTGTAGCTCTCCGAAAAAAATTATTGAAAGACCGGAGAGCTACAGTGCCACCCACTGAAAAAACTATATTTATTGTGCACAAAAAAGTGCACAAATTTAATAATTTTTCCAAATTCTTATAATTGCAAAAAATAAGATTTCAAAAAATTAAACTCTCTCCTCATACAAGTTCTCTCGTAGTTGACATCTGAACGAAGCATATTGGACCGAATTATCTTTGAAACCAAAATGGCAGTATAAATAAACGAAATGTTTTAATATCTTTTCCAGGAATGTGTTATTTAAAAATCATCAGATTATGAGGAATGTTTTGTTGTGGAAACAATGAAAAAAATATGCTAGAAAAATACAGTTAGTAATATTTTGAGATTACAGCTTTAAAAACACAGAGAAATAAATCGACAACCGAGCGCATTTTTTTGTGCGCAATAAATATACAGTTTTATATAAAGGGTAATGATACAAATAATCTCCGTTCTATCAATATATATATATATTCTAAGAGCTTTCATTGTACATAGCATATATGAAAGCATAAAGAATTGTGTTCACTTATAAAGAGTCAAAATTGTCGTATCATGGTACTTCACTGCAAGAATGTTTTACTGAATTCATAGAGATGGTACCTCCTGCATTGTTTAGTTATTCCCGCATTTTATGGGGTCTGTTGATTATATTTTTAGTGCATATCAAGAGACAAACTCAGTTTAAGGACATGAATTCCAGACTTCTGTACCGTTTACCAGGAATTAAAAATTAACTGTTTATGTCTTTTTGTTATTACTGCCTATTAACTGGACTTTCATATACTGTAGAAACACAAATTTTTATGGGGATCAAATTTTGCTAATTTGTTATCTTAAACAGTTTTGTGGGCATTAAATTTTGTCATTTCAAAAGTAACACTATTCAATAAATTAGTGTGAGATTAAATTTCGTTGATAATTGTAAGCAACGAAATAAACGAAATTTAATCCCCAATAAAATTTTCTGTTTTTAGAGTATATATATATATATATATATCAGGTTGTCTGTCTCTCCCCCCCCCCTTTTCACGAAACTGAGGGGACATTAAATTTTGTTCATCTGTCACAAAAACTTTGACCTTGGTCATAACTTTAAAATGAGCAGAGATATGGGTTCTATATACAATATCGATGACCAAGCCTTTCCAAATATACTATGATTTTTAATTTTGCGACCTTGACTTTGAAGTTTGACCTACTTTTCAAAAAATTTAACATTACTTTAAATTGGTCATAACTTCTGAAAGAGAAAAGATAGCTAGGACATATTTTCACATACAAATAACCTTTGATAGATCCTTCATGATGTAATTACATATTTTGGACCAGAGGGTGTGCTCTATATGTAATATTGAAAAAATACTTCAAATTTTGGAAATTTTTAAAGGAAATTACATACAGGACCAGGTTAAAGCAACACATTTCATGACGTCATTATACATTTATTAATTAATAAAAGAGAAAATGATGTCTTAAATTGTTCAATGGATACATGGTCACCAAGTGTCCCAAGTTATAAATACTGCATTTTCAACCAAATATGAACAGTTCGAATTTTTCAGATGTTCACAGGGCCAAAAAGTGCCCTAAGTGGCTCCTGCTCTTTAGATATGAGTATATTTTAGTAAACTGTTTGCTATTTAGAGGAGAATTTAAGAAAGACAAATTTATTTCTTTTATTTGACATAACAAATAATAACAATATAATTCCATGCAATGACAATCTCATTACAATCACACAGAAATATTTTTAACTCGTTTCATTTTGGTATGCTTCATAAGATATCAAACTTTTTAAGTGTTCAAAACACACAGAATTATTTCATATTTATCATTTTATAAGAGAACTGCATGTATTTGCAATAGAGGCACATCCTTGCCCAAATAGAAGTAAAAGCTCAAAAACCTCTAAAAATATTCCCTGTTTTAGACAATGTTTTCAAAATATCCATAATAAAAAAAAATTATCAGAAATAGGGGAAAAAAAATCAACATTTTTATCTGTGTGACATCAGAAACTTGAAATTTCCATTTAATTTATAAAAAGAGAACAAAATATACAAAGAAGAGGACAAATTGTACAAACTTTTTTTTAATTTTGACTTGAATGCACACCCACTCAGGTACTTTTTTTTCATATATTTCATTGATTTTATCATTCTTCACACAAATATACATGAATATCAAAAGATGTGCATCCGAGAAGTCTTATGCTCGATATTTGCTAATTATAAATGACATAAAATATCAACCTAATTGAATGTTGAATTTTTCTCATTTTTAAGATGTCATATTAACTTGCAATGTCATGGTTTATGAAAATATTCAATGCTTTGAAATTTGTGTTTATATAGTACATGTACATGTATACATGTATGTCCTTCTGAAACATTTCTGATTTCGCCTTCAAAGTTTGATCCGTGGGATGGGGGCATATATTGGCCTTTACTGAGTACAGTCCTTTTTTTTTAAAAAAATATATTTCTGTACAATATATCTCTATCTGGTTAATCTGAGGTGTTAAGACCCTTCACAATATCAGTATGAAATATGCAGTATACATTTACTCTCTTTACATCTAAAACTGTTATTTAAGATGTTTTTTTCCTTTAAAAGATTTGTTTTGGCTATGTTTATGAAAGAGAAATAGCTTTTAGAAAGCAGAAAATACTTTTACTGTGTTGAAGCATGATTTTTCTATTTGACATTTTCACAGAATTGTAGTAATACATTGTAAAATATTTCTTAATATGATGCAACACTATCCACGTATATTATGCAGCATTCATTGTGGCAGTTATATCAGTACAAAACAACAAAATAATAACAATTCCATATCTCCAGGAATATGTCTCAAATTAGTCTCAAACATTTATAAAGATTATGTACATTTGCCCTTCAGTCAGCAATGAATATTGGTACAATATTTAATATCAATAAGAACAGATAAAAACATTCATATAAAACAGACTTGTACAAGGTCATACAAAGGTCATACAAAACTAGCCTGTACAAGGTCATTCAAGTCAAACATTGCGTTATCCACCGGATAAGCTTGTCCTAGTGACGTCCCTCCATTGTCCACCTCCTGGTGCATGCTGGGAAGATTATTGTTCAGAATGTTTAAATGGTTGTTTGAGTTGATGTCCATTGCATTGTAACCTTGCTTGGAGTAACCATTCCTTAAACACTGAAGAGTTCCACGAATCACGGAATACGCTGCATTTCTGGGAACTTTGGGATGTGAATAATCCACGTAATCGTACCCCTCTGGGAAGGCGTCATCATCGTCCTCTGGAATGCTGGGAGGAGCGGCCATATAAGGTGCGTATCTTCCACTTATTGATTCTACGGAATGGATTTGTTCATACTCACAGTTTTTACCAATGTTTGTGGACGGTAGGTCAAGGTTAAGGTTCGACCCGACTGGACTGGAATAAATATCTGTGGACGCAGAACTGTGGCGACTGCTCTGAGATTCGGTGCGTTGTTTCCTGCTGTTTGATTGGCTGCTCTGTGAGTTATGGCGACTGTTCAGTGAAGTGTGATGACTGTTATGAGATGATAGGCGTGACTTGGAATGGACAGTGGGTGGAGGGGGGTCACTAGGGTCGCTAATGATCTGGAGATACGAGGGCCCCCCGTCGAGTTTGGGGTTAAGATAGTCCAGCATAGCCTCGTCTACCTCCGTTTCCCGCGGTTCTGGAGAGTCAAATGAAGTCGCCCTGTGAATCTTACGATACAATCCCTTTGTCTCCTGTAATCAGAAAAAGTTGTATGCTTCAAAGGATGAACCTTCACCATTCAGTTAAGTGTAATGGTGCTTGAAAGGTTACTGAAAGGTAACTGAAAGGTTACTGAAAGGCAGCCGCAGCTCTGACAATCACCTTTCAGTAATTTTCAGTTAAATGAATGGCGGAGTGTAATTTAATCCTGTGCTACTCTCAACTATATATTTTGCAGCTTTTTTCTAGTTTGTGAACTTCTCTTCAAGCATCTTGTAAATCTATGAATCTGAAATTCTGGACAAAACTTATTTTACTTACCCCAAAAAGCTCAGGTGAAGGTAATGAGATCTTCAGATTCGGCCGTTTTGTCCGCTTTGCTCGAGTCTCGGGGAAGCAACCAGGCACTGAAAAATATTTGTCAAGGAAACATACAGTACGTGTAAAAATGTAAGTAAAAATATTCAAACCATTTCAACGGGAAAAACACTCCAATACAAAGTTATGTAAATCTTAAAAGTTACTACTCTGTTGCTTAACATATTTGCTTTCAAATCATTAAATATAAAAATCATGCATTATAAAAAGTTATGATTTATGATGTAGTTTTGGTCTCCTGTATTTTAAAGTACATGTTAATAATACTTTATAGCAGATTTTGTACAACTATGTCATTAACAATGCGGTGTACCAAGAAAAGAAATGAGAAACCATGCAGTCTAAGAAAGTGAGGAATGAGTCGTGCACAAGGAACATAGATTAGACACGACACAAAGTAACAGCTGTAAACGTGGAAAGATGAACAAGAAAACACTGGCAAAAAATGACCAATAAATAACTGTACGTTCCTCTATATATGACCATTAAATCTCATTTGTCTGTCAGTCTGTCTGTCACAAACACTTTAACCTTGGTCATAACTTTTGAATGAGAAGATATATTATGGCTTTCATTTCACATGTACAGTACCTATGACAAGACCTATCCAAAATACTTTGAATTTTTTACCCTGTGACCTTGACCTTAAAGTTTTATCTACTTTTCAAAAAAAATTTACATTACCTTAAATTGGTCCTAATTTTTACTTTTGAGAGAAAAAATATAGGGCTTTCACATTACTCAAGTAAAATACCTACAACAAGGCCTTTCTAAATTTACTATGATTTTTTACCTTGTGACTTTGACCTTGAAGTTTGACCTACTTTTCAAAAACATTATTTTTCCTTATAATTTTTGAGAAGAAATAGGGTTTTCATACTTTTCATGTGCATTATCTGTAAGAGGACGTTTCTGAGCATTCAATGATTTTTGACCCCTGACCTTGACCTTCATGTGTGACCTAATTTAAAAAAAAAACACATAACTTTGGTGATTAATTTTAAATTATATGTGCTGGTGCATTCGTATTTGCCACAATATAGCATATATATTGTTATCCCTTTCTTTGAATTTGCTTGTTGCCTCTCCCAAATTAAGCTATGTGATAATTGTTTGTTTATAATTGGGAATCTTCAGCATACTTAATGTCTTCAATCATCAAATGTTTCATAGTTTTCAATGATAAATTAATATATTTTATCATTTCTCTTTATTCCAAGTCTTGACCCTGTTGAAATGACCTCACTTATAGAATTTTCATTCCAAAATATCAAAGCTACACTGAATAAGTAACAGTCAAAGCACTCAGCATTTAAAACATTTAGTACTTAACTCGATGATCTTTTTCTAAATTTATGGTTAAAATTTTTGGTAATCTAGAATTAATAATAAATTCATGCAAAAACTGGATCAAAAATGCACACAACGCAAACTGTGGCCATGCATTGATTGTCAAATCGCTAACAGAGAAAGCTCCGTGCGTGAGTGATTGTAGTATTATTACAGATGAATGTACCATCTCCCTGCCTCTTAGCTCTGAAATTAGTTGATGAAATAATGCAAAAACGGTCTCCAACATCAGACATTTCAGTCAACTGCTTTTTAATTAGAATTCTGAGACAATACATGTAATTTTATGAGGCTAATCTCCCTCCCCCTTCTCAATTTCCACTTCTGGTTAAAAAAAGGATATAATTCATAAATCAAAATCAATACTGTAAACCAATACGAAACAAACATGAAAAATGAAGTTCAATGAAGAATGAAAACTTTAACATAAATCTAAACAGGTGATTGTGGGAAAAATGAGGGATGAAAAAAAAGCGCTTAATAGAGGAGTATGAAAAAATGACTTTTAGTTGAACAACATTTCAAATTTACTCACAATATTCACAAAAATCAAAAGAAAACAAATAAAAAAAATAAAATAACCAGGGGCAACCACTCACGACCAACAAAATACCTTTCATCCCGCGTGACCTTGTTAACAGAGGACGGATGGACTTCCCCTCGACTACGCCAACTGTTGTGATTTGTGTTTCTGGGTGTGCCTTCTCAATGTTAAACACAGGATTATAAGTAAAATAGGAGCCATCCAGTTCTACAACATTCACATCTACGTATTCATGCACCACATCCATGCGAGAGTAACGCTGAGCGTCGCGCTGCTCCTGTATCTGTTTGTTATGGAGATAAGCAGCTATCTGCTCGCCTAAGAAGCCTTCGTCGGGACTACTATTGCCACAGAAGCGGAGGGTGGGAGGAGCAAAGCGGAGGGTGGGAGGAGCAAAATGGCCGTACAGGTAGGAATCACGACATCTAACAACTACAACAGACATGCCACGGTACACAAAAACACAGAAAGCAGACAGTATGCACAGCAAGTTGTACATCACAAAAAACATTGCAACATACACATATACAACTCACATTACATGCCACACGGGGTGCTTATCTAATTGTTTCAAGTAAATAAGCCAACTCAACAAATGTAGTCATGCTTAATATATATTTATACAAAATTAATGTTCACTTGCATTTTATAATATCCATAACAGTACAATTTTTCTGTCATGCAATCAATTATTTTAACAAGAAATTAAAAAACAACACAAAATTTATACATCAGTGGTGTATAATTGTGTTCAAATGAGGATAAAAGTTATAATTGTTTTATTTTTTAAAAAATCCTTTCTCTTACTTTATGTTTACTCTTAAAATAAGTATGCTGACCTATTAACACTTACCGTCAGGATTGGGTGACCTTGACCTAACGGGGACGATGTAGTCGGTCAGCAGGACGGCACAGTTTTCATGGAATTCCTCCAGCTGCTTCAGAATCGTGGAGAACGACGGCCTCTCATCTGGAGCTGTGCTCCAGCTCTTCTTCATTAACTCAAATCTACAGTATATAAATGTACAGTCAAATCTACAGTATATAAATGTACAGTTAAATCTACAGTATATAAATGTACAGTTGAATCTACAGTATATAAATGTACAGTTAAATCTACAGTATATAAATGTACAGTTAAATCTACAGTATATAAATGTACAGTTAAATCTAAAGTATATAAATGTACAGTCAAATCTACAGTATATAAATGTACAGTTAAATCTACAGTATATAAATGTACAGTTACATCTACAGTATATAAATGTACAGTCAAATCTACAGTATATAAATGTACAGTATATAAATCTACAGTATATAAATGTACAGTCAAATCTACAGTATATAAATGTACAGTCAAATCTACAGTATATAAATGTACAGTTACATCTACAGTATATAAATGTACAGTCAAATCTACAGTATATTAATGTACAGTCAAATCTACAGTATATTAATGTACAGTCAAATCTACAGTATATAAATGTACAGTCAAATCTACAGTATATAAATGTACAGTTACATCTACAGTATATAAATGTACAGTTACATCTACAGTATATAAATGTACAGTCAAATCTACAGTATATAAATGTACAGTCAAATCTACAGTATATAAATGTACAGTTACATCTACAGTATATAAATGTACAGTTACATCTACAGTATATAAATGTACAGTTACATCTACAGTATATAAATGTACAGTCAAATCTACAGTATATAAATGTACAGTTACATCTACAGTATATAAATGTACAGTTAAATCTACAGTATATAAATGTACAGTTAAATCTACAGTATATAAATGTACAGTCAAATCTACAGTATATAAATGTACAGTTACATCTACAGTATATAAATGTACAGTTACATCTACAGTATATAAATGTACAGTCAAATCTACAGTATATAAATGTACAGTTACATCTACAGTATATAAATGTACAGTTAAATCTACAGTATATAAATGTACAGTTACATCTACAGTATATAAATGTACAGTCAAATCTACAGTATATAAATGTACAGTTACATCTACAGTATATAAATGTACAGTTAAATCTACAGTATATAAATGTACAGTTACATCTACAGTATATAAATGTACAGTCAAATCTACAGTATATAAATGTACAGTTAAATCTACAGTATATAAATGTACAGTCAAATCTACAGTATATAAATGTACAGTTACATCTACAGTATATAAATGTACAGTCAAATCTACAGTATATAAATGTACAGTTAAATCTACAGTATATAAATGTACAGTTAAATCTACAGTATATAAATGTACAGTTACATCTACAGTATATAAATGTACAGTCAAATCTACAGTATATAAATGTACAGTCAAATCTACAGTATATAAATGTACAGTTACATCTACAGTATATAAATGTACAGTTAAATCTACAGTATATAAATGTACAGTTACATCTACAGTATATAAATGTACAGTCAAATCTACAGTATATAAATGTACAGTTAAATCTACAGTATATAAATGTACAGTCAAATCTACAGTATATAAATGTACAGTTACATCTACAGTATATAAATGTACAGTCAAATCTACAGTATATAAATGTACAGTTAAATCTACAGTATATAAATGTACAGTTAAATCTACAGTATATAAATGTACAGTTACATCTACAGTATATAAATGTACAGTCAAATCTACAGTATATAAATGTACAGTCAAATCTACAGTATATAAATGTACAGTCAAATCTACAGTATATAAATGTACAGTCAAATCTACAGTATATAAATGTACAGTCAAATCTACAGTATATAAATGTACAGTCAAATCTACAGTATATAAATGTACAGTTAAATCTACAGTATATAAATGTACAGTTAAACTTCCAAAATAATAAACCTACAGACACACATTCAAATGAATCATTAACCTTCCAAATCTACAGTATATAAATGTACAGTTAAACTTCCAAAATGATAAACCTACAGACACACATTCAAATGAATCATTAACCTTCCAAATCTACAGTATATAAATGTACAGTTAAACTTCAAAAATAATCAAACCTACAGACACATATTCAAATGAATCATTAACCTTCCAAATCTACAGTATATAAATGTACAGTAAAACTTCCAAAATAATCAAACCTACAGACACATATTCAAATGAATCATTAACCTTCCAAATCTACAGTATATAAATGTACAGTAAAACTTCCAAAATAATCAAACCTACAGACACATATTCAAATGAATCATTAACCTTCCAAATCTACATTTGGCATTTGAAAGACAATCAGGAATGCAATTTTTAAACTGGAAAGGGTTAGTGGTGCAATTTTCTTATGCAATGTTTTCATTTTCAAAAATACGTATTTTAAGTGCAGGTCAAAAATATCATACATTGTACTTTCATCATCCAATTTACTCAACATCTAGAAGGCCAGCTACATGTATTTCCCTGAGAATACTGACAAGTTTTGTTTCACTGTCACCTTCTCTCATATTCATCATTGACACACTTACATGTCCTGTGGACAATTTTCTGGCTGGTCCAGTTGACCTCCTGACCTTACAAAGTGTAAAACTTCGATGTTGGTCCGTGCCTGGTACGGCTGCTGTCCAAAGGTCAACACCTCCCAACTCAACACCCCAAACGCCCTGAAAAATATATATCCTATAATCTGAAAAAAAGGCTACAAGTTTTCACCTCTGTGTACTTCTGATTCTACACGCTGTGTACAACTTTATTATCATAGAATTACTGTATACAGGGAAATTTTCGCCCTCGTTTTATTTTCGCCCCTTTCGCCCTTCCCTCATTTGGGCGAATTTAAAACGGGGCAAATTCAAAGAATACAGTATAATTTCATAAACAAAACTATGACTGGGTGACTTTAAAATGGGGCAAAATTGTTTGTAAGTGTGAAAGGGCGAAAATAAGACGGGGCGAAAATAACCCTGTATACAGTATGCAGTATGCAAAATTGATGACATAAATTATATTATGATAGGGGATTTCCCTAGCTACATGTAGATGTACACTGTCATCTGCTTAACCTCTCTATTTACTCTACTTAACAGTCAGGGGTGTGATTGAAATCCATCATTTTTAAAAATGATGATTTTCAGTCATTAAATTGATTTTTAATAATGATGGAAATTCATCTTTTTTTAGTAAAATGATGAAAAACAGTCATTTCTATTTTGAAATTTATTTTAGAAATAGAGTTATCTCTGATATTAAAAATGACTGTTTTTCATCATTTTTTATCAAATTGTTAGGTCTGGGCGCACTTAATTATCTCATTAGTTTTATGGGGCGCACTAAATTATTTTGGTTTCAATTACTTGTCAAGATGTTTCTCTACACAAGGGTCTATGGCAGGATAGTGTACTATATCTAATTACTGTAGTAAATGGGATGGGAAAATTGACTTGAGAATGGAAATATGATGAAAAGACGTCATAGTTACAAAAATCAGAAAATTGTGTACATTATATACTTAGAAGAAATGACCATTATCCATCATTTTTAAAAATGATGGATTTCAGTCACACCCCTGACTGCTTAATAAATTACACCGTATATTAATGTATAAATATAAACACACATTAAGCTTTCAACATCATGAGTTGTTAGCCAATCTCACCATATATCTGATTGTGTAGTAAAAACTCCATCCACTAAAGATTCGGGAGACATCCATCGGACAGGAAGTAGCCCCTCCCCTTCCTTTCTGTAATAATCATTCTTATAAATATCTCGGGCAAGGCCAAAGTCCCCGATTTTCACAACCATATTTCTGGGATCTTTTGAAGACACAAGGCAATTTCTTGCTGCTAAATCTCTGAAAAACACATATGTGTACACTGACTGTATGAAAGCACATTCAAACACATATGAAAATAAACTTTCTTTGAATACCGTATAAGTGGAAATTTTAGCGAGACGCAAATTTAGCGATTTGTCCTTAAAAACTGGTATTTTATTTTTAGCGAGATGTAATTTTAGCGATTTTAAAATGTTCACTTAAGAAGCTTTTACAAATAAAATACAATTAATTTTTAGCGGTATTCAATTTTAGTGATCTCGGTACCCTCGCTAATAATGCAAAAATTAAATCCTCGCTAAAAATTCTGCTTATACGGTAATTAATTAATACTTAATAGATTAATCTACTTTACCCAGAATGAAGATAAAATTTTAAAATAGATATTCAAAACTCTTCCAATTTTATTCACTGTCAAGAAATATAACCCATGCATCTAATCATCTATAATGGAGTGTTATCAGCAACTTGTCTTTTCATGGGCACCAGACCACTTGACTGCTTTCAATGCATTTCCTTGTTTCTTTTGTGGCACAAATGCACTCTCTTTAATTTGCATATATGTCTATCTGTTTATAGGCATGATCTACCTTAGTAATTTGTTACCTTTATGTTCTACCTGTGTAATTTGTTACCTATGTTCTACTTTTATAATTTTTTACCTATGCTCTACCTTTGTAATTAGTTACTTATGTTCTACTTTTATAATTTGTTACCTATGTTCTACTTTTATAATTTGTTACCTATGCTCTACCTGTGTAATTTGTTACCTATGTTCTACCTGTGTAATTTGTTACCTATGTTCTACCTTTGTAATTTGTTACCTATGTTCTACCTTTATAATTTGTTACCTATGTTCTACCTGTGTAATTTGTTACCTATGTTCTACCTGTGTAATTTGTTACCTATGTTCTACCTGTGTAATTTGTTACCTATGTTCAACCTGAGTTATTTGTTACCTATGTTCTACCTTTGTAATTAGTTACTTATGTTCTACCTTTATAATTTGTTACCTATGTTCTACCTTTGTAATTTGTTACCTATGTTCTACCTTTGTAATTTGTTACCTATGTTCTACCTGTGTTATTTGTTACCTATGTTCTACTTTTATAATTTTTTACCTATGCTCTACCTTTGTAATTTGTTACATATGCTCTACCTGTGTAATTTGTTACCTATGCTCTACCTGTGTAATTTGTTACCTATGTTCTACTTTTATAATTTTTTACCTATGCTCTACCTTTGTAATTTGTTACCTATGTTCTACCTGTGTAATTTGTTACCTATGTTCTACTTTTATAATTTTTTACCTATGCTCTACCTGTGTAATTTGTTACATATGCTCTACCTGTGTAATTTGTTACCTATGTTCTACTTTTATAATTTGTTACCTATGTTCTACCTGTGTTATTTGTTACCTATGTTCTACTTTTATAATTTTTTATCTATGTTCTACTTTTATAATTTTTTACCTATGCTCTACCTGTGTAATTTGTTACCTATGTTCTACCTGTGTAATTTGTTACCTATGTTCTACCTGTGTAATTTGTTACCTATGTTCTACTTTTATAATTTGTTACCTATGTTCTACTTGTGTAATTTGTTACCTATGTTCAACCTGAGTTATTTGTTACCTATGCTCTACCTTTGTAATTAGTTACTTATGTTCTACCTTTATAATTTGTTACCTATGTTCTACCTTTGTAATTTGTTACCTATGTTCTACCTTTGTAATTTGTTACCTATGTTCTACCTTTGTAATTTGTTACCTATGTTCTACCTGTAAAATTTGTTACCTATGTTCTACTTTTATAATTTTTTACCTATGCTCTACCTGTGTAATTTGTTACCTATGTTCTACCTGTGTAATTTGTTACCTATGTTCTACTTTTATAATTTGTTACCTATGCTCTACCTGTGTAATTTGTTACCTATGTTCTACCTGTGTAATTTGTTACCTATGTACAAAATGCATTTCCTCCAGGTATGTACAGCCCCTGGCCACGTGGACACAAATCTTCATCAGGTCCGCCAGACTCAGGTACATGGAATTCATCTGAAAAAAAAGGAACAACCATATGACCAGAGATTTCTTCACCAGATATTTTGGACTTCTGTGTCTCAAAAAAGATGCATATTTTTACCAATAAGATATGAAGAAACTTGCATAAAAGATGCCTAAAGCTTGAGCAAAAATATATTGTACATGTATTTTGAAATATTAAAAAACCTTCTCCTTCAAAGTAAAATATTTCCCCCTCCCTTGGTTAAGTAAAATCCCCCCTTTTTGGCCTGAAAAAAATTGAACTACTGCTGAAGCACTTTAACATGACCTTTTTGTACTTAATTACTACTGAGGACCAATAAGATCTAAGGAATGATCTTATAGTTCTTACTGCTGAAGGCCTCTAAGATGCATATGACCTCTCTGTACTTACTACCATTTAACATGATTAATGATACTTACCGCTGAAGGGCGATTAGCTCTGAGGAATGACAGGAGATCGCCCCCCTCCATCAGTTCTAGGATGATGAATTGTGGGTCGTTGTCCAGACAGACGCCCAGCAGACCCAGGATGTGGTCATGTTTGAAGTTGGACATCAGGAGGGCTTCCTTCAGGAACTCCTCCTTCTCCTGGTCAGAGGCACTCTTACGCAGGGTCTGTAAGTGTAGGATAGCATAATAGAGTAGCAGAATAGCATATAGTCAGAGGCACTCTTACGCAGGGTCTGTAAGTGTAGGATAGCAGAATAGAGTAGCAGAATAGCATATAGTCAGAGGCACTCTTACGCAGGGTCTGTAAGTGAAGGATAGCAGAATAGAATAGCAGAATAGCATATAGTCAGAGGCACTCTTACGCAGGGTCTGTAAGTGTAGGATAGCAGAATAGAATAGAAGAATAGCATATAGTCAGAGGCACTCTTACGCAGGGTCTGTAAGTGAAGGATAGCAGAATAGAGGAGCAGAATAGCATATAGTCAGAGGCACTCTTACGCAGGATCTGTAAGTGAAGGATAGCATAATAGAGGAGCAGAATAGCATATAGTCAGAGGCACTCTTACGAAGGGTCTGTAAGTGAAGGATAGCATAATAGAGGAGCAGAATAGCATATAGTCAGAGGCGCTCTTACGCAGGGTCTGTAAGTGAAGGATAGCATAATAGAGGAGCAGAATAGCATATAGTCAGAGGCACTCTTACACAGGGTCTGTAAGTGTAGGATAGCATAATAGAGTAGCAGAATAGCATATAGTCAGAGGCACTCTTACGCAGGGTCTGTAAGTGTAGGATAGCAGAATAGAGTAGCAGAATAGCATATAGTCAGAGGCGCTCTTACGCAGGGTCTGTAAGTGAAGGATAGCATAATAGAGGAGCAGAATAGCATATAGTCAGAGGCACTCTTACGCAGGGTCTGTAAGTGTAGGATAGCAGAATAGAGGAGCAGAATAGCATATAGTCAGAGGCACTCTTACGAAGGGTCTGGAAGTGTAGGTTAGCAGAATAGAATAGCAGAATAGCATATAGTCAGAGGCGCTCTTACGCAGGGTCTGTAAGTGAAGGATAGCATAATAGAGGAGCAGAATAGCATATAGTCAGAGGCACTCTTACACAGGGTCTGTAAGTGAAGGATAGCATAATAGAGGAGCAGAATAGCATATAGTCAGAGGCACTCTTACGCAGGGTCTGTAAGTGTAGGATAGCATAATAGAGTAGCAGAATAGCATATAGTCAGAGGCACTCTTACGCAGGGTCTGTAAGTGTAGGATAGCAGAATAGAGTAGCAGAATAGCATATAGTCACAGGCACTCTTACGCAGGGTCTGTAAGTGTAGGATAGCAGAATAGAATAGAAGAATAGCATATAGTCACAGGCACTCTTACGCAGGGTCTGTAAGTGAAGGATAGCATAATAGAATAGCAGAATAGCATATAGTCAGAGGCACTCTTACGAAGGGTCTGTAAGTGAAGGATAGCAGAATAGAGGAGCAGAATAGCATATAGTCAGAGGCGCTCTTACGCAGGGTCTGTAAGTGAAGGATAGCAGAATAGAGGAGCAGAATAGCATATAGTCAGAGGCACTCTTACACAGGGTCTGTAAGTGAAGGATAGCATAATAGAGGAGCAGAATAGCATATAGTCAGAGGCACTCTTACACAGGGTCTGTAAGTGAAGGATAGCATAATAGAGGAGCAGAATAGCATATAGTCAGAGGCACTCTTACACAGGGTCTGTAAGTGAAGGATAGCAGAATAGAGGAGCAGAATAGCATATAGTCAGAGGCGCTCTTACGCAGGGTCTGTAAGTGTAGAATAGCAGGATAGAATAGCAGAATAGCATATAGTCAGAGGCACTCTTACGCAGGGTCTGTAAGTGAAGGATAGCAGAATAGAGGAGCAGAATAGCATATAGTCAGAGGCGCTCTTACGCAGGGTCTGTAAGTGTAGAATAGCAGGATAGAATAGCAGAATAGCATATAGTCAGAGGCACTCTTACGCAGGGTCTGTAAGTGTAGGATAGCAGAATAGAATAGCAGAATAGCATATAGTCAGAGGCGCTCTTACGCAGGGTCTGTAAGTGAAGGATAGCAGAATAGAATAGCAGAATAGCATATAGTCAGAGGCGCTCTTACGCAGGGTCTGTAAGTGAAGGATAGCATAATAGAGGAGCAGAATAGCATATAGTCAGAGGCACTCTTACACAGGGTCTGTAAGTGAAGGATAGCAGAATAGAGGAGCAGAATAGCATATAGTCAGAGGCACTCTTACACAGGGTCTGTAAGTGAAGGATAGCAGAATAGAGGAGCAGAATAGCATATAGTCAGAGGCACTCTTACACAGGGTCTGTAAGTGAAGGATAGCAGAAGAGAGGAGCAGAATAGCATATAGTCAGAGGCACTCTTACACAGGGTCTGTAAGTGAAGGATAGCAGAATAGAGGAGCAGAATAGCATATAGTCAGAGGCACTCTTACGCAGGGTCTGTAAGTGAAGGATAGCAGAATAGAGGAGCAGAATAGCATATAGTCAGAGGCACTCTTACACAGGGTCTGTAAGTGAAGGATAGCATAATAGAGGAGCAGAATAGCATATAGTCAGAGGCACTCTTACACAGGGTCTGTAAGTGAAGGATAGCATAATAGAGGAGCAGAATAGCATATAGTCAGAGGCACTCTTACACAGGGTCTGTAAGTGAAGGATAGCAGAATAGAGGAGCAGAATAGCATATAGTCAGAGGCACTCTTACGAAGGGTCTGTAAGTGTAGAATAGCATAATAGAGGAGCAGAATAGCATATAGTCAGAGGCACTCTTACGCAGGGTCTGTAAGTGTAGGATAGCAGAATAGAGGAGCAGAAAATATAGAGAGGCGCTTTAAAAATAGCATAATAGTAGCATATAGTCAGAGGCACTCTTACACAGGGTCTGTAAGTGAAGGATAGCATAATAGAGGAGCAGAATAGCATATAGTCAGAGGCGCTCTTACGAAGGGTCTGGAAGTGAAGGATAGCAGAATAGAGGAGCAGAATAGCATATAGTGGTTTTTCGAAGGGTCTGTAAGTGTAGTCATAATAGAGGAGCAGAATAGCATATAGTCAGAGGCACTCTTACGCAGGGTCTGTAAGTGTAGGATAGCAGAATAGAGGAGCAGAATAGCATATAGTCAGAGGCGCTCTTACGAAGGGTCTGGAAGTGTAGAATAGCATAATAGAGGAGCAGAATAGCATATAGTCAGAGGCACTCTTACACAGGGTCTGTAAGTGAAGGATAGCATAATAGAGGAGCAGAATAGCATATAGTCAGAGGCGCTCTTACGAAGGGTCTGGAAGTGTAGGATAGCAGAATAGAGGAGCAGAATAGCATTAGTCAGAGGCGCTCTTACTTTGGGTCTGGAAGTGTAGAATAGCATAATAGAGGAGCAGAATAGCATATAGTCAGAGGCACTCTTACGAAGGGTCTGGAAGTGTAGGATAGCAGAATAGAGGAGCAGAATAGCATATAGTCAGAGGCGCTCTTACGAAGGGTCTGGAAGTGTAGAATAGCATAATAGAGGAGCAGAATAGCATATAGTCAGAGGCGCTCTTACACAGGGTCTGGAAGTGTAGAATAGCATAGCAGAATGGAGGAGAGCTAACAAGAGGCCCAGGGGCCACAGCGCTCACCTGAGCACACCGGCTAGGAAAAAGCAAATATCAGATCAGAAATGAAAGTTTACTGAGTTTGGAGGGGGGGGGCTAACTGCCCCCTGGGGGTCATGATTTGAACAAACTTGAATCTACACTACCTGAGGATGATTTCATATAAATATAACTATCCATGGCTTTGAAGTACTTGAAAAAGAGATTTTAAAAGATTTCCCTATATATTCATATGAAAAACTTTGATCGGTCATTTTGGCCCCACCCTACCCCCGGGGTCATGATTTGAACAAACTTGAAACTACACTACCTGAGATGATTCCACATTAGTTTCATTTTTCCTGGCCCAGTCGTTCTTGAGAAGAAGAGTTTTTAAAGATTTCCCAATATATTCCTATGTAAAACTTTGATCTGCCATTTTGGCCCCTTCCTACCCCTGGTGGTCATGATTTGAACAAACTTGAATCTACACTACCTGAGGATGATTCCACATGAGTTTCATCTTTCCTGGCCCAGTGGTTCTTGAGAAGAAGATTTTTAAAGATTTTCCCAATATATTCCTATGTAAAACTTTGATCGGCCATTTTGGCCCCACCCTACCCCCGGGGGTCATGATTTGAACAAATTTAAATTTACACTACCTGAGGATGATTCCACATGAGTTTCATCTATCTTGGCCAGGTGGTTCTTGAGAAGAAGATTTTTTTAAAATGCCATTAATTTTTTCACTAATTCATAATTATCTCCCCTTGGAAAAGGGCGTGGCCCTTCATTTAAACAAACTTGAATCCCCTTCACCCAAGGATACTTTGTGCCATGTTTGGTTGAAATTGGCCCAGTGGTTCTTGAGAAGAAGATGAAAATGTGAAAAGTTTACGACGACAACAACGACGACAACAACGACAACGACGACAGACAACGGACAAATTTTGATCAGAAAAGCTCACTTGAGCCTTCGGCTCAGGTGAGCTAACAAGAGGCCCATGGGCCACATCGCTCACCTGAACACTGTGGCTAGCATAAAAGCAGAAATTAGTTTATTACTGAAAAGTTTAAACCCAAAAGTAATCCCAACCATTCCTTAAAGAGGAGAGGGTATGATTTGCACAAACTTGAATCTACACTACCTGAGGATAATTCCATATAAATATTGACCAATCATGGCTTTGTTATTCTTGAGAAGAAGATTTTAAAAGAATTTTCCCATATATTTCTATGTAAAACTTGGGTCGGCCATTGTGGCCCCTCACAACCCCCCGGGGGTGATGATTTGAACAAACTTGAATCCACACTACCTGAGGATGCTTCCATATAAATATGACCAATCATGGCTTTGTTATTCTTGAGAAGAAGATTTTTAAAGAATTTTTCCCATATATTTCTATGTAAAACTTGGGTCGGCCATTGTGGCCCCGCCCTACCCCTGGGGGTCATGATTTGAACAAACTTGAATCCACACTACCTGAGGATGCTTCCATATTAATATGACCAATCATGGCTTTGTTATTCTTGAGAAGAAGATTTTTAAAGAATTTTCCCATATATTTCTATGTAAAACTTTGGTAAGCCATTGTGGCCCCGCCCTACCCCCGGGGGTCATGATTTGAACAAACTTGAATCTACACTACCTGAGGATGCTTCCATATAAATATGACCAACCATGGCTTTGTGTTTCTTGAGAAGAAGATTTTTAAAGAATTTTCCCATATATTTCTATGTAAAATTTTGGTCGGCCATTGTGGCCCAGCCCTACCCCCGGGGGTCATGATTTGTTGAATCTACACTACCTGAGGATGATTCCACATGAGTTTCATCTTTCCTGGCCCAGTGGTTCTTGAGAAGAAGATTTTTTAAAAATTCCATTATTTTCTCACTAATTCATAATTATCTCCCCTTGGAAGAGGGCGTGGCCCTTCATTTGAACAAACTTGAATCCCCTACACCTAAGCATACTTTGTGGCAAGTTTGGTTGAAATTGGCCCTGTGGTTCTTGAGAAGAAGATGAAAATGTGAAAAGTTTACAGACAGACGGACAGGCGGACAGCTAGACAGACAGTCGGACAGCTAGACACCGGACAAAATGTGATCAGAAAAGCTCACTTGAGCTTTCAGCTCAGGTGAGCTAAAAACTCAGCAGGTTTAAGTATTTACAAAGCGGCTCATTAGAATATAAATACATGTTAATAATATCTTACTATAGCAATTAATTTTTTTCTTTGAACCATTTTCATATTTGTTCCATAAAAAATGATTTAAAAATTTCAAACAAATCTGTAAAGACATCATTCTAAGAACATGACTTATTATGACAGACTCACTTTAACAGCTACTTTGGTTTTTCCTGAGTTGTCATCAAGGATATTTTTAGCCACGCCCTCAAACACTTCCCCAAATGCCCCACTCCCCAGAAACTTGGTAAGCATCAGCTGGTCTCGCCTGAAGTGTGGGAGGGCCGCAATGTCACTGTCCGTAGGAACCATGCTGTCAAGGTCAAGGATAAAGGCATAAATCAAAAGAAGTCATAGTTTTCTTTTTTCTTTGGTCCCTAATTACTTTCAAAAGTTGAATTGAATCATTCTGTGAAGTCTATTTGAGAGTGCATATAAAATATTCAATAGGTTGAAGACAGACTAACTTGATGGTGTACAAAGTGTTATTCTGCAGTACAGTGGTCGCTGGTAAATCTCGGAGCGTGGCTAGCTCCATGTCAGGTCCCCGAGCCACCGGGACAAAATGGGCGGGCTTCTGTTTTAACTGCTGCTGTCTCCTTATCACTGAAACACGAAATTCATTTGTTAGAATGTTTTGTTGACATAACTAATAATCTTCTCTTAATTTTACATAACATTGAAGGAAGTCATACAGTAACTGTGAAATATTGCCCTTCTTATAAAAAACTCATTTATAAAACATACAAATAAACACTGTACATAGGAAAAAGGTAACAGATAATAATTTTTTCAAATCAATAATTAAAAATATGAAGAGTTGAATAGCAACACTGATCATCATGTTTTAAATTTTTTCACTTGTATGTGTACTTTTGTGACTTCAACACAATGTCATAGTTGGTATTGAGAGATTACGTAGAGGAACTTACAACAGTAAACAATAACAAAAGCTCCCAGAATGAAAACGAACACAAAGGATAGAATGACAGCCAGTACCGTCATGTTGTCTACAGGGACACGATCATCTGAAATAGACAGGCAGCTTCAGAGTCACCGGGATGCTTGAAACAGAGGCATCTAAAGCATATATTTGAGATTAATTCACAAAATAAATTGAGGGGAGGGGGTCTGGCCCCCTCGTAATATTGGGACATGCAAAAGATTACATCTGAATTCTAAATTCTGCATCCTTAAGGATAACAATTCAATTATCAAGAATCACATGCATCTATCTATTTTTTTTAAAACAAATTATTCAAATGATGCATACTTTCCTGCATCTAAATAATACTAATATTTGGTACAGCTGTACAAAATTTGCATTTTTATTGAAAAAAAACTTTTAACACATTAACTGGATTCTTATAAATCTTAAAGGATTTATGAATTTTGAAATCTTACCACTATAATTAAATGCTGAACTATTTGCACTAAAGGGACCTTGACCTAGGATGTTTGTGGCGGCCACACTGAAATAGAGGTCGCGATTCTGGGGGAGGTGGGAGGTGTCCACTAACCATCTGGTCTGATTACCCTCGTACACAATAAGACAGTCCTCCTCATCACTGTAATATAAAGTAGTGTTATTACATGTACTACTGTAATTCTGAGTTACCTCAAATTTAAAGTTAACACATGTATTTGATTATAATTGGTCTCCACATTACATACTTTTTTTTGTACTGAAAATAGAATAAAAGCTGATTTTGGCTACTTCAAAAGGGATCTACACAGGCATTAACCAGCATTGCATGTGTTCAATTTCATGTATTCTTAGATATATAATTCAAACATTACCAGTGTTGCAGTGTGTAGTTCAGTATAAGTTTAATTCACACATTACCAGCATTGCAGTGTGTAGTTCAGTATACTAAGGTTCATTACCAGCATTGCAGTGTGTAGTTCAGTATAGGTTCATTACCAGCATTGCAGTGTGTAGTTCAGTATAGGTTCATTACCAGCATTGCAGTGTGTAGTTCAGTATAGGTTCATTACCAGCATTGCAGTGTGTAGTTCAGTATACTAAGGTTCATTACCAGCATTGCAGTGTGTAGTTCAGTATAGGTTCATTACCAGCATTGCAGTGTGTAGTTCAGTATAGGTACATTACCAGCATTGCAGTGTGTAGTTCAGTATAGGTACATTACCAGCATTGCAGTGTGTAGTTCAGTATAGGCTCTCCATTGTCCCGGGGCACCTGCCATTCCACCTGGTAACCAGGACTGAGTTCATTTATAACTGGAATCGATGGAGTACCAGGAACATAAGCTATAGAACAGATAAAAGTACAACTGTCACAATTAGAAATTGTCATTAAAACTACAACTGTCATGATTAGAAATAGTCATTAAAACTACAACTGTCATGATTAGAAATAATCATTAAAACTACAACCGTCACGATTAAAAATAATCATTAAAACTACAACTGTAATTATGTGACGTATTATTAGGTCCACCTATATCTGAAACTTTTTCATATAAGTACACCCTTAATCCTTTAAGTACATTTTTGTAATAATAAATACACATCAAAGCAATGTTAATACAAGCATTTTTATTTGTGTTAAACACCTTTAATTTATCTGAACCCTTTTTCAACAATATACTCTCTTAATTTCATATTTCCCTTAAAAACATCTTGTTTTAAAAAATACTCCTTTATTTTTAATGATAAAAACTTACATCAAAGCAAGTGTTTATAAAAGCATGTATTTAATAATGTAGTTCTAAATAATGAGATGAATATTACCTTTGGTTCTGAACACAAATTTGAGGTCATTAGTAGGCCAGAAGAATTGGGCGTTCCGTGACCCGCGGTAACTCAGCTTCACTTTGAAGGCGTACTTTGTGTTGGGTTCCAGGTTGGTGAAGTTTTTGATGTAGGTCTTGGAGACCTCGGTCCTCTTAGGGAAGCCATTATTGTCCCACTGGTTCCACAACTCCACGCCCTGCTCCAGAACCTGTCGGGAAAGAAGAGAGACAATAGTCCCAACCACTTTTAATTTATGTATTCTAACATTAACATCTCAATTTCTTGCATATCTTAATAATCCTTTTTAGCTCACCTGAGCCGAAGGCTCAAGATTCTCTGATCACAGGTAGGCGTCCGGTTCTGACCGTGTTTCTTTCACATTTATATAAAAAACAAAAGTTTTGGTGAAGGGGATTCAAGTTTGTTCAAAAAGGGCCACGCCCTATATACTTGGGAATTAATGAAAATTTGGTGGCATATTTTAAAAATCTTCTTCTCAAGATCCACTGTGCCAGGAAAGATGATTTTTGCCCTTATGGGGAACATTGCCTCAGGTAGTTTAGATTCAAGTTTGTTCAAATCATGACCCCCGGGGGTTCAGGGCCAAAATGGCCGACCAAAGTTTTACATAGAAATATATAGGAAAATTCTTTTAAATTCTTCTTCTCAAGAATGACAAAGCCATAATCCATCAGTTATGGAAGCATGTCAGGCAGTAGATTCAAGTGTTCAAATTATGACCCCCGGGGGTGCTGTTTTACATAGAAATATATAGGAAAATTCTTTAAAAATCTTCTTCTCAAGAATGACAAAGCCATAATTCATCATATTTATATGGAAGCATCTGCAGGTAGTGTAGATTCAAGTCTGTTAAAATCATGACCCTTGGGGGTAGGGCGGGGCCAAAATGGCCAGCCAAAGTTTTACATAGAAATATATAGGAAAATTCTTTAAAAATCTTCTTCTCAAGAATGACAAAGCCATAATTCATCATATTTATATGGAAGCATGTTCAGGTAGTGTAGATTCAAGTTTGTTCAAATCATACCCCCGGGGGTAGGGCCGAATATCGGCAAAATGGCCGACCAAAGTTTTACATAGAAATATATAGGAAAATTCTTTAAAAATTTTCTTCTCAAGAATGACAAAGCCATAATTCATCATATTTATATGGAAGCATGCTCAAGTAGTGTAGATTCAAATTTGTTCAAATCATGACCCTTGGGGGTAAATCAAAAAAATGGCGTAAAGATATATATAGGAAAATTCTTTTATTTTTCTAAAAAATAGCAAATCCATGATTTTTTAAACTGTAAAAAGCCATTTTCTACTTTTTCCTACCCTATAGTGCTCAGGTGAATGGGCCCATGGGCCTCTTGTTTTCAGAGTTCAAGATACAAGGTAGCAGGTTTGACTGTTTCTAATTTATAAAAACAAAAACATAGGTAATCAGAGATTACAGAGCTCACCTCAATGAATGTTGTCTTTAAGTAAGGCAAAGTCACACAATTAACCAACGAAAAGTATACATTTGTGTGTTTTTGATCTGATACTTTGAAATAGACCTACATAAAAAATTTAAACTAGTTCTTCTTCATGAAAATGTACCACATCTGAAGCAAATTTGAGAGTTTTCATCTCTTGTGCAGCATTTGTCAAATGTTATATAAGCCTTATAATTTTTGTGTGTCTTTTAATTATATGTATGTCGAATTCAGCATCCGAAGAAATGTGCATCAATATGTATCATCCATGCAAGTTTGCTCATTATAGGGCTCATAGTTTAAAATAAACTTTAAAAACTAACATTTTCACTCAAGTAAAAGTAGGTCAGATTCAGCATTGGTAGTATGCATCAATGTATCTTCAAGATTGGTCATTAAAGATTTTCCTTGGAAATGAAACCTGCACCAAAAACTTTTACCTGTTCACTCAATTGCAAAATGTAGGTCAGATTCAGCATCCGAAGCAAGCCTGGTAGTGTGCATCCTTAGATGTATCATCCATGCAAGTTAGATAGACATAGGGCTTATAATTACTTGGAAATGAAACTTGCACCAAAAACATTAACCTGTTCTCTCAACTGGAAAATGTAGGTCATTCTCATCAAGCAAGCCCGGCAGTATATCCTTAGATGTATCATCCATGCAAGTTTGGTCAACATAGGACTTATAGATACTTGAAAATGAAACCTGCACCAAAAACTTTAACCTGTTCACTAACCAAAATGTATGTCAGATTCAATCCGAAGCAAGGCCGGTAATGGAATATGCAAGTTTGGTCAACATAGGGCTTATAGTTACTTGGAAATGAAACCTGCAAAAAACTTTAACCTGTTCAAAGTAAAATGTAGGTCAAAATGTAGCAACTGTGTCATCCTTAGATGTATCATTTTGTTCAAAATAGTTGTAAATGAAACCTACACCAAAAACTGCACCAAAAATGTTAACCTGCTCCAAAAACATTATGGTCATTCATTTGCTGAAATTGCAGCATCTGAAACTTTGTCTGGTATGAAACATACTAAAACCATCTTACATGCATGTCTAATCAATATAGGACACAGAAGTAATTAAAAAGAAAACTTAAAAAACTTAACCTTAACCTGGGAATCGCCGAGGGTTATTGTTTTGAGGTCCAAAAACAATTTTGGTGTCACAAAAAATATATGTACTGTATACAGGGTTATTTTTGCCCCGTGTTATTTTTGCCCTTTTGGACTTGCGAACAATTTTGCCCCATTTTAAATACGCCAAGTCATAGTTCTGTTTATGAAATTATGCTGTGTAATTTGAATTTGTCCCATTTTAAATTCGCCTAATCAAGAAGAGGGAAAAAGGGGCGAAAACAAAACAGGGGGTAAAAATTTCCCTGTATACAGTATATATATTATAGAGAAATCTGATATCTTATCTCGCTTCTTGTGTCTTGTGATTTACAAATCCTAGTACTACAATAAAATAGACTGACTCTAACAACCTACAGTTGAACTTCGGTATCTCAAACTCCGATATCTCCAATACCATGGATATGTCGAAGTGATCTGGAAGTCCCAACCACATTTTCTTTAAGTATTTTACCTTCAATATCTCTAATCCTCGGATATCTCGAAGTTTTTTCTCGGTCCCATCAGGTTCTAAATAATGAAGTTTAACTGTACCTTGCCATAGTAAGAGATGCATGTGGATGCTGTTATCTGGGGTGAAAACAGACTGACTCTAATAACCTACCTTGCCATAGTAGAAGAGATGCATGTGGCTGCTGTTATCTGGTAATATTAGACTGACTCTAACACCCTACCTTGCCGTAGTAAAAGAGGTGCATGTGGCTGCTGTTATCTGGGGGTGGGGTCCAGGAAATCCTGAGGGTGTCATGGGAGGCATTTAACAGAAGGATGGGGCCGGGATTCTCATACGTCTTCACCTTCACAGGTAGACTCTCTGTAGAGAACACACCTTCCAAGTTACCTGACAACACCTGTAAAGTAAAAAGTCTGAAGATTATAAGATACAAACAATCATTAAATGAGAAGTTATCACAGGCATGTAACATCAGCTTCGATAATAACCTGACATGTTACAGTTATAGTACCCTACCTTGACCTCGTAGCTGTGTCCCGGCTGGAGTCCAGTCAGGTTGTAGCTGTACCTCTGGTCAGCGTCTGGCTCCACCCTGACCGTTCGGTTGACCACCTGGTGCTGGTTGTTGATCTGAGTTGAGTACTTGACCATGTACTTCAGATCCTCTAGAGGACCGTTAGGACTGACCGGGGCTGACCACGAGACTTTGATGGTGATGGGGGTATCCACTGTGGCATTCACTTGTGTGGGTGGGGTAGGTACTGTATTATAAAAAACAGTCCAAATTAATGTGTTGACGTTGCAATGGTTAGGGCAAGCCCAAAAATCTTTTCAGTGTAAAACCTGTACATAGAACTGTTGCAGCACATGTCATTTTTAGTGTCTCAACTCTGACGTCATATGATGTTGTATGTTAAGGTTGCATTACCAAACAGAAGACTGTACAATGCTGACTTTATTGAAGAACATTTTATTTACTACTTATCTGTTAAATCAAAGCAATTTTTTTTTATTGAACTTTTGTTGTTATTTAATGAAAAAAAGCAAAAGATTTCTTTATTTTGCAAATTTAGTAATTTTCTGAATGATTTTTCTATGGATCTGTATTATCTTTTTTTACTATTTGAGGAAAAAGATGTCATTACTCTTTTCATGGAATTTTGTATACAGTAAACTGATAATCAAGGGATCAGTATTGAAACAATAAATGCTTCAACTGGATTACATAAAATGAGGTACTACATTTCAGCTATAACAACTGCCACAGGAACTACAAACAAACTAACCTCCGACCTTTGTTCTGAAGTAAAATGGCTGACTGAGGGCCTTGGACAGGTATTCTGTGTAGTAATTACTGACAGCTCCATGTACAGTGTATAGAGTGTAGGGGTCAAGGCCTGTCAGTGTAATCTCATTACTGTAACTCTCCTGTAAAGCAATAACAATGTTGTACTTTTAATCAAACAAGAGGCCCATGGGCCTTATAGGTCACCTGAGAATCATGCAACAACTTTCAAATGATTGAATTTGGTATGTGTTTTAAGGTAGATGCTATGGCATTCACAATTTTGAAAGATTGGCTGGCACCATTGCTAATCATAACTATAAACTTAGCAATTACTTAGTTTGGTTACTTAATATAATGCGTCAAATGCACGACGAACGACGATGACGAAAACGATAGCAATAGGTCACCTGAGTTTACTCAGGTGACCTAAAAATACAATGTTAATTAAAATAATTCATTTTTTTTTAAATATTACTGCGTAACTGCTTAACATAAAAACAACACTGATTTGTAGGGGGTGATTAATAATGAACCAGAGTCTTACAGATTTTTTGCAGTCTGGACTGTTTAAGTGACAGCTATGGCCCTGTCTGTCTGACTGTGTGTAGTACACAATGTATTTAGTGGCTGGGTGAGATATTCCATTACATGAGTCTGGCCATGTTACGCTGTCTAAGTGAATGGTAAGGGAGACATTCCTACTCCCTGTCAAACTCAGATTCCCGCTGTAAGCCTCAGGGTTCAGGCACTCGTCACCTACAGAGAAGGAAAAAACACTGAAGCATTGATATCGATTCATAACTACAATCCACTAAAGTATTTCTGAACATTTTCTAATTTTACACAAGAAGTGTTAATTAACAATACATTATAAATTCATCATTTTCTGATTTTTAAATTTCTTTTGATATGATAAGAAACACTTACTGGGTAGGGGTTGCAGGTGTGAGCCGTAAGCCTCTATACTCCGGACGCTGTCTACTGGTATCTGGGTGACCTTGCCTGTGACCTTGTCCAGGGATGTTAACTGGTTCTCACTTTTTCGGTACCAGTATATCAGCATGTGATCCACAGACAACAAGTCAGGAGGAAAACCTTCAGAAAAAAAACAGGTTGATTTAACATTAAAAAAAATAAAGCATAAGAGAAGAATTAAATAGTTTCAAGTATAAGTGTCTTGATCTCTAGGACTTGAGATTGATCGAGATTGATTTTGCATGATGCTACCTAATAAAGACACAAAAAATTTAAAGTGGTCATAAATTTGAAATTGTGTAGTACCTTGTGCATTTTTTATAATCTCCCTACAGTGACAGCCCTGTGTATCTGATGCAATGATAGCCCTGGACGCTGTGTCATAGATCAATATCTCCAGTTCTGTCCCCTTGGTGTGGTCCAGGGCTATCACGTCCCCTACTACTGACACTGTACAGTTACAGGGTGCATCAAGAGATCTCCGAGACCTGGGGGAGAACATGGGGTTGGGGTCCCCTCCCTCCCGACAGAAAAACAGCTCACTGTGGAGACCAGAGGGATGCTGCTCAGTCCAAAACAGGGTGCTGAAAAATAACAGTAATGTCAAACTAGAGACAGGTCACTCAGTCCAAAACAGGGTGCTGAAAAATAACACATAGTAATTAAAGTCAAACTCACCTTCAGTAGTTATTAATTCATGGCTTAAAATATATTATTTTCTGCTGCAGTAGTTGATTTTGTGTGTACCTTAAAATAGGGCTCCCTGAAATAAATTTAACCTGCCCCTCAATTTTAGCTGGACCCTCTGTGTGGCCTACGTCTAAACTGGTAAAGTGATTTGTAAATGGACTTTGTGTTAACAGAAAAATTTTTAAGTCCTGCTATATATAGTCATGTCCTGTATGGTGAAGGCCATCCCTAAATCCAGCAACTGAAATCAAAGTCCATCATAAAATCAATAGTCCAGCATCAAATGAAAGTAAATACATCAAAATGAAAGCAAGTCCACAAAGTCCAGTATCAGAATGAAAGTAAGTCCACAAAGTCCAGCATCAGAATGAAAGTAAGTCCACAAGGTCCAGCATCAAAATGAAAGTAAGTCCACAAAGTCTAGCATCAAAATGAAAGTAAGTCCTCAAAGTCCAGCATCAAAATGAAAGTAAGTCCAAAGTCCAGCATCAAAATGAAAGTAAGTCCTCAAAGTCCAGCATCAAAATGAAAGTAAGTCCTCAAAGTCCAGCATCAAAATGAGAGTAAGTCCACAAAGTCCAGCATCAGAATGAAAGCAAGTCCTCAAAGTCCAGCATCAGAGAGTAAGTCCACAAAATTAAAACTTTACAATGTAATAGAATCATTCAATTGAGTGTTAAATATTCATTCTTGCCCTTGCTTCTCATTGTGATAACAAGTGAAAGACAAAATTCTCAACATATACAAAGTCTTTTACCTTTTTTCTTCCATGAGCAGCAGAGTACTGCCATAATTGACTGTTGTAATCCACCCAGAACACCCGGTCATCCTGAGACACCTGTAGGTAGGTCACGGCTAACGGCGAGGCCCCGGTGACCACCGTGTGGACGTTGTGGGTACTGTCTACGTCCATCACCTGGATATTAGTCGTGTCAGCCAGGAGGATCTTAGGGACTGGATTCAGAGCTGTAAGTCAACCATGAAGGAAAATAAAGGTAAATCACAGGTACAACGGGGAAAAAATCCTTCTCATCTTTCGAATTTTACAGTGTATATACAAAACTGGATATACATGTATTTAGAAAATAATGAATATTTCTATACAATACTGTAATATTAACATGCAGTCAGTCTCAGCTTACAGTGTCCATAATTAATACTCATTTTAATTTTTTGTCTTGACATCTGTTACTGGAAACTCCCAAAAAACTGGTATCCTCTTGCAAACAGTCAAAACAATATTTAATATATAGACAAACACATGTACATACGAGGGTTGTCCCGTAAAATCGTGGACAAGTTGTCTAGTGTGAAAAATAAACATCACTGCGTTCTGAAATTTTCACTATCATTTAGTACATATTTTAGTGATATACACAGCAAATTTCAGATTAATATATGCATAAATAAACAAATTATGTGATTTTATGCCATGTATTGTATAACCTTACGGCGCATGGATTATAACGTCAAAGTGTCTAAAACGTTTTATCTTTGCTGAAAATGAAGTTGGATGAGTCTGACTTAAATTTAGGAATTTCATTAATACACATTCTTTATAGTCTCCATAACAGCCGAAGAACCAATTGACACCCTCATGCGATCTTCTGAAGATTTATCAGTAAGTTACGGACAATATTCTCACCATCATTCAACTAATAGAAAATCTCATATCGGCGGTTTACTGTGACAGCGTCTTTGCTATTACATTAGGAGTTTGTCCGTATGTTTTGTACTCCCCAGGGACTCGATCAAAAAAGACTTCGCTAAGAAAACTTCTATTTCATTTGTATACTTAAGATATGATGATATTGTTTATAATCTTTTTTCTTCCATGGTCATTTCAAGTCTCTAAAGGTGTCATTAGAACATCAAATTAAAACGGAACTGCTCTCCGGTGCGCCGTAACGTCATAAAACGTCGCCATTTTTAGTGTGTTGTGTTTACTACTTTCCCATTTCGAATGCTCGAGAAACTGCCAAAAATTAACTAAATGTCTTAAAATTTTTACAAAGACTACAAAATTGATTGCGGAATTGAATTAGGATAATTTTAATCCAATTCTTATGTATTTAAAACTTTTATTTTGAATTCAAACTTGTGTATTCTTTAATAAAACCTTGGTTTTTTGTCCGTGCGCCGTAGGGCAATATACCCCGTGCTCATTCAAGCATAATAAAATCTTAATTTCTGCCTATATTTTATCAAAAAAATTATCATGCACTTAAATATGATAAATAAACATTTACTGAAATTTTCAGCTTAGTGCGCCCATTACTTTTTGAGAAAAACGCTTTGTCCACGATTTTACGGGACAACCCTCGTACTTTAAACTCATGCAGTTAAGATGCTCTACATGTGTATACTCAGTGAGTTAAACCTACCCTCTGCTGTAGCCTGTTTGATCTCCGTCATTTCACTACATCCCTCATAGGTGCAGGCTTGTACCTGTTTATAGTACAGAATATCATGGTTACAATTTAAATCTGAAATTGACTCGTGACATAAGGGGACATGCCAATACAGTAAAAGTCAGTTATATAGAGAAGTCAATGGCACCTACAAAATTACTTTACTATAACCATAATTCATTATGTCTTTTAAGGAATTCATTAAATTTACATAGCTGGGGATCCAAGAAAACTTAGCTACATCCATGAATTTGCAATATTCTTTTTTGAACTAAACGAGTTTTAGTCTATAATTAAATATAAACAGTAAATGTAAGCAGTGAGCATTACCTATCACACTGTAATTCTAGTATCTAGTAGGATTTTAAAGTTGTACCTGGAAGTTATAGGTGTAGTTGTTCTGTAGACAGGTGTCCAGTGAGAAGTGTCGGGCGGTCGAGGCCAGGGCTTTCTTGATCAGCTGATTGGACCCGGTCTTCCAGTAGGTCACTATGTACTGGTTAATGATCCCGTTGTCACGCTCCGGTGACTCCCACCTAAAAGAGGCTCCCATACAGGTCTCTGACCCCGAGGATTCTTTACGCTGATTGACAAACACTCGGGGGGTCAGGGGCTTAGATGGTGCTGTAACAGAGATCAGTGACTAATCCAGTCAATAGGTAATCAAAAATACTGTCTAAATATACATATCATAATATCCATTATCAAATATTTTTCTCAAGTTTATAGCCATAGTTCATGAAAAACTGAAGTATGCCCTACAGAATTCAAGAATCCCTACTTTTACTCTAAGTTCACTCTTTGTCACTGTTAAATAGTAGATATATTTGACTTTTGTGACAACATACCTGCCATGGGGGACCTGATGACGGCAGTAGAGGGTTTCCCGTACCCCCAATACGTGTATCCCGCCACCTTCACTGTCAACTCACTATAGGGTGCAATCCCCTCAACTTCAAACCAAGTCTTCTCTGTTTTCTGTAAAATGTTCATTTTTAAAGTTTATATTTCTATGTTTGTATGTTTCTACTGTTACTGTAAAATCACATTTTCGTGAGGTCCAATTTTTGTGGTTTGAAGATTAAATATTGGTTTGTGGGAATATGATTTCGTGGTTAAAGATCTGCTTAGTAGTTCTGTATATGAAATTTTATTTTTCGTGGTGGACATGAATTCGTGGGTCTCTTCGTACCTCGAAAGCAACGAAAATTAAACCCCTGTGAAAATTATTGATTTCACTGTATTGATTTTATAGGAGGCTACAAGCTACATGTCTCACTTCCATACCATAATAACAGCAGTGTCTGAGTCGATAGAGACCTCGTAGTTCAGACTCCCATAGTTAACAGAGGCAGGACTCCAGGAGATGTTGAATTTTGACCAACGTCCACTACAGGTAATGCTGTCTGGGTCAATCACACTGGGTATCACCCGAATTGTTGTCTCATTTAGTCCCTCTAAAAAACATCATGGTACATTACATATTACACTTCATCTCTGGCAGTTTTCTAATCTCATACAGATTGTGACTGCATACAAGTATGATTGAGTTCAAAGGGATGTGATGACTGAGTTAGTATTTTCAAATTGGTACATGTACAATAATCACCAAGTACTAAGGAATGAGAAGACTGTACCTGGGTAGGGGTGAAGTGAGGGGTGCTGGACCTGGAAGATGGACACCCCTCTCTGAGTGACCACTGATGTGTGATTGACATCTAGATCCCCCAGGATGACCTGCTGGTCAGCATTTTGCCAGAATAACCGGTGAAAGTGGTACTGTAGCACAGAGTCACTGAAATTTAATACATATAGCATATATGATAAAGTGTCATGGTTAAAAAAAATCTGAAGATAATACATAATCCAGCAATATTACATATTTCTCTGCTTTACAGATCTATTGTTTGGAAGCTTTAACATACAGGCACGTAGCAACAGGGGGGGGGGGGGGGGGAGCCTGGCCCCCCCCCCACTCTGAACATTACCTTTACTATAGGAAATGTCCATTGAGAAGATGGTTGCCCCCCCCCCACTTTTTACCACAGTATACAGATAGGAAGGAAATATAGGAAAAAATTGGAAGCGCAGCACAGTTAAGGTTACAGTAAGGAGGCGGGGCTTAATTTGTACGGGAAATGTTTACTATGACGTCACGCATAATACAAGGTCTTCAAAATACCACAAAATGAAATCATTTTCTATTTCAAACAGCTGGATAGCTGTATACTACATACAAACTTACTATTACATGCAGTTTTGTCGTTTATTAAATCCCACACAACAGTATATAAACGGTGCATCGATCGCAATGCACTAGTCAATGTGACGTCATCTCGCAAAAATGACGCATTTTTTACACAGTCACAATGTGATCAAGTCACATTTTGTACAATGAAAAATATCTTTTGTTCTCAAATGAAATATTATTTGCAGTAAAATAAAAAGCCATTAACTTGGATGCAATGTCTATTTTAGTATTTTATTCATAAACTGTACGTGCATTCATCAGACAAGCTATACTGTCGTGTGTTTGTATGCAGATTCATTAAAAAAGTAATGGAAGGGCCCTAATAAATCGATTTATTGCAAGGGCATACCCTCAATGTATCCTGTCAAAATTTTACACATAAACTCAAGAAGCATTAAGATATTTGAAAAGTGCTGCGAACCTCTTGAAATCTTGCAACTAAATTAATTTTAGCTATATTTAATGTAGTTGACCAGCAAAATATTCAACCTGCCGTACAACAAATTAAATTTTACCAAGTAAAAAAGGGAATCTATATAGGTTCGCAGCACTTTTCACAAACTACATATAATGTTGAAAAGGATTATAAAATAAACTTAAGATTTTTATCTTGGTTATGCCCTTGCAATATTGAAATTTATAGATGACCTCTAAACTACAAGTATAATTGCCAAAGTCATGTGACGTCGACATCACATGACAAGTCTAAATAAAAAATCTAATTGTCCCCAACATGTAGATTTAAACCACATTACATTTTTTTGATATCAGTGAATTTCTAAAAAGATTCGCCCATCCTAATAAAGTATGTATTTTTTATCTTAAAAAATCGCCGATATTTCCATTTGTAACCTTAACTGTGCTGCGAGTGAAAGGAAGTTGGCCTTGAAAAAAGTTGGCTACCCCCTTCCCCTCACAAAATAGGATTTTCGAGTTTGGGCAATTTTAAATTTTTTTTTTTTTGCTTGTCAACTTATTTTATAGGTAAGTAAAAAATTTTCTCAGGTTGCCCCCCCCCCCCCACTTTCAAAAACGATGCTACATGCCTGACATATCTAGTTTTTAGATGTAAATCATACTTGGCAATAGAGTTGACCGTGCCAATCAGGCGATATTGGTTAGATCCACCCATCTCCTCTCTTTGGATCAAATCAGCCATATACAGCTCCTGACGATCATAACTCTTTACATACCACAGCACCTTCTTGAGGTCAAAGTTCAAGGTCAGACTGATGACCTTGCTCCCTGAGAAGTACGGAATAAAGAAGTGTTTGATGTGCTGCTCTCCATTTAGAAGGCAGGATTCCACGCTGTTCTCTGTCACCCAGTAAAGACGGCCATTTATGGAGTCAATGGTCATGTGACTTGCCAGGCCTTGTATCACAAATTCCTGTTTCTTCAGGTCAGAAAGATTTGCCCTTTTAATCTGCAAATTAAACAATACTGCAAAATGAATGCAGTTTGATTTACCTAGACCATATAATAAAATTTTTCTTTCATTCGCAACAAAAATTCATTTTGTTCCAATTTCTCAGTTTTTTAGTTAGCATTGCATCAAGTGTATTACAATGTTGAGTGCTTAATAAAAACAGAATTAATTTTAAAAAGCTTTATGAATATACAAATTATTGTATGCCATACTTTTCCTTCTCATTTTTTTCCCATTCTAAATTCAAGAGGTACAACAAGGCTCATACATGTATTAGGCCCTTAACAGTTTTCTTCAATGACAGCTAATCAAGGTAACCAAGATTAGGGATTACTGTTCATTATTAACAACATGCACCTGGATTGGTTGACAGTGACATGTAGAGTTTTCCTGCCAGCCAATCACAATAAGGGATTTCCTCTTAGCCAATCATTTGTGACTTACCACTCCTGGATTGGTTGACAGTGACATGTAGAGTTTTCCTGCCAGCCAATCACAATAAGGGATTTCCTCTTAGCCAATCGTTTGTGACTTACCACTCTGGGATTGGTTGACAGTCACTTGTAGATTTTGCTATCAGCCAATCACAATAAGGGATTTCCTCTTAGCCAATCATTTGTGACTTACCACTCCTGGATTGGTTGACAGTGTCATGTAGAGTTTTTCCTGCCTGCCAATCACAATAAGGGATTTCCTTTTAACCAATCACTCTTGACTTACCACTCCTGGATTGGTTGACAGTGAAATGTAGATTTTGCTATCAGCCAATCACAATAAGGGATTTCCTCTTACCCAATCATTTGTGACTTACCACTCCTGGATTGGTTGACAGTGACATGTAGAGTTTTCCTGCCAGCCAATCATACGCCACACTGACCAGACTCGGGACGTCTTCTCTGAAGGGAGCAAAGCTTCCTTGCTGGTAATACAGCAGATCTCCTGCCTCTGTCACCATGTAAACAGTGAAGGGGGTCCACGTCATGTCCCTCACTGTGTAAAAAGGGAAGATCAGGTCTTTAACACTATCAGTAAAGGCCTCAATTATCATTACTTTGTAGTCTATACTTTTGTTGGTGTCTAAAGTAATAAATGATCAAGTAAATTGGGGTAGAGAAAGTTTTGTCAGTTTATTAACAATTTACCTCTGCCTCTAACTATTGTTAATTTTCTCCAGTTCTCTCCCAGTGTATCAGTTTCCACTAGCATGCCTCCACCAAATCGGTTAGGTTCTATCATCACTAGACGGGCTGTAATGGCATCTATTGATAGAAACCAATCATAATTCTTTATTACAGGTCATTAGGTACATGTACTTCTCTTTGAAAAGTTACAAAAAAGTGGTTGGCATGGATACAGTTAGTAACAGATTGTCTGCATCTTACAAGAAGGCCATGACCTGTTAAGCTTCATTCCTTACTATTTATGCCACATGAGACCAACCTTTTGTCAGAGTTCTCCCTGTATACAAGGTCGACCATGGTCCTGTACCAATCTCAGACTTGGCTCTGACCTTGACCTGGTATGTGGTGTCAGACTCAAGGTTAGACAAGGTCAGCGAGGTTTGTCGTACGTTTGATACCAGCTGTCTCTGTCTGCCATCTTTTCCCAGTAACTCAATGTCGTAGGACCAGTTGTTCCATGCTCCCTTGCCTGCACATAAAGACAGGTCAAAGTTCAAGGGCAAGGAACTACTTGTAGACTTAGATCAGAGCTCGGATTTAAAAAAAGGTACAATAATAAATATTTGTAAAGCCATGCATTCATAAATGTTTGAAAAACTCTTGAAAAGATCAATAACGTTAATTTTTCAAACAACACCTGACCTTGGTAATTCAGTCTTTTTGGTGGTTCCCATGACAACAAAACATCAACAGTTCTGAATAAAGCCTGCAGTGAATGGGGAGCACTGTGAGGAACTGAAAATAAGTAATTAAAAATAAACACAAACAATAAATGCTGTACTTGTATATACAAATCCATCCTCCAAAATGATTGTCATATGTTGGATTGAATCAACTCTAAAAGTGCTTACATAAGAATCCTACTCTAATAAGTAATTACAGATCAGATTAATTCATTGATCTCTGTCTAACTTACTCTAATTCAGACACCATTCCTTTGTGTCTGTCTGCGTACCTGGTTTTGCCTGCATACTCCGGTGACTAACACATTCAGTGCTGAGAAGTGACTTGTGAACATACCTGGTTTTGGCTGCATACTCCGGTGTAACACGTTCAGTGCTGAGAAGTGACTGGCAAACATCAGTGCCTGGTTATGATAGTACGTATCCTGGACTGCGTTATACTCCTCCTTCATCACTTTTTTCCCGTTGGTCCAGTAAAACAGCTCATCATAGTACACCATACTGACAATATTCTGGAATTCCGGCCGCACCGTCCTGCTCTTTCTGATGTCAGTGACGTCGCTGCCGTCTAGCGATGACGATCGCATTGAATTCTGGGTCTCGTCGGGGAAGTAGATGAGGATGTTGTTAAAGTCCAGGGTAAATGACAGGAAGTTGTCGGTGAGGATCGGACTGAAGGGGGCAGGGTTTAGGGACGTGATGTCACCGGTATCAACTCTGTACAGCCCTTGTTGTCCCACACTTAGAGTAAAGTATAGATACCTAGAAATAATAAAACCTGTTAAAATACCTGTCCTGTTGATGACATAGTGAAATAAAGAAACCTAAAAAAATAAAACAGGCTTGTCAAATACTAGTCCCAGTTTCTGACATACTGTAAACCAGCTTTCATTTGGGTGCGAGAAATTTCGTGAGTTGCGCAACCTACTTTAAGTCACAAATATTAATCATCCCAAACCATTTACATGTATTTAGCTTTTTGAATTTGGAGAGAATGTTTCCTCAGTCCTGAAAATTAATTGTTGTGGATTGATTTCAAGATGAAGACGACGTGACAAAAAAGTTGGTTTACTGTACAGTAATCAATTTGTATTCTTTGACATAAACCTTTGACTTTTATCTCATTGCATAAACTTTAAATAGTTTGGAAATTTTTAATAAAAACTACCATTGCCCTATTGTCATTTTATACAGTACATCATATGATCAGAACTTTCTAAAATTACAGACATGTTAAATTTCATTTCTAAAAGTTACCAGCTGTCCTTTGTAACTCCTTAATTATTGTTTTGATTAACTGTTTAATACAGGTTTGACAGTATTTAAAGACACTAAAAGAACTAACGAGAAGTACACAATATGATTACATGTATATACAAAGGCATAAAACTGTTATCAGGTGAAATTTTCAAAATATAATTTCTCTATACTGCCATCTAATGAAAGCTTTAACTTAAAAAATGTTTCATTGATGGAAACACCGTCTGGCTTTTTCCTCGACTTTTTGTTTTCCCTGTCACGTCTGACACACTGGCTTATTATCCGTTGTCTGTGTACTCATTTCTTGTGGTGCTGACGTACCCGTTTATAGGATCGACCTTGATGTCGGCCGGTACGGCCGGTAGCTCCGCGGTCGCGGGGTAGCAGGTGTCTGTCTGGATAACACAGCAGTAAATCTAAAGAAAAAACAACTCAGATGTCAGTCAAAAACACAGACTTATTGTTGTACATTTTTTTTTTCACATCTAGGAAATCTATATAATTACAGTACTGGGCTTGGCATCATTCTTCAAAGTTGTATAGATAGTAGTGTTATGGCACTGAGATAGCCGACAATGACCTTGAAAGGTCAGACAGATGGAGGACAAACCTTAGAGCCCCCCACTTCACTCACCTGTAGCCGGTTTACCACATACAGTACGTCCCTGAGCCAGTCGAGCGTGATGCCTGAGGGGTCGGCGAGTTCCGAGAAGATGACCTGAGATTGACCCTGGCTGTCCGTCCTCAGAACTGAGATATTCTTACTGGAATCACTCACATACAAAATCTGTTTATCAATACTCAGGGCTATGCCTAAAATAAGACAAATCAGAATTCCTCCACATATCATTGTCATACTTGTAGACATTATTTACATACAATCAAGATTTTTTTTTATTTCTGACTCAATCTAATCAAAATTAAATATGATATGCACATCATTCTACTTTTTATCTGTAAATGAAAATTAATTCTTTTCAAACTATCAACTTTTCTGGTCAAAAAACTTGTTCAATGGCATGCAGTTTTCAAATACAAACAAGCATGGGGGTTTAGCAAATCCATTTTAGAAATGTGGAATATGGTTGTTAATCGGTGATGAAGTCAAGGGAATGAACTCTTGTTTAATCTAAAATACTGAATCGTGTACATTTTGAAAAATGTATAACCTCGAAGGAATGATACAAATAATAAATATGAAGTAAATTAACTATTGTAAAGCATTCCATTTATCACAAATATCTATTGATAGAAGGATATAGCAAGTGGTAAATATATAGCTGTCAGTTCAAAAATTTGGCACACTCTTGGAAAAGATAAAAAATAATATTGAAATATAGGAAATAAAACTAGAAAAAAAGATACAAATAAAACAAAGTTGACAAAACATTCATATTCCTCCCAGCATTACTTAAGACTGCCAGGGAACGTATCTATATTCAACAAAACCACATAAAAATGAAGATGTACACTGAAGTTTTTGATGTGTGGGTCACCCCTTCCCAATAAGTAATTCATCTAAATAAAAATAAAAGTTTTGATCGGACTAACTTTCCTGAAAACACCCAATGAAATCATCCAATGAAAACACAACACCACAACAATTAACATCCAATGAAATGATGTTTTTCAGGCTCATGATGTTTCCATAGTTACCTGTGATCTCATCACCGGGAATTTGGAATAAAACTGTGGATCCTTTTAGTTTGCAGAAAAAAATACAAGTCAATCAGCCAACTTAGCCTTCTAGACCAGTTCCATTTTATTCAAATTCTACATCAATTTAAAATACATGTAATGCCATAAATCTGATTGAGAGAATGTCATGAAGTCTGCATGGAAATCATTAATAATTTACATTGATAACATGTACTATGTTGGGTTTTTTTCTTCCTTTGATGTATCAATGGGAAAATTTTAAATTCACACTATCTGATATGTGTTAACCAGTGCTTAATAAAAATGCAAGAAGTGCTAAAAAAAAGAACAGTTTGGTTGCAGTTCATTTGACTAAAAACAAAACTCTGGTAAGAGATGGAGTCAAACTGACCCAGTAAACAAGTAGGAGGATTGTGAAGAAATATTAATTTTGTGCTACAGGACATCAAATACAGCACACAAAGAATTGTCTATCAAGATTAGCAAATCCTACAATCAACTGCATTAACATAGTAAACTTTCACAAACATATACTTTTCTTTTCTCCATGATAATTGAATTTAATATTATAGATTAATTACGATGTGTTGTGTTCTTATTTCTCTTGAGATGGAGCTTTACAGTTGAGCTTTCTTACCTTTAACCTTTGTATCAGGAGGGGTCAAAGTTGAGAGTGTCTCGGGGTCAGAGGTTATGAGGAGCTTCATGTTTTGTTTGACCACCTTGTTGTCCTGGGCGAGGACCAGAAATGGGTCATCCTCAGTCGATACTGAAAAACATATTCCATATTAATATGATATATATACATGTACATCATTGTTAGTACAGTAAATATATCATTAGTTATAACTAAAGACCCATATACTTTGGTCGAAACCATTAATTGTTAATCTGTATCAGTGTAAACTGATTTTTTTGCTGATTTTTTTGTTTTAACCCAGTAATTTTTTTTTGACTGCACTGCACTTTTCTGCATGCATTACTGAAACCTGCTGAGCCGCTGAAGTTGTGTATTACATTTACCAACAAAAAATTACACTGAAAGCACTGCTGCTGAGAAAAGCGAGTTTTGTTATAGACATTGAGTGAGAATGAACTAAGAGACACCGCTGACTTTGGTACAGTTCAGCCATTTCTATAAACAAGCAAGCTCGGGATAATCAGGGCCAATAGTGTTATGTCAACGTATCATATTCTTTAAGTATTTCAACAGAATCACACAACCAACATACAGCATGTGAAAACACTTTTGCCAAATTTAATTAGGGGGTATAACGTTAGATCTATTAAACATTTCTGAGATTAAATTACGATGCATTTTTCTTAAACTATCAAACAAACACCTTATAATTTACCGATATATATTTACATTTTACAATGTATATTTGTGGGTATGTAAATTCTGTCACTGTAAAAATAGCTCCTTCTCTAGTACAATATACTCGTGCCTTTGGCAAACCATGATGTAGAATGGTAGTCAGGAAAAATTTCTGTCGGTTAAATTACTTTCTGTTTTATTTAATGATACATGTTTCCTGTTTTTAGCTTGAAATGACAAATCGTTAAAGGATAGCAGCATTGTAATTATCACATTCTGTGAAGATTGAAGAGAAATTTTTTGTGAAAAAAGGAAGTTTTTGGGAGTAATTCATACATTATAGTTCCGCAGACTTTGACGATTTGACACAAGACCACATGTATAAGTAAATTTTATCTTTGATATTCAAATATATACCATGTATCAATATATTACATGTTCTCTAATTTTAAATTTATATACACATGTATTTAAATTAATCTTTGAAAAGGTGCTTTTTTTGTTCACAAATTCATGATGTTCATTTCAGAAATATATTTCTCATCCATTTTGAAATTTGGTTTAAAACTAATTCAACACATGATGATTGAAATTGCATGAATATCTGTTTTAGATTCCAAATTTGGTCGGGAACGTAAAACTGTGATGGCATAAATTGTTAATTCAACTTTCAAATTTTGAGTTTTGATTTAAAATATTATTAAGGACATATGCAACCTACCTTACCTACTGATAATTTTTCAAAATATTATTAATTTAAGATTAAAGTGTCATCAGATGCTAATAGACAAAAAATCAGCATGCATTACAAGGGGTTTTTGAAATATATTAATTGATGAAAATGTTTGGATAATTCGAAGAAAAATATATTAAAAAATACTAAACATATATTGTAGATGTTTCTTTTATCCAAAATTGTTTTAGAAGAAGTGTACAATACCATATGTAGACATTAAAATTCAGTACACAGTTCTTTCAAGAATTGAACTTTTCAACTCCATGGAAAAAGATTAAAAAAAAGTTCAAACTACATTGCGTATGTCCTTAAAAGTTTGAAATAGATTTGGTGCTAAGTATTTATATATAAACAAATTTTAAATGTGTTTCTTGACTAACTTAGAATTTAAATTTGCACTTTAAAATACTCCTAGCACCTGGCTTAATTAATACATGGATGAAAAATATATATTTGGGTGAGTTTCAAATATGCTAAGCATTAAGCAAACAAATACAAGTTCCAGCACAAAACCAGTGACATATTAACAGATTACATAACTTTCTTGTCTGTTTCAGTTTTTGGTTAAGATAATTATTTCTGATTTGTTGAGGAGTCCTGTTACTTCAGTAAAATTCTATAAACTCATAACTCTAACAGTTTGATCTATTGCTTGACTCAGTTGGAATTCTACAAGTTCTGAGCCAGCAAGGGTAGTTTTATTTTTTTTCATAGTGTAAAATTTGCTAAGTCCTTAGAATTATACTATTTGAAATTTCAGAACACTAACTTGAGCGTCTAGCCGTAGTCAATACAATAGGCAACAATTGTAACAGAAAGTGGCCGGGCTGCATTTGCCTCGTAGTAAAAGAGAGTATTTTGATCAGGGAACACTGACAATTAAATTTTGCTGGAGTAATGAAGAACAACTTGAGAGTCGTAATTAAGTTAATTCACGTAAAAAGCTGACTGCTCTCTGTCAATAATGAACTAAGTTCGTGGCTTCTGCCCACCATGCCTTCATTAACAGCTCAGTGAATAATTACAACTACACAGTTCACTAATTAAAAGTCACTAAAAGAGTTTTTATACCTAGGCATAATAGACATCTCCCTGTCCAATAAGAAAACAGCGTGTATATATTCAGACACTCGTGATGTAGTTTGATTTTTAATTTCCATCAAAAAATAACCTAAAAACCATTTTATTTAGAATTATTGTACATACAGTATATTCAAGCTACCATATTATGCAATATTTACAACTTATCTGGAATATTTTGCTTCAGATTCAGAAATAAGTTTAGGAAAATTTGACACAGTGGCAAATGGTGTTACTTTTGGTATGTGGGATTTGATAAAAAAAAATTTAAAAATCTGTCTTTTCATGAGACTGATGTCTGGATTGCATTTAAATGCAGTTTTTTTTTTTTTGAGAAGTAACTTTCAGTTATCATTAATTCAATGATTTCCATACAGGGAAACAGTCCAGACCTGGTAAACTTGTGATAGCTTCTGTACATGTACATATAAACTCAGCCAACTGTTCAGACAGACACGTTGACTTAGTACCGAGTCTGAATTTCTTATAGACCTATTAAACTGCCATATTTCATAACTCCCACTGTGTCAGCATCAGGGTTTTATTCAGCCAGAGTTACCTCCCTTATTCTAATGATGAAAAGAAAATCTTCTCAATTAAGTGTGATGTGCAGACAATTAAAACAAACTGACTTCTAAAATGTTAAATAACAGAATCCATTGTAGAGGTAAAACATGCTAAAAGAATTATAGAAACACATGGAAAGTATATATTTTTAGACAGAAACCCCCTATTTCTGCAGACATTGTAATAATTATAATAAATTTTTCCACAGCATGAAAAGACTGGAGTTAGAATAACAGAAGAATAACTTTGTACGGCAAAAATCAGCCAATAATATTCTTACAATTTTTATCATTCTTTATTTTAATTTTGAAGCTGATAAACTGCTGCCATGATTAGGCAGGCAGAGATAACTGGGAGCGATTTCACAGGAACAGCAAACAGAGCATTGACTCACAGACTGAGCTCACTAGATACGAGTAAGGCTGACTCAACTGTCGAGTATCGTATAGACAAACTACAGAGAAAAACTCAATTTCTGTTAAATCAATACGTCTCAGACAATCTGGAGAATAGGAGGAAGTATTTTTGCACCAGAGAATATAAGAAATGAAATCCCACCCCCTCCCAAAAAATACTTCTCTCATTTCAAAAGGGGAGAGAGTCAAAATTACATCATATTCTACAACATCAAGTTCAGTTTCAATAACAAAAATTTCTTTCATAATTTCAATACAAAAGCTACAGCACTTTCAAGTTTCTGGGTGTATGAATATCAGGTTTTCTGAGTCACTAAAAGGTGTCCATGTACCTACATGACCTTGACCTGAGGGACATTAAAGAAATCATTTCGTTTTACTTCTTTGAGAAAATGAGCTGCAGACTCTCTCCCCAAAATAAGCTAACAACTACAGACTCCCTACAAAGTTATATTTTTACACTACAAACAACTTAGCCCACTAATTAATAAAGTTATTTTTTGTTCACTAAGAATTGCCTGAATCTCGGTGTGATACAGATGGTTCTGTTTAAGTGAAAGTTGCCATAAACACAGGATTTCTCTTTATTGTTGAGTAGATTATAACCAATTTTTTACTCTACGATCTGGATGTTTGCCGTGAGTTTTCTTGACGTAATAGACACGACTTACATTTCTGAGCATTAGTTCACAGTTAATCCAACCCATCCCTGACTATAGGGGAAGAAACTGTAGCATTATTTAATGAGTTTCTTTAATTGAATCCCACTGGTAATTACGATTTCAAATTGACGACCCTCTAGATACACATTTCATCTTCAGTTATTCATTAACAATTTGATAAACACATCTTTCCAGTAGAATTATTATTTTAAAAATACCACTCTCTCTACAAATGAAGCTTAATTGATTCCCAAAGAACCGTTAAAGACTGCAGGCTTCTATTTTAATCCAGCTTCCATTATACAAAATACCATGTTTTTTGTGATTGTGTGTGTACATGTACTTTTCTTTTTTTCTTCATATTTAAAAAAGCCTATAGGGTGCTTACATAGAAAACTTATATAAAGTCAATCCTGATGTTTCTCAACATCAATTAATTGTTGCCATTTTATTAAGAAAAGTGGGAAAGAAAAATGCAGCTAATTAATACAAAGAAAAGCAAGCACTTGACACAATACAGAAAAGCAATCATGAGACACAATGCAGAGTTAAAATTTCTGAAGTTCTATTAGTTTATACATTGGACTTACGATTTCCGGGACCTGGGGTTGTTACATTTACAGAGGCGGATGGGCCTTTTCCAGCTGAGTTGGTTGCCGATATATTGACTAGATACACCTGGGCAGGCTTCAGCTGCCTGAACGTCCACTGGGTGGTGTCTGGTGGCACCTCTCTGATCGTCCTCTTCTTGTCCTTGCTCTGGGGGGTGACAGGGGTCAAGGTTAGGTAGTATCCTAGCAACTGTCCATTGGTATACATGGGTGGTTTCCAGGTTATGGTGATTACAGTTGGTGTGGGTGATGAAACATCAGAAATATGTGGAGCCTCAGAGGGAGCTTAAATAAAACATTAAGGATGAAAAATATAGAAGAAATCTTGGCTACTCCATGTTTACTTATAAAATATCAATATTTTTACTAATTATAACTAAAATCTTTTTTCATAAATCAGTTTTGCCAGCATGAAATATTTTTTCATATCTAATTTAAACGAAGGACAGTCACAGTCATATGTAGGACACTAAATAAAACAGTGCCTTTTTATGTTAACAAAAAAAAAAAAAAAAAAATCAGAAAAAAATAAAAAGAGAAATATACATCAGAGAAAATGAAAGTAGAAGAGTCACATTTAAATTGAAAATCATTTAAAGTGTGTAAAAAATTATCCGGTACACAAAAACAAAAACTTGAATTCAAAAAAGTCAATAGAATTTTTATTTTGGTACAATACATAAAGAATTATGATCGGCATCTAGTTGCTTATTTCTGAATTTAAATGTTTTAATATAATGAATCTACGACACTCTGTATTGTAACAGGCTCTAAGCTCTCACAGATTTCCTCAAATACAAGCGTCTCAAACCAACAGACATAAAAATTTGTCAGCCATCAGGATTTGTCTGTAAATTGGCTGAGCGGTTGAATAATCATGACAAATGACTCTTATTATTAGAAGAGGGTATAAGGAGCTGCGTGAAGATTGGACACACATGGTATAATGAGGAGAGATGGGAGGTAGAGCTGTACATCATATACTCCACATCAACACGCAGAGGAAGGTCTCCCCGTCTCATTAAACTTCACCACCCCTTATATCTGTGACCTCACGACCTCAAGGTCACCTCAAGGAAATGTCTCCGCTCTCCACACATTTAATCTGTGTGACTCAAATTAATTCCATACTCTCTGTGCATCACTCCAGAGAGACCAGTATAGTTTATATACCAATACATATATATTTATATATACACTGTATTTATTAATTATATCATAAATAAATAATGAAGCTTACTGTTGGCACCTCTGACACATCTGTCAAATCAACACACATTACAGTTATTCACAGTACCATGATCTATAGAGACCCCCTCCATCCAAATTACAAAAAGTATCCTCCAGGAAACCCACCAAACAAATCAGGTTTTCTCCCTTTTCTTTTCTGCTTCTCTATTTTTATTTTTTGGGGGGGAGGGGGGTTACTAGAACAGCTCCTTTACATAGCTCTTACCTCCGTAAGGTTCTGTGGTGATCGGTTCCGTGTGTGTGTGGGGGGGGGAGGGGGAAAGGGGGGTAATAGAACACCTCCTTTACATAGCTCTTACCTCCGTAAGGTTCTGTGGTAATCGGTTCCGATTCGTTGCTGGACAAGAAATCCCTAGGAGTGATCACCAACAGGATCTGAAACTATTATTAAACAAATATCTCTGTTACAGCCAATCATTAAATCTCTTTGTTACAACCATTCAACAAATCTCTCTGTGATATCAACAGGATCTGAAACTATTATTATACAAATATCCTGTAACACTCAGACAACTCGGAAGAGATCTGCTCCAAAAACTCTTTTTTTTTTTAACAAACATATAATTCAATTCAAAATTTCAATACAACATAATTCTAAAGTCAAGTTTACCTATTTCTAATCCCAAACTTTAGACTGTCAGTGTGGTATTTGACAATAATTATTTCTACACACCTGAAATATTACCCTCTGCTATGAAGAGTTTACCTTGTACGTGACAAACGGTCTGAGATTGGTGACGTTTATGTCCCCTCCTTCTAGCCAGGTGGCGCTGCAGATTTCCCAGCTACTGGCGGTGTCTGGCATGCGGGCCTGGACGTAATATGTGATGTTGGGCAGCCGCGCAGTGTTCCAGTGAAGCACCACGGACGAGTGGCTCTTCCTTCCATTCTTCAGCTCCGGGACTGGCAGGGGAGGTATTTGGGCTACATAAAAATAAAAAGTGTTAAGTAATTGTACTTTCTGCTGTATATGAATGTAACAACTTTTTATTATCCCCTCCCCACTAAAGTTAGGATGGATGTAGGGAGGTGCTTACGTGTGTGGGGGGGAGGGGGAGGGGGGTTAGTTTGTCCTAATTGGTGCATAATTTAATGGAAGTGAAGTAATTAGCCTTGGGATCAATGTTGAATGCTGCCTGTTTTTATTTTCATTTTTAAGTCAAAAATAATTTTTGTATGGGGAAATTGCTCAGCTTTGCATGTCCTTGTATCTATTAATTTGCAGTCTATTAATGTGAGTATGAGCTGATCTAGTTTTTCCACTTAATATTTACAAATAATATCCAAAGTTGGCCTTGGTAGTACATGGTGATTTGTAAAGGATGTTTAGTGTATTTCAAGTGCATGCATGGATATAAAATTAAAACTTTTCCTAAATTAAGATTAATCAAGTTTTTTTCATTTATTTGAATTTTTATCTGATAGCTTCCTTCTCCAAGGAGTTGGAACTCCATAAAATTAGACATTTGTTAAATTATCATGTAACTAAGACAGCCAATTAAAAAACGAGGTTTTTTCCTGATAATATGTTTTTTTTTACCATTTATGGGGAGTATAGAGGATTATGTTCATTTAAATTGTATGAAATATAAAGTAACTTTAGTTTTTTTATTAATTTCTTCACTAAAAACTACCCTTCTTTTTTTCCTAACTTTTTGTTAATTGACGACGCCTATACAACCAATTGTTAAAAGACTTCCTACATTGTCAAACACCTAATTACTTAGCAGTCACAATCAAAGCGTTGTCAGATGTTTTTGTCAGCTTTAGTATTCCAGCTTAAGTAAACGACACAATCCTGATACAAAATGGTAATTTCCACTCAAGGCCTGAGCAAAGAGCTTTAGGAATCCCCACAACCAAAAATAATCTCATTTCAGAGAGGCTGGCAAAAAAAAAAGTTACTAATTTACAAAAATATGCCAGCTAACCACTTCTTAATCTTGCAAAAAAGTGAGAACAACAGTTTACTATAGAGGCTGTCCATCATAAAACTTCACAGAGTACCGGTCTGAGAAGAAACAGAGCTAGAAATTACCCATCTGCTGACGATCAACTTAAAGAAAATATTTTGACCAGTTCGTAATCAATCATACTGTACAAGTGATAGGAAAACAAGAACTGGGGGAGATAGGAAAGAAATAGTTCACTGTATCAGGTGTATAGAGATTAATTATACCTTAAAAAGCAACGGGATTTTCTTCATTCAACCAAAGTTTATTAATATTACATGGTGTAAAGTTTCCTGAATAAGAATTTTACAAAGAATTCTGAATGATTTATTACTCATCTCTGTAACAAGTAAAATATATGTCATGAAACGAGAGCTCTTTCTGGAAATCTAACTTCTGGACGCCTAATCTGCTGTTGCGCTGAATATGCAATAGAGATTATACACGACAGGAAATTCCATCAATCAATTAAATATGGACAATAATTAAATCAGATTTATCGGAACTCTGAACTTGACCGATTATTAAGTTTCTAATACATGCGTAGAGTTCTTGGCCTCTCGTTACTTTCCACCAGACCAAACCCGCACAATTCCAATTGATTTAGCAGTTTTTACCGAATAAATAGGAAATCTCATTGTATTCCTAATAAGAACCCTGCATGAAATGATTGAATTTGGGTTTCCTCATTATAAAACTTTCCATTGTTGTCCAGCGTTGGGTAATGGTCTACTAGTGCTGTAATACCCTGACCTAAAGTGTCAATAATTTGGAGGAAATGTAAGCCATTAATTCATTAGGAGACACATTGAATTAAATGATTCCACGTCTAGCGTGTAATAATAATAATAATAATAATAATAATAATAATAATAAAACTTTATTTAAAGAAGGTAACCAGGTTAGTGCATGCACTATTCTTCCCCAGGGCCCTCTATATATATGTACATATATCAAATACAAAATATATACACTTCATCAAGATACAATTCATCATATTCACATACAATTTAGTACATATTATATAGGTTTGAGAATTACAATCACTGAATTATGAATAGAGTGTTCAAAAACAGACACATCTTAACAATAACAGTACAATATACGATATTGAACTCTTATTATGCTCAAATGATTGTACGACAGCTGATAATGTACTTTTCCACATTACGCTTGAATGTTTGTAGAGAATGAGAGAATCTAATTTGTTGGGGAAGTTTATTCCACAGATGTACACCTGAATACTGAAAAGAGGTCTTGAATAAGTTTGTACGAAATTTTGGTAATCTAAGATCATAATTAGTTTCGGATCGCAGGTTATAAGAAGTTGAAGACTGAAATTCAAATAAATTACGAAGATATTCGGGAGTCATTCCACTGAAAATTTTGTATAATAATATGTATTTGTATAGATCAACTAGTTCATAAACTGTTAACCACCCAAGTTTCTCAAACAGTGGTTTAGAAGAAGAATCAGGACTTGCATCAAGGATAATCCTTGCTGCCCTTTTCTGTAATTTAAATAGTCTGTCCATGTCCTGCTTGGGGGCATTACCCCAAACAGTCAAGAAATAGTTAATAGATGGTAAAATATAAGCATTGTAATAAAGTTTCCTGGTATGAAGAGGGAGAAATTTCTTAATCCTACGAAGCGTAAATAACTTATAATTAACCGTTTTACAAACTGAGTCAATATGATTTGCATACTGTAACTTATCATCAATATGTACACCAAGAATTTTTCCACTTTCAACAATTTCAATTGTTTTGTCTGAGGCATAAAGTTGTAAATTTGGATTATCTAATTTTGATTTTCTTTGCTTTGTTCCCATTAACATACATTTTGTTTTATCTACATTTAAAACCATTTGATTTTGAACACACCATTTTTCAATCTCACAAAGATCTGTATTTAGCGTATTTTCTAAACATCGTGCATTATGATTATTTGAATACAGAGTAACATCATCAGCAAACATATCAATATTTGAATTGTTTACATGTAATGGAAGGTCATTTATGTACAATAAAAATAAAAGAGGGCCCAGAATTGACCCTTGTGGCACTCCTGCTGTGACGGGTTGAATATTGGAGACACATGTTCCAAATTTAACACACTGGGTCCTGTCGTAAAGATATGACTTAAACCATTTTATAGCTGTTTGATCAAATTTGTAATGATTTAATTTCTCTAGAAGAATATCGTGATTCACCAAATCAAAAGCTTTACTAAAATCTATAAATGTAATGCCGATTAGTTCACCACAATCCATTGCATTAAGCCAACTTTCTGTTAGTTTTGTAAGTGAAGTTTGACAAGAATGGAGTTCCCTAAATCCCGACTGGGATTGTGTTAGTAGATCAAATTCATTAGTGAAGTTTTGTATTAGCTTAGCTACATGTTTTTCTATCAGTTTAGATATAGTTGGTAAAATAGAAATGTAATAAAAGCTCTCAGCAAATGCTCCACTGTGATGTCTAATGGTCCAGAGCTTATAACACATAAGAATTTATTGTTTGAAAATCAGTTGATTTTTGTCTTAAACATATTGTAAAAGTTGCAAGTTAAATTGTAAAATTTGACATATGATATTATTCAAATGTGCAATCAACTCCTTAATAAAAATTTTCTTTAAATATTTCAAGAGTTTAACTAATTTTACTGTAACGTGCAAGGGAGGTCACTGCCTGTGAACCCCCGCAGGCTCGTACCCGTGATAAAAACGGATAGCCTTGAGATGCTGCAAATATGTACAATGCGCAGTCTTAATCACTTGGTACTGCGTTATATAAAGTCTTTACTGGTAGCGAACAAGTGACACTGGCAGGGAAGTCCACACACCAGCGCACTTCCACAAGAGACAAGTAGGGATGACCGCACACTCGCCCTTGCGCAGTGACAAGCAGGGATGACCGCACACTTGACACTAATACGGTTCTAGCCTAGAGACACTGGCAGGGATGTCCGCACACCAATGCTCTACCACAAGATGCAGGCAGGGATGTCCGCACACCTGATCTTGCGCAGCAACAAGCAGGGATGTCCACACACTTGCTACTTTAAGATGCCAATCACAGAGCAGGGATGACCACACACTCTGTCAAGTAATAAGCAGGGATGACCACACACTTACTACTTAAAACAGTACAATATAAGCAGGGAAGTCCGCACACTTATATGTACACACACAGGTTTGTCAAGTTTTACCTCTAGAACCGACCTCGCAATCCTCGCCAGTAAAAATCCTATATATCCTAACACCATCTAAAATACTTAGTGATTATTTATTTACAAAGTAATTAAAACACGAATCAAGCTTCCAATCAACCAATCTTTAGTAATCCAACTAGTGTAACATACAATGATTATTATTGATAACTTTAATTCAAATTCAACACTAATTAAGTATTTATTTAAGCACATATATAATTAGTTATAAAAATGACAAGGGCGATAACTTTCGCTATAATGAAAATATAGAAAACGGCTTTCCGTTTCATCACCCCCACCCCAGCTTTATGCGTCCTCGCATAAAAAAAACACAACTGCATTTTTAAGAATCGAACAAATGCTATTTACAAAAACAAATATCTACACTGTATTCCCCATTCTGCAAAATAAAATATGTATAAATATTCTACTCAACAGAATAGTAATTACAGTATCACATTTACCATTGCGCAAAACAAAATGTTATATTTTGTTTAACCCAATGGCAAACAGAACCAATCAGGTTCACTTGCTGGCCCAGGTGCCTTTCATTTCTTTGAATTCCCTCTGCAAAGTCTCAAACTTTGCGCTTAATTCCTCAAGCATTGAGACAGTTCTTCCTTCAGCGGATTCAACGGTAGTTGGGCGCGCATAGTTCTTTTTCTCAGCTCTGTTGTAAGCTTCTAATTCGACAGCCAATTGTATAGCTTCATTAAGATGTTTAGGACGTGCCTGCTTTATGCGGATGCGTATTTCCGAGTCGACCAATGCGTCCACAAATTGGTCTTTAGACAGTGTTTCCCGAATCTCAGCTGTCGCAGTGGGGTAGGCTAAGTTGGCAAGTCTGCGAATAGCCTGTCCTAACTCCGGAAGAGATTCTCCAGCTCTTTGGCGTCGCTCACGCATCTGCACCCTGTATAGCTCAGTTTGACTCGGAGGTGCAAATCGGTCTTCAAGGGCTTTTACAAGTGTCTGATAATCGGGCTTTGTCCCCTTTGGCATGTTACCTAGCACTCCTTGCGCACTTCCCCGAAGAGAAACTGCTAGATACAGTCCCTTCTGATGATATCTCCATCCACTTATTTCCGCACATGCCTCGAAATGCGCATGATAATCCAACCAAGGTCCACTGCCATCATACGTTGCTGGCTTTATCATTTGTCTTTGCGCTGGAAACTCTGCTAGCGCGTCGTCTCCACTATGAGGACTTGCAAATCTAACTCTGGATCTTCTTCTTGTTATCTCAGGGAGGAGAGAATCGTCTTGATCATCTCTGTAAAGTTCTTCATGACTAAGTCTCAGTCTAGGTTTGTCGTTTTGCGCCGCTTCTCTATCAACTCGTGTAGGAGACTCTGGATGATTGTAATCGCGCGGGCTTGCTACGGCTTCTCTAAACATGTCCCTGAGAGATTGTCCTGTAGACTTTTCTGCAAGGATTGGTGCGTGCTGGGCTAGCGCACCATCATGCTGATGCGTTGATGACTTTTCTTCAGTCTGCCGCAATTCTCCGGAGATGCGAGATTCGCCAACACCCGAGTCTCTTACTTTGTCTTTTATACGCGGGGTCACTGGAGTCGACGAATCGAAACTTCTATTCCTGATACTTTCCTCCCTCAGCTCCGCTAGCTTCTCTTCTATCAGAGATAATTCTTTGTCTACGTCATCCATCGTGCAGCTATCTCAAGGTATCCCACCGCTGCCACCAAATTTTATGTAACGTGCAAGGGAGGTCACTGCCTGTGAACCCCCGCAGGCTCGTAATAAAAACGGATAGCCTTGAGATGCTGCAAATATGTACAATGCGCAGTCTTAATCACTTGGTACTGCGTTATATAAAGTCTTTACTGGTAGCGAACAAGTGACACTGGCAGGGAAGTCCACACACCAGCGCACTTCCACAAGAGACAAGTAGGGATGACCGCACACTCGCCCTTGCGCAGTGACAAGCAGGGATGACCGCACACTTGACACTAATACGGTTCTAGCCTAGAGACACTGGCAGGGATGTCCGCACACCAATGCTCTACCACAAGATGCAGGCAGGGATGTCCGCACACCTGATCTTGCGCAGCAACAAGCAGGGATGTCCACACACTTGCTACTTTAAGATGCCAATCACAGAGCAGGGATGACCACACACTCTGTCAAGTAATAAGCAGGGATGACCACACACTTACTACTTAAAACAGTACAATATAAGCAGGGAAGTTTATATGTACACACACAGGTTTGTCAAGTTTTACCTCTAGAACCGACCTCGCAATCCTCGCCAGTAAAAATCCTATATATCCTAACACCATCTAAAATACTTAGTGATTATTTATTTACAAAGTAATTAAAACACGAATCAAGCTTCCAATCAACCAATCTTTAGTAATCCAACTAGTGTAACATACAATGATTATTATTGATAACTTTAATTCAAATTCAACACTAATTAAGTATTTATTTAAGCACATATATAATTAGTTATAAAAATGACAAGGGCGATAACTTTCGCTATAATGAAAATATAGAAAACGGCTTTCCGTTTCATTACTTTTTACTTGTCAATGAGTTTGTTCTCAGTATGTGGTTCTCTCATTTCTGTTCTCCTTAAATTATTATTGGCATTAAAATGTTTAGCAGCACATTAAAAATCCTAAGGCTGCATGAAGGCAACTAAAACAATTTCTTTCATAATTTAACAAAATAATATTCATATTACCATTTCTTCAATATTATTCTAAACTACGAAACCAATCCCAATTCTATCCCTTTTATTTCAATAATAAAATTGCTCTGAAAAATATTGGATTGTTTGTAAAAATATTGCGATATTCGTACTTGATAGTTTATCACTGCCATCAAGCCTGGTGTATTGCTACATCAGCATGGAAGTAACCCCGTCTTAATCAATATCAATCAACAATGTATGTTAATTATGTTCCCCAAACGAAGTTGGGGAACATATTGTTTTTACTCTGTTTCTTATTATTATTATTTTTCTTCTTCTTCTTCTTCCTGGGTACTTTTTTGTCCGGGAATGATCTCGTAAACTATACATCAGACTAAGTTGAAATGTTTTTAGGGTCAGTAGACATGTTATGTAGATTTGCGGAACGAAGGTCATTTTGCGCGCACGTGCTTGCAAGAGCGTGCACGTGCAACATGTGAAATGACCGATTTAATTGATATAGGCGTAACTTTTTAAATTTTTGATGAAATGTTTTGAAACTTATAATATGAGGATATATTAGAAGCATAGACAATATGACATAGTCAAAATAGCAAGATCTCACGCGCATGCACGTGCGCTTTGCTCTGATTGGCTGAAACTAAAGTCTCAATATCTTTCTTATTTTTTGATGAAATCTTTTGAAATTTTGAAAATTGCCATGCATTAGGATATCCTACAGCAAGATATATAGCAATTATCATGAAAACATGTGCATGCACGTGCGCTGCAATCTGATTGGCTTAAACTTTAAATAGCTATAACTCCCTTGATTTTCAACCAAACAGGATGGGATTTGGAACATAGATAGATATACTGGACTACTACAAGAAAATATGGTCACCATGCACATGCATACACGTGCATGTACGTGTGCTGCAATCTGATTGACTGAAACTTTAAACAGCTATAACTCCCTTGGTTTTCAACCAAACGGGGTGGAATTTAGAACATAGATAGATGTAACGGACATCTACAAAACGATATGGTCACCATGCTCGTGCGTGCACGTGAAATGAACAAAATCAAAAACACACTTGAATGAGCGTATCTTTTTAATACTTTTGGATTAAATGCTTTAATATTTAGTATATAAAAATATATAGATTGTGTAGACAAGATGATATGGTCATTATGCACATGCATTCACATGCGCACGCAAAATTTGAACGAACTTTTTACACTTCTGGGTAAACGTTATTAAAGTCTCAAATGCATCGAGTTTGTCTTATTTAATGAAGCTTACAGGGAGTATGGCACCAAAAGGGAATTGGGGAGCGTTTGGGGAACATCTGTAACGGTCCCCGTTACAATTAGCACTAGTTACATCAGTAATTATTGAGATTTTCGGTGGATATGAACCACGGAGCAAGAACCAGTTGATCCCACGTCTCTCGTAATTTGGAGAGGGTTGGATTATAACCACCGAGAACATGGAGAATTAAATTGTTTTTCCTCATCAGTAAGATGCAAACAACTTTTTTTTTAAAAACAATAATCATCTTAATTTATTATGGAGAAAGGATGGAGTGCACGAGAAAAAACTTCAAGCATTTCATTTATATCCTTGAGATTTTTGCAATAAATATATTTTTCACTATTTCTAATTGCAATAAGACCATAAAAACAATCATCCAAATTTATTTAGTCATCAAAATATTATATCATTTTAAAATAATTAATATAATAAACTTTTTAATTTATAATAAATTAATCTAAAGCAATGCTTTCACAACCATGGCAGATAAAATTTTTTAAAGCAGATGGTAGAAGTATTCCCTGGGTTGAACTTCACTCACTGTATTGATCGAATCAGTTAAATCTTATGTAACTAATCTATAGAACCAGAGAATATCAGATGATCTCCACAAACAATGATTACAACAAAAAACACAATCCAGCACACGGAGTCTGCCAGAATTTCCTCTGTTGGCACCCTGACAGCTGATGTTTGTTTTTTTGGATGCCCCTCCTGGCAGTCTGCAGACACTAGCTATCCCAGGTGTATGTTGACATTACATCATTTAACATTCTGTTGTAAAAACTGATCTCGGCTCTTGGAAACGTTTTTACTCTATGTACATTAATATTGATTTACCGTTTTGTTTAACATACCTCGAATTTGGTCAGCATATGTCTTCAGAGCTCTTAGGCATCCTTCACTGCAGTACTGGCTCTGATAAACAAAGAAAATATCTTTATTTTTTAAATTATTAACGTCAAGTTCTTACAGGAAAAAAATAAATATTAAAGGTTTATCTATACATAAAAAAATGTTTCCATTAAATTTTCAAAATTATTAATATGCTTTGGAATATCCTTTCAAGTATGTTTCTCAATTACATGGGATATTAAAAAGTTGGCCTACAACAAAAATGTCATAACAATCTAGGCTGCTCATCATTTATAATATTAATGTACTTATGTTTTTTCCACCAAAATTTTCATTTCCTTGACTATATAAATGCTTTAAGTGCAATGGGTGGTTCTAAAAAAATTTTATTATTGCAGGAGAGAATATCACTTGAAGCTCTCCAATTCTTAATTCCTGTGGAATAACATGCAATGTATTATAAGATTCTACAAATTCCTGATTTGATAAGTTAAATTGATTTTACAACAATCAGGTGCAGCTATTTGTTTTCTATATTAATTAGTTTCTCCCTGCCAGGATTTTTTTTTTCTGGGAACATTGTGTACTTGGTGTTCTGCAATCTTTTGGTTGTAGGTGTTTAAGATACAGCTAATCAATGTACTCCTCCAATATACAAGCTCTAACAGAAGCAGGGATCAAGAGCCCCCCTCTTGTACTGCGTGTTTACTCTGAGTGTTCTGTCAGCTCTGATGAGGGATTGATAGAAATTACAGCCACACAGCATCTCTACATCAGAAATCTACCTGTAGAATCGTAGTAACATTCCTGTCATTTTACTCTACGTAGACTACGTGTTATAGTGGCCTTGATACCTGACATTTGATGACCTTTGATGTTAGCCACCAACCCTCTCTGCCGAATTCCAGCCATCACGACCATTCAAACCCAACATGGACAATGAATTGATAACTATCATCTGATCCACTTAGGCTTGATCAAGATTAATTTTGCTTTTTTTTCTTCTCACTTTCGGACCCCCCCTTCAAGTTCTATTAAACCCTAGAAGTGACTCCTTAAATGGCTTTTCAACTGAAAATTTTATAACAGTTTTAAAAAAGTTTCAGTGGGTGCTGATAAAAATTTTATAATGAAGACTCCTCATTTTTTACCAAAACGCATGCAAAACTCAAATGACTTCAATTAAACCATTTCCTGATAGTCTCAGGAAATCCTGGGTATTTCTGGCCCGAGGCTAGAGATAGTACGGTACCATGTCAAATGTACTAATGACAATATCTCCACACGATACCCAGTTCAAAAATAATATCCCTGACTGCAAAACGCAATGAGAGCTATCATTCATAACTAGTTATTACTAGAGGACATCGTTTAAAATTGTGTTGCAGGAAGTACGTTTATTGAGGCAGATAATTCTGTACATGTTACTGCAGCTCAGTGGCTCTTTAAGTCATTAACTTTACTGGAGTCTCCATACTAAACTCAAATGTCAAGTATTTTTTTCTCCAACAACCCAAACGACGGGCACACCAGATAACTGCTGCCTTGATCTTTTACAAATAGTGAAGATGTTGGGGGAAGAGTTTTCTTTTAAAGCGATGATTCCTAGAAAATCTTCATATATTTTATTCATAGCCTGCATTATTTCAGCTATTCATTGTCCCTGTTGTATCCCATGACAGCATGGATTGTATCAATTATTTCTGAAAAAAAATTCCTTAATGGTGGGCCAGGTAGAATTTCCACCTGTTTACACCTGTCAGACATCACTCTCTCTGCCCCCATACCTCCCTGGATCTATCGTTACCTCATTACCGCCACACTGACAGACAACCCTCATTCTGAACAGAGTTATAGCAGAGCCACTGATAAGCCAGCCCTGTAATAGGTTTTTAATTGACCAATCTCACAGATTATTAAGAATAAACTCAGCTAGGTGCAGGATTGACACTTCAGCCCTGTCACTCTATGTATTGTAAGGCTCAGCACTCGGGCCTATATATCTCACTACAGTATGTCCATTCCTCCATTTATATCATGTTCTCTTCCTGCAGGTATTGTGAGTAAATTTTATCTGTAGAAGGGTAATTACCAGGTAATTATTTTGTCAAAACAAACTTGTTTTTATCACATAAAAGATCTTCTAAGCCTCAGATAAACACAGTATGCTAAATCATTAGCTGTACATGAAATGCAGTTTAGAATTGTGAGCAATATGTTAACACAGTACATAGGATCATACTGGATTTCTAATACAGTGCTAACAACATACATCTTATCTGCATTTCTATCATTTTTACTTTCCCTTTTATGAGGAACTCTTTTTTTTTAATAAAATTGCATAGCACAGTTTAACAATCAAGATCAACACTAATCCTATTCAACCATATAAGAGAAATGAAAGATGTCTTTCTTAGTAATAAGCACTGTATTATAAAAATTTTACACATTTTTGGGGTATTCTGAACTTGTTATCCCAAGATTTAACCTTTACTGACCCAGATGAAGGTAAGGTCTTTCTAGAGGTAACAATTTCAATTCTGATGTAGACTTGAGCCTCTAAAACCTAAACCTGAAAAAGACTGTCCATTTTGATGTAGTTTTAATCCTTTTATCTTATCCTTATAAAGACTGACTATTTTATTATAAACCTAAGCTTCCTATCTTATCCCTGTCATTAGGCTATCTATTTTGATGTATAGAAAATTAGGCAATTTGGCATTGCATCTTATTCCTGTAAAGACTGCTTATTTTGATGAAGATGTAAGCCTCCTATCAAATCCCTGTAAAAAGTGTCTATATATAGCATCCCATTTAATTCCTGTAATTGTAAAGGCTGTCTATAAGCCTCCTATCTAATTCCTGTAAAGTCTGCCTATTTTTATGAAGAAGCATCATATCTAATTCCTGTAAAGTCTGCCTATTTTTATGAAGAAGCCTCCTATCTAATTCCTGTAAAGTCTTTCTATTTTCGTGCAGACTTTGCCTCCAGCTATATTATCATTGTAAAAGCTGTCAATTTTGATATAACTAATAGGCTTAAATTTTTTTAAATCCTTGTCAGGGTAGACAAATCCTTTTTTGTAAACTTCTTGCAGCCTCCTATTCAATGTCAAGAAAATGAGAATGTAGATAATGGTTTTTATCTATATAGCAGTGATGCATCCCGATGTACCTTTACTTAAACGTAGACATAATTGAGCACCCACCCCACCTCCAATCCTTCATGTTTTCTACTGGCCACATAATTTGATATACATCCCTTTGACTGCCTAATTTTATCCTTCAGAAACTGCCTATAATTTGATTCATGAGATGTGAACTTAATCCTGATCCACTCCTTGTTCCATACAGGCCTTACACATGAACTGCTTTCTGTTGTTTTTTTCTGTGTTGGAAGCAGCATTCAATAAACAGATAATCTGACCCACCATAAATCACAGACAAATTAAGTTTCCTCTGAAGGTCTTTGTTTTCTGTACGTTCCTCTACAGTCGGTCTATCTAACACTGAGATCTAACAAACAGTCATTGTGGTCAACATCTCCACGACTCTATCTGATCCTAACCAATGTATGGCTCTCTCCTACCGAGGACATTGTGCAGTAGTAGATGAACTCCAATGATGCTCGTTTCTCATGGCTTCTTAATTTCATTAAGCATATCCTGTCACCAGAACATGTGTGGGAGGACAAGAAGCAGAGAGTTTGGGAAATCTTTAAGTTTTAATGGTCTTATATAATGACCACTGGGGCAAGAACATGTATTGAACTCACAAATGAATTCCTGAAATTTCTATGTTTTACAGTTATAACAAGAGAACAAGTGAATCTGTTCCCAGAGTTAGAACGTTTCTACAATTATTTTTCAATGGATTTATCCTTCTCCTCTACTTTAAATTAAATATTTAAATAAAGACAATAATCCTTGGAGGACATTTGTTTGTAGAAATGAGGACAGGTTTAATTGGGAGTCTGACTGAGTAGTGTTCTAGACAGACTTAATTCTCCACTGACATATCTCCAGCTGACTCCCAGGGGTATAAGTGTTTAAATCTCCACTGTTTATAGTTTTCAATTTCATCTAACCCTTCCAAAGAGATTGGATTTCAGCCCTATGTAATGGAGTCCCTTGAGAACTTCTGGATGAGTGAACTGAAACAAAACTGTTTGATTATGAGGATTTTTACAAGAATAGTTAGAATACCCCTCCCCCTTTCCCCTCGAACAGCTTGACCTTAGGATCTGTAAACAGAGGCCAATGACTTTCACAAAGATTTTGAAATTCAATTTCAATATCATTAACATGGTATTGCTTTATTTCACCCAGTATATTTTGATTTTTCGTAAAATTAGTGTAAAAATATTTTTTTAAACAGCAAACTGATCTGTTTTTGCCTTTTTTCTCAATCATCTCCTTCTAGAAGTTAAGGGGCATGGTCCTTTGTTTATTTAAACAATTTTAAATGTCCTTTAGCTAAAGATTTTATGCCAATTTGACCCTTACAGTGAGTGAAGTTGAAAATGTGTTAAGCTTTACATGGATAATAAACAGACAGACAGACAAAGGAAAGTCAAGTTTAGACCAAGGATTTAAGTTTATAGAACAAAATTCAGTCTGTTAAAGACAAGAAAATATGAAGTGTAATACTCTGTAAGAGTGTGGATCAGAGCTAGTGACAGATAGTGCCTGATTTTATTTTTGGGTATATGACCCACACCACATCTGATTTAAAACAGGCCGTGAAATACCCACTTCATTGCCAGAAATCAGTGTAAGATCTTAATGAACTCTGGATTTCTACAAATCTGATCTCTTTCCAATTACAGTATTTCTCCCTGCTTGACAGCGTTATAGATCTGAGGTCTGGGGATCCGGGATTGAGGGACAAGTCCTGAACTTTCTACAGACCTTCTTAGTTCAATGTTACTGCTATTAATATGGGAGTATATGAAATCATATTTTCTGTATCTAATGCTGCAGAATCTATAGTTAATATTATAAACAATAATTTCTCACCACAATATATCTGTAAAACCTTTTAAACTACAGTAGTCCTTCAAATATGAATAGAAAAAAAATAGTGGTATACTGCACATGATCTATAGAGAGAAGACTTTTTGCTTTCGGATAAAACTTTTCAAGATAACTATTGGAAAGCTCTTTTTATAACCTGAATGCTTAATCAATATTGCATTTTTTTAAAAAAAAATTTGATTGGGGGGGGGGGGTCTTACAGAAATCAAATACCCTAAGATTATACTGTCACAAATTATCAATTAAAATTTATTTTTCCCAGATGTCTTTTTACTTAAAGATGTTGAAGAGGTAAATATTAATCACTGTACATAAATTTCAGTAAAGGTCTATCAAACTGAGAAATGGACATTCTGCGTGAATCTGGCTCCTAGGAGATCAGATGTCACAGAGTTGTAGGAATTACAAAAGATACATGACATCCCTGTTAAAACATTCCTTCTCATTATCAGAATTACATTGATCCGTTCTCATCCCTGCCCTATAAATCCCCGTCTATATACAATGACCCTACCAGTGGACAACAAATTAAAACCAGTCCTCAGCCAATCTCCAGCAATCCACTCAATTATCCCAGACCTACAGTGAAATCAGCCACCAGGTCAACAGGATCGCTGTGATGTCCAATCTTCTGCCTGTAATTGTGTACAAGACTTCTCCGATCTCTGATTTTTGTAGGGGGGCGAGGACATTCCTTGAGAGCGGGGCTAGCTGCTGATGGAGAAATTCCCGGGGTCAGAGCTGCTGATGGAGAAATCCCAGGGATCAGGGATGTGTTAAGGAGTTAATCTGAAATCAATCAGCCCTAAGCCCCCTTCATGGCTTCCCTAATGCTTGGTCTTCTGTAATACATCAGGCTTTCCTCACTGTATTAAGACATTTTATTTTCTTCAGAGCTGACCATTCACCAGAGTCATCAGTTTATTTAATAACAGATGAACACTGGCTAAAAGAGCAATGACCAAAGCAAGGTCGTCTAGCTACATATTTACATCTTTTGAAAACTTGTTTCAGCTAGCTCAAAAAAAGATTTACAATAACCAGTTCAAAAGAAGAATTGTTAGCGAGTTGCACAATCAATTTTAAACAAAAGAACCCAAATTTTCACTTCTTAGTTTTTACAGTGGAAGACCAAAAATCCCTGACTAACTTAAATTCACTTTTCTTAATGCATTAGTAAATCTCAAAATATCTCAATAATAATATAGAATCCTATGGTATCACAGTTATTTTCTCAGCCCTATGAATTCAAAATTTATACTAGTAAAAGGGTTTGACTGCACTGAGAAATTTTATATACAATCTGGAACATCTGCATGCATGCTTCCAAAACTTTCTTTGTCAGTTAACATTGTATAATTATTTGTGATTTTTATGTACCTATTGTTTTTTGTGCCTATGAGTTAACATTGTATTATTATTTGTGATTTTTATGTAGCTGTTGTTTTATGTTGCCGTGACTTGGCAGTTTCACCATCCCAGTATACCACACATGTCTATGTGTACTAAATGGCATTGTTCTATGACAAAACACTGAAATTCTCGTCCCGTCTTCTTCATCTTTCATCATTACCGTCACTCAAACCTATAGTACCTAACTCTCAAACAGTGCCAGAAAGCAAAGGGAATAGTACAGATAGTAGAGGAATTCCATGCCACGAATTCTAAAAGTTACCGTGCCCAGAACGTACTTAACATTACTGAGAGAGCTGATGGTTCCTCAGTTACACAACTGATTAACATGCTCCTGTATAGTTTATACGCCCTAAAACAACCACACCCCCAACTCTATCACAGGGACTGACATCAAAGGTACACCAAGGGAGGAAAAACACCCTCTTCCTCAATTAACGCTACTAATCAAATTAAAAAAATTCACTGATGGAGTAAAATCCATCAGATTTGTAGAATACTTACAACATGTACAGCTCTTTAAACTTTCAATCCAACAGCTAGGATTATCTTTTGGTGGGATACAGATTTTATTGAGGATTTTCCCCATTAGGTCCAATATAGATTTTAGTTTCTGATGGGTTAATTAGTTTAGTGACAAACCAGCAAACAGCTACCAAACCTCCTTAAGTTCACAACATGACAGCTAGGCCTTAAAATTCCCAACAGACAGACAGTCCTCAAGCATCAGATTAATCTAACAAAATTGTTTTAAAAATTCAGCGCAAAAATATGTCAATTTTTTACCCCGTATAAATGTTCCTATCACACTATAGAAGATAAAAAGACTATGTTACGTTTGTAATAACCTACCTCCTCTTGTTGTAGACTTCGGGCTTTGCTTGTACTGTTCCCCTGAAATCACAAAATGTTGGTTATACATAGCTGTATAATGATAGAAATATACCTAATGACTAAATGTATGAGGCGCTTTTTTGGTATTTACTGGCAAAAAGTGATATCACCTATTTGAATAGGTAATATCACTTATTCGAACAGGTGATATCACCTATTCGAATTGGTGATATCACCTATTCATTTTCAAAAGGTGATATCACCTATTCGAAAAGGTGATATCACTTTTTCGAATAGGTGATATCACTTTTTGGCAGTAAATACCAAACCGGCACCACATATAAATGATTTTAAATATTTTGTGTTGTGTCAGGTCCTACTTTGTAATGTTTATCTGTATGTACATAGGTAGATATAATTTACCTGTTCTGTCCATCCCTCAGTACAGGTGTCCTGACAGGTAGAGTCAGGTCCTACTTTATAGTGCTCACATCCCCACTGACACTGAAAAACAATAGAGAAGTATGAGAACAAGGACAAGGTGCTGATGGCTTAATCATTCCGGGCTTATTAATGTACTATTATATGTTTGCATTATGACCAACTATTAAAATATCCTTTGAAGAAAAGGGGACTGAAGTGTGTGTGTGTGTGTGGGGGGGGGGGGGGGGTAGGGGATTGAAGGCATTCATAAATTTGACCCAACCCTGCCTTCACAGTTGAACACTGAACAAACAAATTTTAAGACAAACACTCACTTGAGATTTTTGTTCATCTGAGCTAATAATGATATAATAAAAATATTTTACAATTATGAATGTTCCTTGTGGTGAGCTGAATCATATTTCTGCATTCTATGAAATGTATCAATGAAAGAATATTATTAAAAAAAAAATTCCTTTAGTAATTAGGTATTATTAAGGTAACATGACCACTTCCTTCTCCAAAATAACAACCACACAACACAGAATAACAACCATACAACACCTTATATTACCCTGTAATTGATTTATCGCCTCCAGGATAATTTTACAGATCTGAAATCTAATATTCATTGTGAAGGATGTGATTTTCTCCATGTAAATTATCAAGACAACATGGATTTTACCATTAAGTTCACTGGTCTCAAGATTCTCTCATGCAATATAACAATACCACTTGTCATTCAGTAATAGAAAGGAGGTGATTAATTTCTTTTATGTGCAATATGATAAATTATTTCACTGAAATGCATTCCCTTAAATAATGCATTGATTAAGAGTTGCTAAAGATTTCAAAAAATGCTTGCCCAGAGAAATATTTTCATCTTTTTTATCATTACAAACACTGCTTAGACTGTTATACAATATTTATATGTGCTGTAAATTGTATTTCTTAAAAATAACCACACAAAAAATAACAAGAGGCCCATGGGCCTTATAGGTCACCTGAGCATTATTCAACAACTTTCCAGTGATTGAATTTGATCCATGTTTTAAGCCAGATGCTATAGCATTTACAATTTGGCCATCATAACTATACACTTAGCAGTTCCTTAGTTTGGTTTCTTTATACCCATAGGCAGGGTGGGGGAGCATTTCAACTAATCAGTAATATTCAGCAATAATCAGTCCACCACACATGAACCTTGACTCTTAAGCTATCACATTGCACTATTTTTGGAAAGGCATTTTTTTCAAAAATATTTGATTAATACCAAGGAACACATTTCAAACAATTCATTCATTTTCAGTATATAAGTACACTACCCCCAACCACCCCCCCCCCCCTCTATGGTACAACTGACCCTGGGCCTTGAAATTTACAATTCTTGAAGATTAGGGAATCATAACTATATAGGTAGTTCATCTGCTTAAAACCTAGGACCAAAGAAGAAAATATTCAAAGATTTAATGTTTTTTCACTTCACATGTATAATCAATACAGCCCCGCCCTAACACCAGAATCCTTGACCTGGGGTCATAAAATTCACAATTTTGGTAGAGGCACTCTTGTTCATCATAATTTAGTTTATATAAAACCTAGGAGCAGAGAAGAAGATTTTCAAAGAATATATATATATAATCACAACCCCGCCCTAAAACCAGAACCCCTAACCCTGGGGCCATAAAATTCACAATTTAGGTAGAGGCACTCTTGCTCACCATAACTATGTACTTAGTTAGTTTATTTAATACCCAGGAGTAAAGAAGAAGATTTTCAAAGAATTCATGTATTTTCACTATATAATCAATAGAGACCCGCCCTGACACCAGAACCCCTGACCCTGGGGCCATAAAATTCACAAATTTGTTAGAGGCACTCTTGCTCATCATAACTATGTACTTAGTTAATTTATCTAATATTCAAGAAAGAAGATTTTCAAAGAAATAATGCATTTTCACTATATACTTATTTAGCCCCGCCCTAGCACATGACCCCAGGGCCATGAATTTCACAATTTTGGTAAAGGACTCAATGCTGATTACAATCATGCAAACAGTTTGACTTTGATGTCCAGGAGTAAAGAAGAAGATTTTTAAAGATTGCATTAATTTTAGTGGTTTTGGCCCCACAGGCCCCAAAATTATTCTCAATTTTTGTTCCCCTTCACCCATAGATGCTTTGTGCCAAATTTGGTTGAAATTGGTTCAGTGGTTGCAGAGAAGAAAAAATGTTCAAAAGTTTCTAGCATGAACACCACAATAAAATGCAATAGGTCACCTGAGTGACTCAGGTGACCTAAAAATAAAGTTTGTCCTTTTCCTGCCATACGATACAAGGAAGCAATTAGCAGCATATTCCAAAAATTTCCTATCAATTTATGTTTTACAGTATTTGTAGAAAAATTCTCTTGACACATTTGGGACTAAAAAAAATATTGTGAAATCACTAATTTTCGTGGGGGTTTAATTTTTGTTGTTTTCAAGGTATGAAGAGACCCACGAATTCATGTCCACACCAAAATACTTAAATGTTACATACATTACTCAACAATTTTTCATTGATGAATTCAAATCCCCACGAACCAAGAGTTTTAACTCAAACCATGTAAATTTGACCCACAAAAATATGTGATTTTACAGTATGCCAAACAAAGAAGTCTAATAAAATATCTTAATCAATTATTTAGCTACCATTTATTGTCTGATTCAATGTAAACATTTCTAACGTCCATTTTGTTGGGTCTTTGACAAAAATTATTCAATTGAGAACAAAATTTAAATTAGAACATAAAAAGCAATTCTAGCATGAACACCACAATAAAATGCTTTAATCAACTTATTACCCTCCCCCCAGACCCCAAAACAAAACAGTCATCAGCTGGTCATTAAACTTGAAAGAATAAACTTGAGGGTAAAATTATTAATTTATTAAAATGTTTGTCTTTAGTGGGAGAAACTTGGGAAAAAAATTGGTGTGAGAACAGAGTTGTAGTATATATAAGCCATGTTTTACTCTGATAATAAATCAAAACAATTTGGTCTGCACCTAATCCACGAGGGACAAATTATCCCAGCAGGAGTTATGACCCTTTATCTTAACATCTCGCTGACCAAAAACAAAGAGATGGCCGACAGCTAAATAAATAGAGCTGTCCACTGATCAGCCTCAGCACTTTATCCTTGGAGGCATGTTGTCAAAACACAGATACAGATATAGAACTGATTTATCTCTTTGATATCATCACTAATACACACAGCGGCATCATGGGAAAAGTTATCAGAGAGATCTTTTGATTGGATAAGAGAGAAATCAAGAGGCCATGAGAAATGGGTGACAATCCCTTTACACACAGTTAATGTTTATATAAAATACAAACAAGACAAGGACAGAGACAGGAAAAGATTGTAAACAATGACTTCCTGTAGGTTTACTGGTTTAAGAAACACATCAGAGATTAATAACCGTAGTAAGAAATTCTCAGAAAGTGTTAAAAAAAAGTCTCCTACACATGGCACTTTGTAATAAGATCCCTACATAAAACATCAAAAGTAACACTATTAAATAGAACATTAATGCTCACAAAAGTTGTATTTCTATATTGAAATTAGTCTCAAGGAAAAAATAAAAACCCCAAGTTTCTATGCAGTTGTAAAATTGGAGGTTTTAATTTTGAATGAAAGGAGGCCTTTAACCATGTTAACCACACAATGACCGGTGTGGACCATTACTATCTGAGTGGGAGTTCCCATGTACGTCTGAAATTCCCAGAGATCTGGTTAATCTAACAGGAATCTGGAATTTGTCAACACCATCACCAACACATTTGTCAGAGCGGGTAATTTCCCACTTATTTACTTAGTTTAACATTTATTATCCAATTACTTGTGCCCAGACTGTAGAAAGCTAGCAATATACAGTACCATTATAACTCAGGGGTCAGAAATACCAGCCTATTAAACAAAACAATTACACTACAACCAATACATAGTTAACTGGGGAATGGTATTCTGATATTAATAATTCTTCTAAAGGTATTCTGTATTAGACTTTTAAAACAAATTTTGAGTATGAAAATTATTTAAGTATTTTACCACTAAAATTCAGAAAATACTTGTCAAATTCCGTACTACTAATCACCGTCTACCAGTTGAGCTGGGAAGATGGACTGGTATACCATTAAATGAAAGATTATGCACACTCTGTGATGCAAAACATGTTGCCGAGAATTTCATTTTATACTTGAATGTAATGCACTGTCAAAAATCAGGAAAAAGTATATTAATGAGTACTACTCTACTAGACCTAATATTTTGAAATTTTCTCAACTGATGACAAAACAAGATGCTATGTTACTTAAAAAACTTTGTATGTTTATATCAAAAATTTACGATTTAGTCTGTCCTCCATAATTTGTTCCCCTTATTTATTTCATTATTACACTTATCAATATTTATATATATATATATATATATATTTTTTTTCATTTTCTTTTCCATTTTTTTCCCATCTCATTTTCTGATTTTGTATATCATATACCTATACCTCTGACCTGATTATATATATATACATGTTGTAAATATTTATCTTTGTCCTCATGTACCATGTATTTAAAATGGTGTTGAGTGAATAAATGAACTTGAACTTGAACTTGAACTTGGAAAGAGAGGGGAATTGGGGTTAGGTTTGTGATAACTACAGGGGAAAGGTCCCGGGTATGTGAGAGGTCCTGTGATATGGGGGAGAAGTTCTATGATATGGGGATGAGGTACTATGGTATGGGAGGGGGGGGAGTACTGTGATATGGGGGAGAGGCCCTGTGATTTGGGGGTGAAGGCCTTTACATGATATGGTCTTTAGTGTGATAAGAAATCCTGTGGTGATATGGAGGGAGAAATCCTGTGGTATTAAGGACGCTCTAAACACTGCACACTAAAGAGCTCTATTTATTGGGTAGTTTTATGCAGTTAGAGTGATCTGCCCATACATGTAAGATTGAAGAAATTGCAATTTTCTGTTAATTACATAATCTATAATAGATTAAAGTATTTTTAGCATTATATAAGACATTCAAATAATTATTTTCATTAATTTTCCCAATGTAATAGTAAACAACAGTGATTTCTGCTCACACATACTGTAAATCACGTTTTATTCGTGAGAACTTTATTTTTGGTGCAATTACGTGAGAAGGTATGCTCGCGAAAATTTCATTATCGCGATAAAAGAATTCCTTTAGATTATATTGAGAAATGACCACATAAGTGATCTACAGTAGTCCATTGTCTTTGAAAATTTTTCCTGCGCAAATAAGCCAGGTACCCTATGTTATAAATGACGGAAAAAGTCTCAATATGCATATCTTTATAAGATATATTTATATAGAGTCCAAAAAACAGTTTCTGTTAGTGTTTAGAGCTTCCTTAATGGAGTTCTCCCGTGGCATGGATGGTGAGGCCCTGTGACATGGGGGTGAGATTCTGTGGTAAAGGGTGAAGGTTCTATGATTTGGGGTTGAGGTTCTGTGATGGGGGGTTGGGGGGAAGGTTCTGTGATATGGGAGGGGGAGTGAGGTCCTCTGGTAGAGGGCGAGGTTCTGTGATATGGGGGGTGAAGTTCTGTGATAGGGGTAAGATTCTGTGGTATGGGGGAGAGGCCCTGTGAAATTGGGGGTGAGGTCCTTTGATATGGAGGGGGTTCTGTGATATGGGAGAGAAATCCTGTGATATGGGGGAGAAGTCCTGTGATATGGGGGAGAAGTCCTGTGATATGGGGGAGAAATCCTGTGATAGGGGAGAGAAATCCTGTGATATGGGGGAGAAATCCTGTGATATGGGGGAGAAATCCTGTGATATGGGGGAGATTAGTCCTATGGTATGGATCTGATCTCTGTGTACAAGAAATGGTCATGTTTCCAATTTGTTCGCAATTCATCCCAGAAATTCATTGTCTTATTCCAGAGTTGGATTAAAAATATTTCCAAATTTCTCATTTTTCTTCCAGCTTCGTTCCTACTAATTTCATCTGCAGTAGAAAGAAAGAACTTAATTTATCCAAACACTCAGCCTGCATCAGAAGCCGTGTAATCCCCTCTGATGTACAGTTTATCTGATCTACCTCTTGTCTCACTATCTCTGTTTTGGTAAATAGGGTTAATCCAGGCTTATAGAAACATCTCTCCTCATGGGGATTATTGAAATGTTATTTAACCAAGATATCAACACATAACAAGGCTGATGAAACGGGGTCTCAAATTATTTTAATTGTTCTTCTACCCTAGAACTCCGTCTAATGTTTTTTCAATTTATGGTATACAGGTATTTCTTCAAGGAAATTTCTCACTGCTTTGTTTCATGAATACTTTAAAATCACATATTTTGGAGGAGTGAAATTTTCGTGGTTTGAGGAAAATATATTGATTCATGGGGATTATATTTAATTGTTCAGTAGTAAAAAAAATTAGTGAATTGACCATATTTAAAAAGCACTCCCGGGGACAACACTATATAGTCTGCTTTAATTCAATTAATATTAACCATGTTTCTATTTAAATATTCTACGTAAACGACAGCGCAGAAAAGCAGCACTATTAACCCCCCCCCCCCTCTCAATTTTAGTCTTGGATGACATTATTTTACGGAGACGGAGGGGAGAGGTGAATGGAATACAAATAAATAAATGTGTCTTTTGTGTAGATAATTATTACATCATTGTGTCCACAAATAAAAAAGACAAGCATCGTAGTGATACGAGTCTTCGCCACCCACCTGCTTCACTTTGCACGCATGGTTACAATACAAATCATTTACTTCCGGACCAGAAATTATCTGAAAATACGAAAAGGAATTTTTTTTCAATTTTCTGAAATTTTAAAAATATTTTCAAATTACAATGAAAAATGAATGGATAAATAATATATAATGAATATGATGGATGACAGATAATAATAAGATTGATTTAAAGCATTATGTCCACAATGATGTAGCCGGAAATGCTTATAGGAAAGGTGCTAGCTCTCTACATATAGCATATAGTATAATACATATGGCGAAATTGAAGAAATCTTTGTTCCCTTTCATAAATTCTTATTTGCCCTTCTCCCTCCTCTGACAAACAGACGATTTGAATTTAAGAAACAAAGTCAGGAAAATGAAGGTGGCTATAAAGTAGTAGGCCTAAAATATAAACGTGCGTCACTTAGATTCCCTTTCTATAAATAAAGACGCCTTTCAACTGGACAAAAATCTCCATATCTAATTACGTTAATACTTTTTAATTGAGTAAATATTCGGCTGGATGGGTGTGGAATTGTGTATATTAAATTTTTATCTCGTAGTATAATAATTGTATGATCAAACTAAGGGGTAGAACATAAATAGAAAAAGGTTTCTGAGAGAGAGAGAGAGAAGCGGACGTAGCAATCATCACAGAAATGAGATAAACTTGTGACTTTTGAGCTTTTGCGATGATATTTTTTCCCTCTAACATCTGCATCTTAACAGAAAGTTTTATGAAATTTGTCTTCAGCGAAAATGAAGCCCAGGAAGAGAGTCAGACGACACCTATCAAATTAAACACGCTCTGGCATCGACCATATGGTTAGGCTCTCAAGTAACTTTTCCCTCTTTTTGTTTAATTAAAAGTAGACTTTTTAAACGCTCACAGTTATTCGTTTCCCTTTTTTTCCAAAAAGAAAATGATTAATTTTTCGATTAATCCAAAAACAACAACAACGAAAACAAACAAACAAAGAATCACACGATTTTGAAATTTTAGAAATTAATGTAAACAATTCTAGGATTTTTCACGGTGAACTTGAATCTATGCGTCTGTTTTATTTTATTTTGGATGTAATTATAAGCCTCTTACAGGAATTGGGGTACACATTTGTTTGCATTTAAGATAAAACGAATTTCTGTATTTGATTAAACTGGTTTAACATTTTTCTGTGATTGCACTGAAAAAAAATTATGCTAATTTTTGTCGTCGACTCATGTTAAAATATGTTGAGAAATACGTTTTGTCAAACTCTTTGCAATTACGTTCCATAAAATTAAACGCAACGTTCATCTTTTTTCCCCCTTTTTTTTCCAAATTTTTGTATGCATATACGTTGTTGTAGTAAAAATTTAGAGTTTTAACAACATGAACCGTAGCTTGAATTGAAAACGATAAACAAAGATATATTTTTTTTTAAAATTATTAAGTTATAGCAGTAATTGCTGTTTTTTGTATGTCTATACATGATTTAATAAAGTATAAATTTACAGTCACTTTAACTTCTTCCGAAAAAAAATCATCTAAAAGGAGACCAATGCCATTGCAGAACACATTTGCTAACGGTCCTATGGCATTCTTCAATTCCCTGTGCACCGACACATGTAACGCACACCGACCCCAACCTAAAGCTGTTTCTTTTTATTTAAGATGGGCATAAAAAAGAACAAGTTGTAGTTGGGGGTTTCCCTGGTCCCAGCCATATGTCAGCCATCAGGAGTGGTGAACATGACATTTCCAAAAACCGTGAGAAAGTCGTCAGAGATTCGGCGGTACCGCGGGGGGCAGATTTTCGGGGGGAAGATTGTATTTCAAAAAAGTCTTCGCAAAATAAAATCAGGACATTTTACATTCGTAGTAAGATCTGTGTTTTTTTTTTACAACATTTTCCTTGCATATATTTTTTTTCAACAGTTTTTCGCGTATGCCAGTTGAGTCGTAGATAAGATAATTAATTCGGTGATAATAAGAGTTTGATGCCGTATGATCCTATGCACATCTGGTTGTGGGAAAAGAAAACCCCAAAACGGACACAATCCCACTGAAATTTATACACGGGATTTTATCCAACTGCACGAGAGATTTACAACTCTTTTTCCAAAACCGTCCTAGTTGAGAAAAAAAACCTCGAAGACTTTGGAGGAAAAAATCCTCCCGCTGATGTAAAAATAATTACTTGTTGCGACACATTGAAAAAGATCAAGTGTATATGATTATGCTGGGAGACAGTCTGGTTTTGTTTTAATTAAGTCATATAAAAGTTAGCTCACGAACTTATCAAAAAGTTTAATGAGTTTTGTAGTTCTGAACTTTGTGTTAGACCCTATAATGTTACATCTAGTTACAAATGGACAAATATTTTAGATAGGCACCCGCTGCACTGAGATACAGATTACGGCAGATAAAAATGGTGAAGAGCGTCTTCTTTCACATTGTGCATTAATAAGCCATTATATGAGACAATTGCATGCAACATCCTTAGAGAATGTCAGAAAATAACACATCGAATTGAGAAAGACAGAAAAGTTTTATAAGGTCAACAAATAGCAGATAATGCTTAATGGTCGTAATTGTATGAATGCTGCAATTGAGCAGTCAAATATGAGATAAAATGCTCATTTGCATTTCCAAAAATGCAATCTGTAGGGAGAGAATGAGAAATCCAGAATATCGATGGGAAAATATTTTGTTTCTTCTTTAGAAGTGTCTCTTACCTCTATGGAGTTGCAGAATTCAAAGCACTGGTCTGAATCACAGAAAACTAGAATTAATTTTCCAAAAAAGACGACACAAAATAAGAATACATAAGAAAAACAGTTTGTCATCTCGTTCTACGGCTGTAAGTCCATGTTGTAGAGTACTGCTACGAGAAAACGCGCGGGAGAGCTCACGCACACGTCAGCTCCAGTTTGACTCAGCTTCGGTAACTGAGACTCGGGGGGAATTTAGGCCCGCGCTCTCTCGTACGTCTGCTCAGACTCTATTGTTCAATGTCACTGCGGATAACAGACAATCGTGGACACATACACAACAATTGATGGGTGTTTTATGAGTTAACGGCTTAATGCCATCGATTGATTTGGTGAGATTTTAATTGGAGGTACGTTTGTAAATGGCCGTCCCCCACAAAACTAGGAGTGTCGCCAGAAGTGCGGGGTCCGTGATTGATTTGTTTACCTCCCTGATTAAGGACGGCATGAAAAAGAAATGGAGGAGACGCTTTACCACCGACATGCAATTTTTTAAAATAAATAACAAGTTGCTGTTCTTTAAAAAAAGGACTACAATACGTGGACCATATGCATGTTTTCTTTCTCTCTCTCTCTTCTCTCAAAGAAAATTTGTCTCTTTATTGGATATTAATGTAGGTTCGTCTCTACAGTGATCTCTCTACTTTGACCGATAGTACTTTCATAGCAAAATTGTTAAATTTAATCTCCGATTGGCATAAAGTTTTGTTATTTTCAAATCCAGGCTATTTTGATACATATATAACACATAATAGCTGGTAATTAACATATACCTGAACTGAATTTCAAATTCAGTTCAGGTCTGTAGTATGCAGATTTTTTTTTAGGCCCCCTTCTTTTTCCCCACAGGGAATACCGTTGCTAAAGGCATGTATCAAGCTGTATTTGAATCCAAATATATCATTTTTTTGCGAGCCGTGATGCACAAAATTAATGCCGGTGAAGACTTGCTTTATCTTTTAAAAATCTACAACTAGTAATTATGAAATTTTAAATTCAAGTTGTAAAGTTATCTATAGATAACTTAATAAACAACTTGAATTAAAAACTTAATTCAATGACTAATAGATAACTTAACAACTTGAATTAAAAACTTCATTCAACGACTAGTTCTATGTTTTTAAAAGATTCAACGACTAGCTAAATGTAAGTTCTTCATACTTTTTAAAATGATTGTCAGATTGTGCCATAGATTCAATGTTTAGTTCGCGTTTAAAAGTATGTGTACAAGATTAAAATTTGGATTCGCCAATGAACTTTCAATCGCATCATTTCGGGTCTTTCTGTCAAATGTCGGAAAGCTAGTCGAAAAGGCCAGAGTTGCGATTGGTGAAGCGGAGTCAGCCGAAGATTGCCGATTGGATCTCTCTAGAATTCTCGCGCATGCGTAGGCTGGCGTATGCCCAGGGCATCCTGTTTAGCCTGGCTTATATATTTATTGCGTGGACCTCAGGGTCCACGCAATAATTTCAAGTGGTCAAAACATCAAACGTATTTATAAAGATTTACTCTCTCTCTCTCTCTCTCTCTCTCTCTCTCTCTCTCTCTCTCTCTCTCTCTCTCTTCTATTATATTAAAGTTGCGCGAAAGCCTAATCATTACCGAAGAATTTGTACAAATAAATGCATGACAAAATTTTTTAAATAAAACACAAGAAATTAAATTATTAATTAAACACGGTAAGTAGATGTATGTTCTTGACATAAATGTTTTGAAAGTGGATTTTTATTTACAAAGTATCACAATAAAAAAAGAAAAAATTAATTTCCTAAGATGCATCTTTGGATATTTTTAGGACACATATTTTCGGAATATAGTGTCAATCTGTGAAGTTTGAATTTACCGGATGGCCGTAAATACAATTTTCACAACAAATACAATTTAGCTCATTTTTGTGAATTTGGCGTTCCATAGACTGACCCCCGGTAAATATAAGATCTATAGATACATGTACTAAATACACGTCTAAGGATCAGCGACAGCAGCTTAGAAAAATCATCTCCACCCTGAACAATTTTTGTTAAAAAAGTACAGAATGATTTTTTTTATTTCCAGATTCCATACCCCCTTCCCCCACGCATTTAATCATTATTTAAATAAGTACAAGTTTTTATCGACTTCTTAGATATGACTTTAGCAGTGTAGTCTTAGTTCATTCTTCTCCCAGTTTAATTAGTAATATAACTATATGTAACATATACCTGTAGCTTAGTTAATTTTTCTATTTATATCCGGTACTTAACTTACCTTGCATGAGAAGAAAAACTAAACATTACAAAATTACATGAAAGAATTGCGTCAAACTTCGGAAACTTGTTCGTCCGAATGGTTATTTCAGTCAAATGCTTGGATTTGTTAACGCATAAAACACCCATCTACATGTAAATGCCCAGTTTTGTATTTAAAAAAAAATTAATTACATATTTTAAGAATTCTTGAAAATCTACAATTAAAATATTTTCATTCCAATGACTCTTATCTCGATTCTTCCTATGCATTCTTTTAAATATAAAACAAGAGGCCCGTGGACTACAACGCTCAGTGTGGCTCCGGCGTACCCCGGGGGTCATGATGTGAAAACAATCTACACTGAATCTACACTGCCCGATGATGCTTCCACATCAATAGGACTATTCAATGCTTTGCTGTCCTTGATAAAAAAAAAATTTGATCCCCATAAATGTGGCCCCACCCTGTACCCTCAGGGGTCATGGTTTTAAGTTTCATAAAAAACTTACAGTATGTAAGAAAGCTTTGACAAAGGTTTTATATTTCCTGGTCCATTGATTCTTGATGAGATTATTTTAGAATAGCGCACCGCATTTTCACCATTTCTTAATTATCTCCCCTCGGAAGATAGTGAGCTCCTTCAAATGAAAAAACTTGAATTCCTTTTACCTCTGTGCCAAGTTTGCTTGAGTTCCGTCCAATTGGTTCTTGAGAAGAAGATGAAAAGTTTACATACAATGGACAAATTTCGATTACAAAATACTGGCTTATAATTTAACATTTTTGCTCGAGTGAGAAATAAAACTAATCAAGTGCAGCGAGGGCTCGATTTTAACAAGTGGTTGATGAAAACCCTATATGGTGTATCTGGGTTAAAAAACACGAGATATGGAGAGTAGAAATACATTTTAAAAGTTGAATTAACATTAAAACTTTGGGTGTTACAGTTTTTATATGTGGAGTCGGAAAATAAATCGGTTACTTTTTTTAATTTTGATATCTTTGAAAAGCGAATCATTTAAACTCAGTAATTTTCCGAAAAGTCTTATCTTTATACAAGGTACTATAAAGAAAAGAAGATGTGTTTGTTAAACACCGATGTCCCCATACGACAGCTTAAAGTGTGGATTGAAGTTTCTCAAATGTCAAACTCCAAGGTCAAGACCAAAAGGTTAAAATTGTTGGTATCCAAAGAAGTTTTTGTCATAAGGAATAAATCTGTGAAATATGAAAGCCATAATACTAACTTCAAACGTAATGACCAATGTTAAAGTTTTTAAAAAGCGGGTCAATTAAACTCTGTGCATGATCAAGATGAAAAGGTCAAAAATATTTATACCTTTTTGAAAGGTTTTGTCACAAAAAACACATTTGTGAAGTATGAAAGCCCTAGCACTAACTGTTCAAAAGTTATAGTCTAGATTAAAGTTTGTTTGTTTGTTTGTTTGTTGTTTTTTTTTTTTTTGTAAAAGTGGTTCAAATTCTAATGTCAAGAGGCCAACTTTGGTAGTATCCCGAGAAAATCTTGTCACTCACAAGGATTTCAACTGTGAAATATGAAAGCCATAGCCCCATCCATTCAAAGGTTGGAATTTCGAAATCATATCTTCGATCACGGGGGTATAAAAATCCTAAAATTATGCATGAAGACACATTAATTTGGAGTAACTTTTCAAGGATAAATTTTACTAAATTTATTTTGCACAAGATAAAATTATATTTATCGCCATGCTTACAGCACTGGTAAAATGATGGGGGGTCAAATTGATCATTTCAAAAGTTACAAAACTCAAAACTCAAATAAGTTAATTTTATCCTTGATCAGTAACTTGATTGTACAGTGACCCATTATGAACTATGGTATATACTTCTAAAAAATAAAATCCTTGATAAATCCCATGTCATAGTGACATACTTTATGGACAAATGACCCTCTACTCTAGATTTATTTCACAAAAAAATTCAATCTCGATCTTATCATTGATTTTCATCAAGAGCTTTAATTAGTACCAGCTTCAAATGGAATATTTTCGCATTTACCTCTAGTACTGTATTATCCCGAAGTAAAAAGAACGATAACCCCTTTACTGTAGATGGACTAGTGAATAAAAACCTATGGGTAAAGATCACATAATATTAATATGTACCTGAATTCTTTTTTAAATTGTCCTTTCCAGAGAAGTTTATTTAATTTATCTTTAAGATAGTTTAAGGATGTAAAATACGACACATTGAAAAGTGTGATCTACTCACCATGTACAGTTATATTATATGTATGTCAATGAATATGCAAAATCATTATTGTGAATATGTTACGATTGTTGATTGAAATATTTTAAAAAGTATTACAGACTGGAAAGTGGTTTTGACTATCCTCCTCCTCGGATACAACTAAAATGAAAGAATATTGCATATAAATGAAAAAGGTATACAAATAAGGGAACTATTTATATATAATGCAAATCGAAATGTAAAATACAATTTAAAAAAATATACAACGTGGAATGGAAAGTTTTAGAATAAAAATGAAAAATAAATTAGATAGAAATGGAAAATTATAAATAAAACAAATACGAGTTTGATTGACACATTCTTGCGCTTTCACAAATTTGACTTTATTCTTAATAATTAGTAAAAGTGCAAATCTAGAATTAGGGAGTGAAAGGTAGTTGATTGACCAAAGCTGGAAATTGGAGAAATTCTCCCCAAAAGAGCGCAAAAAATATTGCGCCTTAAATTGCACATTTTCTGCACTACAGGATCTGTAGCGTTATGGTCAAAGACAAATATAAAAAACCATAACGCTACAGATCTGCAGCTACTGCACTGACTGACAATATGCTGTGTGTATTTTTTGCTTTCGAACATTTCTATTCGAATTTTCTGTATTATAGTTTTAATATTTTTCATTTATACACAACAAGATAGCGAACAGTATTGAAGCTCGAAAGTCCATTAAACAATACAAAACTTGAGCATGGTAAACACGAACCTCCAAAACATTAAAGATGGGATCAGGTGCCATGGAGGAGTGAGCATCCCCTGCCGACCGGTAACACCCGTCGTGTGCTCCTTGTTATAATCAGGAAATAACGGATTTTTTTTCGACAATTCATCGCGTATATTATGGCTTAACAATTTGTATGAAAAACTCATTGAAGCATAGTATTTGATAAGAAAGACCGGACTCTTTGACAAATATGTAAAATTTTGTAGAAAAGTAAAACTCAAAATACGAAGAATCCAACCTTCCAATTTCATTAAACCAGAAGTGGTAAGGGTTGGAGTTAGAGCCATGAACATTGTGTAATAGATCAAGAATTAAGAGAAATTAAGCTTGTAACAATATGGTATTTGTCTGTTCGGCTCAATATAATATATGCTCTTTGAAAAACGTAGTAGTAATTCTCCGATTAGAAATCCAATATATCTTCACTTACCAAGAAATAATTTTTTACAAATTCACATTTCAGTGCTTAACACTTAAAATGTTCCAGTATACCAAGGTGAGTTTGAGCTACCCTAACTCTGCTTGATTTCTTAATTCCATAAATAACGGTACAAAAAGAAATACATTGTCATATCCAGCAGAGAGACTCTACCAAACCCTTACCCTTGCTCCATACAAGAAATCTAAATGCTGTAAAGGAGTAAAATTTAGAAACACTGTGCTACAACTTATTCTAGAAGGTGTGTAAATTAGATGATGATCCTCAAAATCTATTCAGAACTTTTGAAAACTTAGATTTTAAATTTAAATTTTAAAATGTCAGAAGTGTAAAATATCAAAACTTTATGCTTTTCTCACTTAATGCAACAATTTATCACTATGAAGATCTAACATTGATATTATCGTCAACAGCTCTCCTTAATAAAAATAGAACTCGGAAATATTCACATCTTCTGATCGATCATCAGCAAAATTACATCATTTCAAACTCTCCTGATTGTCCACACATGTACACTGTTCAAAGTTGATATTAAAAGTCTGTCACTTCTTTTTCATATTTGGATGTTTACTGACCACGGAGGTCGGGTTTCAAATAAATTTGTATTACAAATGTACGACAAATTGTATGTAGTAATATTCCAGTATCACCTGCTTATGTCGTCATGTTTTACGTCTAACGCATTTGCTGCTGATAAGTACGATCCCGTTTTAAAACGAGGCAGGCTTTACACTGATAAGTTGATGTTACAGATTTTTCAACCACTTTGTTTTTAAAGCCGACACCTCGTTAATTCTGTGGTCATTATAATAACCTCATAAGAAAAGTTATATATACCATTGGGTCGAATTTAGCTGACTCGTTTCATACGGATTTTTAAGCTTTTAATTTTATTTCTATACTTAAGGACAGATGATACAAATAAATATTTTCTTTGGAGGAGACTTAATATCATGTCTCAAGTTTAGAAAAGTGAATAATTCTTAGAATGTTTTCTCCAAAAAGCTGGAAAATGAAATAGACTTGGAAAAGTTTAGTAATATTTCAATAAAATTACAAATGTGAATAAAACACACCCAGTAAAGGTTTACAGATGAAAATAAATTTTATAATATGTTATATTGGTGCTAAAAGTGTAATATAATCTCTAGAAAAGTAGACCAAGCCAGGTGAATTTTATCAGGAAAAGCAAAATAGTAAAAAATCAGCGTATATTATATTGATTAATTTTTGTCATTTTGTTTTTCTTCCTAAAAATCACCTGGCTTGTTATATTCTAAGGTTTATATTGCACTTTTAGCACCAAGGTAACATATTCTGGAATTTGTTTTCACCTGTAAACCTTTACTTAGTGTGATTTGTCTATTTTTGTTTTTTCATTGAAATATTACTGATATTTTCCAAGTCTACTTCACCTTCCAGTTCTTATGATAAAAAATTCTAAGAATTATCCACTTTTCTTAACTTGTGACATGTTATTAAATCTTTTCCAAACAAATAATTTGTTTGTATCGTGTGTCCTTAATTTGACTGCAGAATGTACTATCTTCAAATCAACTAATAGCACTTACAGCGGGTTTGATTGGTCATCAAGGGATGCTTACTCCTATAAATCATCTGATCCTTTCTGTAGAATATCCAGGGGTTAGTGTTTTATGCTATCTCTGCTTATTTGTATTGTTTATAGATTCTTAAAGATTGATCATTGTTCGTTTTCTTTACCCTTTTCACTGAATAATCATATCCATTGAAGGAAAATATTTTAAATGGATTTCAGTATTTTAAACGTATTATCAACAATAGGAATGACAATCATATATTTTCAGTATATTGAAATTCAGAATATATAAAAAATTCACTATACACAACGTTGTATAAATAAATCATTATATAACCCAATGTAAGAACCAACAATTAAAAATGTACATTGGAGGAATCTAATACAGATACGTGTATAACACTTATAAATATTGAACTTAGGATATTTCTTGGTTTCATTCTAGAACGACTTCGAGTCACTCTTCACGGGGACTAAATACGTGAATTTTGAGTAGTCCACCGGTATACTCCCAGATTCCGGAGAAAAATCGGTGGGGAGGTCCACAACTTTCGTCACCGTGGTAACTGTTGTCTTGGTAACCAACATTTTCTTTTGCTCAAGGTCAATCTACAGTATAGATCGCAACCATATATGTTTTCCATTTCATATCTTTAAAAACATTTTTACACTTTTTAATTTTTTTAAAATACATTTTCTACTAGTGAAAAACCGATTTTCAAAAATAGGCTATAGGTCTTGACGAAATTTATTGGCCGTGAAAAGCAAAAGTAAAGTGATTGTATGAACATTAAGTATTTTAACAGAGGTCCTTTATGACAGTACTTTGGAAAATATATATTTGAAAAATTGAATAAGTTAAAACAACTGAAAAAAACCTCATGGCAATCATTGCTCATGCTGATTTTCAGATTTGTCCATTTTGAAATAAAATGTGACAATTTGAAAATAAGTGATGCCTATAAGTATCACAGATCGTAATGCTTCACTGTAACCACACACGCACCCACACACACACACACACCCTCACACACACACACACACACACACACCCTCACACACACACACCCTCACACACACACACACACCCTCACTCACACACCCTCACACACACACACACATACACCCTCCCTAGCACACTCCAATACCCACACATTAAAACTGACCTTATTTCTTGGTTTGTTGTTTGTGAAAGGCACCAGCATGTTTTCCATATTAACGTCTTTATCCCTGGAATAAGAGAAACTTGGTCAGTTGCTGAGAATTACATTTTCCTTTCTTAGGGAAGTTTTCAAGAGTAAGTACATTAGATTACAACAGGTATAACTATATGAATAACATAATTAAAAAAACTTACTCTGCATTGGTTTGAACGGAGTCTATGTACAAGTACCCCGAATTTTCTGTTCTGAAAATAAGAAAAAATATTTATCTTGAGAGAGAGAGAGAGAGAGAGAGAGAGAGAGAGAGAGAGAGAGACAGAGAGAGAGAGAGAGAGAGAGAGAGAGAGAGAGAGAGAGGGAGAGAGAGAGATTCCAAACTTATTTATATCGGTACGTCTTTAAGTTTGAGAAAATTCTCTAACACTTCTTATAAATTATGTGGACATCGAAGATATAAACCCAAAGATTCACTTATTAACAATAAATTAGCAAAGTTAACAGTAAATACTCACTTGCTTACGTAACCTGTTTGTTCATACTGGTTACAGATATCTTCTCTATTTTTCAACTGATCTTTCCTTTTTGGTAGTCTATTGCAAAAAGAAAGATGTTTTTTGTTTCTGGTTAGGCACTTTTAACTGTATTTGTATGATAAGATACTCTTATTATCTGTCACAATCAAAGAAACAATTTTACAGATTTTTGAATTTGATCAAGTCTGGAATGACTTTAAATAGCACTTATCATTTAAAATGATTGATTGCACATGTACAGTGTATGTTGCTTTAAGTCCCATCCGAGAATGTCAACAAAGAAAATATATTTAATATATATTCATATTTACTTTTGAAAGTCTTAAATAAGTACAGTGCTATCGCGCCTGACTAATGGGTAATATAATTACTAGTATCTCTATAAAGTTTTAAGTTTTAGAAAGAAATTGATTTGTCTTCTTGTTTTTCAAATTATGTGAGGATGAAAAAAAGCTTTTTCTTGTGAGTCTGGATTTCAGATAAACAATTTACCTTTTGCTTCGACAACAATACCACAGAAGACAACAAACCAGAAAAATCACAAACAGGGTCACCAACGTTAACACCAAAATGACAATGTTTATCATAATTTCTGAATAAAAAAAATAAAACAACAAAGAATTATACAAATGTTATCAATGTCAACACCAGGATGACAATGTTAACTATAATTCCTACATTAGAAAAAATATCACCAGCGTCAACACCAGGATGACAATGTACACTATAATTCCTAAATAAAAAAAAAACAAAAATATCACCAGCGGCAACATCAGGATGACAATGTTAACTATAATTCCTAAATAAAAAAAGATATATATACAAATGTTATCACCATCAACACAAGCATGACAATGCTAACTATACGAGGGGTCTCCCAAAAAGTCGCAGACAATATTTATATAACCGTACAGTAGGGAATTTAATTAGGTCCCTTAGTCTAGAGTGATTTTTCATTAAAAAAAATTGTATGTTAACAGTTAGACTCATGTGAAGCAGAAAAAGAGATCATGACGTTATAAGAGACGCTTGCTTTAAAGTACACTTACATGCTTTCTTTATTTTTTCATAATTAATTTTCTTAATAGTTGTGATATTATGAAACTTGGAATGCATGATCATAAAATGTTACTTTTTGCTAGGACAAGAAGCTAAAAGAAACTGTTTTTCCTGTCTACGACGTTTTGGGAGAACCCTCGTAATTCCTAAAGAATAAAAATAAAATAATACAAATATCACCAATGTCAAAATCATTATTATAATGTCAACTGTAATTCCTAAATAAGAAAAAAGTTATAGCGTTTAACAAACAGTATATCCAATCTAAGAATTATCATCCAAAGTCTACTATAATGCCAGTCTCAATGAAAACTGGATGATATAAGACAACCCGCAAAGAAAATCGAGGCAATGTATATTCCTAGAAAGGAAAAATATATATTTCAAGTCGAGCATGTACGAATTAAAAGAAATTCAATATAAAACAATGCATCAATCTTATGCAGTTTGAAAATTACAATTTTGCAAAATCAATGAAATTTAAATAGCTAAGTATTAGAATCATCTTTGATTGATGAATTTTAAAGAAATTAACTTACTCTCCATTCCTGTGTTTGATGTCTCATTAAAAGAAAACCGGAAGTGACGGTCTATATGAATAATGCAGACTGCTCGTTCCCCTTAAAGCAGTAGACTCCTAAGTAACTCTGTCATGGACAAAGGTTTTATCTCTTCTATTTGTTTTACAGAGTTGATTAATTATATATGCTTAAACCTGAAGACAGCTCTTAATTCTTTGTCGTCATGTCGACTGCATTAAATTAAAGATTCTCAAAAGCAGAGGGGATTTTTTTAACTCCCAGATGATTTACTTTCACGTGGTCACATTCTACATTTTTAGTTAAATTATCACTAATATATTCTAGTAGAGTGTTTGGATTTACGGCTTGGGTTTAAATTTTCATTCTATTGAACAACAAGAAGTAAAACACCTTCAAAACTTATTGTTGTTGATGAATAAATTCCCCGTCGACCTATCAATTGCAGTATTCTTAACAGTAAATGGATTATTTTTTAATCACAGTTGTTACTATTTGGTCAAATTAAATTTTTGTTTTTGTATTTTTTGAATACAAGTAATTTACAGGTTAGATTGTAGTGGTCTTATCTCAGAAGTTTTCATTTTCAATGTAGAACAAATAATTTTAAAAAAAGAAAAGAATTACAACAGTATTAAATAAAACATGTCCAAATCTAAAATGCATGAATAAAAGGAACAGCAGTCAGATCAAAAGTCCATTTAATCATTTTCATGATTCATTAATGATTCAGGAGAATCAGGTGCCATGGAGGAGTGAGCATCACTTGCCGACTAGTCACACCCGCCATGTGCTCATTGTCATGATTGAAAAAAACGTCGACAATTCAATTTGAAAATACTGGCCTAACATCTAGTATTAAACATCGTCAGTCAGCATTTGACTCAATGACAAATTGTATTTGATGTCACGTTCATATTATCGACCATAGGACTTAAGAAATTATTACTTTTTATCGAGACTGTTGATATTCTTGATTAACTTAGTTTAGAAATTATTCATACTTAGAGCATGTACTTGCGTGTAGGATATATTGTTGCATATAAGAAAAGTTTGAATGATGAATTACAGCTTTTTAATTTAAATCTTACACTTTCTTACACAAGTCCTCGTAAACTCATCATGGATATTCCCTCTTAATGATTAGAGATATGGCCTTAAGTTTGAAATTGTTTTTACAATTTCTCCCTTTTTTCGCTGTTAATTCATAAGAAATATTGTGTACATTAGAAACCTAGTCATCTAATCTGTTGAAAAGAAATTACTGCTTAAAAAAGAAGTGTATTGCTCAAATAGTAATTTAGATAATTTTAATGAAATCTGGCAACCTTTATTAGATATATTATAATCAATATCTTGGAATTTATTATATTTTTTATATACTATGTTATTCAATTAAGTGTTAAAATGAAATGTAATTTCCCCTGTAATGGATTTCTTTGTAAAATCAATGAACAGTTACTTTGTATAAAAATTGTATAAAATTATGTAGATAGTAAGCTCCACATTAAATTTTAATGATTTATAAATCAGAAACATTGTCCTATAAGTAGATAGATGTTATTGTCCATAGTTGAATTTGTTGCATACTTTTCTATTTTATAATTTTGTATATGAAGAGAGAGCCAATTAAAAAAAAAAAAGAAAAGAAACCTAGTCAAGCAGTTCAGGCAAAAACTCAAATTAGCAAAGTTAAAAAATATACACTTAGAATCCTTCTTATTAGAAATTAATACGAAGTGAAAGGGGGTCAAAGATATCATCAAATAAAGGCAATGAAAAAACTTCACACATTTGCTAACTTGCAGTTAATTTTCTAGAGCTATAAATTGCTTTTTCTGTTTGTTATTACAGGAATTAATATCAGATGCTGCAGAAAAAATAAATAGCCCGCGTAAGACTTCCTTGTACATAAGCACGTTCTTTTAGATATCTGCAAACTTCTGACAGAACATTAAATTTTAAGTGCTACAAACTGACTGACAAACAAAGGGTCAACTAATCAGACTAGCTGAGATACAGACAGACCGATGGATGGATATAAGGTTTTTATGGAGATAACGAACGGTATTCAGGCTTAAAAAACCATTAAACCGGACCTCCAAAACATCAAAGGTGGGATCAGGTGCCATGGAGGAGGTCGAGCATTTCTAATGATACAATATTTGCTGACCTTGATTTGTATCGACCATAGAACTTACAAAATGATGACTTTAAACGAGACTGCTGATATTCATCAACTTAGTTATAAATAACTTAACTCGTTTTAGAAATTGTTTTAGCTTTCTATGTTACAAATGGTAATGATAAATAGCTTTATATATAAAGTTTCATGCAAAGAAATTGTGCACAATTTGAGGAATAAATGTTAATTTTTGAAAAATGATTTAAAAAGTTTTTTTTTTTGGAATCGATTTTGGATCCAAGACAGGCGTCACAGATGAAATGGCTGTAGCTTGAAACATTTGGAAATAACAAACAATATTCAAGATGAATATTCAATAAACGATACAAAATAGGAGCAGCGTAAACAAGGACCTTAAGGTAGGATTCTCTGGATTCTGACTAGATGAAACATTCAAAGTGTATTTGCTTATATGTCTTTTATATTGAGGTGTAAGGAATTTAAAAGACCATATTTTTCTTTCCTCATCAGAATTGTACAACTTTAAATAGAAATGGTAAACTGCGTTTGAAAACTGGCGGAATGGTAGCGTATGAAAATATCTTCTTTTCTGCCTCTCAAAATTATAATAGAACAATGAATTTAATTATAATTTCTACACAATCAAAGACTTGAAGAAATTTTCAAATTTAAGTTAGATTATTAATAAGGAACTAAACTTTCAAAATATATCAAATAAATATGATTTTTTAAACAAACTAGAACTATGTTAGCTTTTAAACGCTTTCAATCAAAGTACAGGTTTGAGCCAAAAGTCCATAAAAAGTATTTTTTCTCTCTTAGTAAACAATCAAAACTTTTTGTTTTTGTATTATTTTGTACATTTATAAGACTACTTTATTACACGTGAAAAAAAAAGAAAAGTTAAATATAGGAAGCATATGTAAATAACCAATATATCCTAAAAAAAAAGAAAAACAGAGAAAATTCGGATTAGCCAATATCTAGTTTAGTTAAATTATTTATGGACGAGGGCAGTTCAAAAATTACAGACGTCATATAGTTATGAAACTTCACAGAAATATGTATCTTAAAGATTTCAATGAATTTTGGGCAAAAAGTCTGTATTTTAAAAAAAAATTCTACTAAAATTATCGGTATGTTTATATCGCTGATGGAGAAGTACGGAGCACGACAAAAAATTTGAAGCAAAAGCATGCGCAATCCAAAATTCTCATTAATTTTCTATAATTCACGATTTTTTGACAATTTTCTCAAATGTATCTTTAAATTGTTCTATTATTATGCATTTAGATTTCTGACGTGATATTTGAAATACTAACAAAATTATAGTGATTTTTCTCTTATGCGATTCCCGTGACAACGACTAAGAAAATGACATCTCCTGAATTGACGGCTCACCACACTTTTGCTAAATTATGTGTAATGATCCATCGCCAACATAGGTTCAATATATGCGTAATAAAACATGTAGTAAACTAGGGTATTCGTGACATTCGTCCACAAATAGCAAATTGAAAATTTAGACCGTTAGACCTCTGTAAAAAGGCTATACGGGAGGACGGGAAGAGGATTATCGACAAAACTGTAAGGAACGTGATTGAAAGTCACCAGTATCACACTATATCTCATAAATACCTGCATTTTTTGGTTTTAAAACAAAACAAGACTATTCTTTACTTGTTTAATAAATCTTAAGCTTGACAAGAAATGGTGTTTGGATGTTGAGTAGATAAGGTAACTCAAACTGTACAGGTACTCTTGAGAAAATGTTGAGAAAATGGAAGTTCAATCACATATTTTTAATAATGCCTGTGACGTCGAAAATTTTGCTGCTCCGCGACTTAATGATATGTCCTGAAAAATCATTCAAAATTGATACCAATTTGATTTTGAAATTTTGAAGACCATATAAGTAAAGATTCTTTCATATTATGTGTGATATTTTGCCCGATTATGTCGTCAAATATTTTTTCTGTGCAACAAGTCCGTGTAGTTTTTGAACGACCCTCGTAAATTTGGTAATATCATGCTATAGACCCGATATAGTACTTTCTTTTTAGGCAAAAAGAACAATCTTTAAACTTTTGAAATAGAAGTAGGCATCACATGATTGGCAACAGTATTTTTTCATTCATAATGTCAAGGAAAAAGATAATGACCTTGACCTGACCTTGTCTCTAATATAAAACGGTCAAATTTGATTTTACTGATACTATCACTTACTGATATTGTCGTCTTGATTCTGTGAAAATTACATTAATTTTTAAGTACAAGAAATATGAGAAGAATCCTACCATGAAAACTACAGAGGTGAGATAAAGTGCCATGGTGGAGTAGCATCCCCTGCTGACCGGTCACATCCTCCTTGTAATGATAGGGTAATAACGAAAGAATCTGTCGTCAATTCAGTGTATAAATAATGGACTAACAATTAGTATGAAAAACGTCAGTCAGTATTTGACTCAATAATGAATTGTATCCGCTGACAAGGTAATCGTATCGACCAAAGAACTTACAAAATAATTACTTTTAACTAGACTGCTGATATTCTTGTTCCATCAACTTGTTGTCAATAATTTACCTCGTTTAAGAAATTGTCCATACCTAGAGCATGCTCTTGCGTATCGAATCAACTGAGATATATAAACTCGGTATGCAGGTGATGAAGGTATATTGCTGCATAAGTAAGGGAAGTTGACAATAGAAAAGTTTAAATCATCACGTTTATCATAGAGCTTGGTTGTTAGATTATCATTAAGGTCTTTTTCAAGTATAATATCCAAATATAAATCAGTTGTGTCAGACTTTGTGGTATCTTTAATTTCAAACTCACCAGGATATATCATATCGAAATAAGAATGGAAATTTCCATTTTAAATTGACAATACGTCGTCGATATATCTAAATGAAGAGTTGAAAGGTACAGCAAGTGTTTTCT